CTGATTAACTTGATATATTTATTTGTGGAATAAAAAGGAATCATTCGATAGAAAACAAAAAAAGACTTAAAAATATTCAAACGTTTTGTTCTTTTCTATTTAAGTTGTTCATTTATTGTAGTATGGTTTATGTCTACTTAATAAAGTTTGAAATTTCAGAAATTTAAACGCTCTAAAAAAATGGTATCAGATTTGGAATGAAATGTATGGTGATCGCATCTATCCCGTTAACTTGAAATGAAAGATACCAGTGGTAGAAACGTGGGTTATCTACGATTACGAAGTTAGTAGTGTTCTGTAATTTTGCCTGGATGCTGACCTAAGCCTGACTAATATCTACACAATTTAAGATGATTATCTTATTTCAAGCTATCTAGATATGAACTCTGTACTTTTGCCTGGATGCTGACCTATTCCTCAAGCCTGGCGAATCTCTATAGAAAATTCAAGATGATTCTCTTAGTTATAGTTATCTATAGATATGATTTTATCCCAGGTCAATGATGCATGAAATATAGATCATAGTGGCCTTCTTATGTTTGGATGAGCTTTTGTTCAATCCTTCTCTTGGTAGAGGGTTTCTGTGTACAACATAGCTACTAAACCAGTACTAAAACAGGGGTTTCTAATGGAGATTTGGTAGCTGCATAATATTTCTGGACTATTGGTTGTCTTTATGTATAAAAATAAGAAGATGTGGTATGATTGCCAATGAGACAACTCTCCACGAGAGACCAAATGACACAAAAATCAACAGCTATAGGTCATCGTACGGCCTTCAACAATGAGTAAAACCCATACCGCATAGTCGGCCTGAAAAGGCCCAGAAGTAAAAAATGTAAAACAATTTAAACGAGAAAACTGACGGCCTGATTTATGTACAAAATAATGAACGAAAAACAAATATAATACACAGCAACAAACGACAACCACCGCCGGAATTACAGGCTCCTGACTTGGAGCAGACACATACAGAATGTGGCGGGGTTAAACTAGTTTGAAGGCGCCAACCCTCCCCTAACCTGGGACAGTAGTGTAACAGTACAACATAAGAACAATGTTTTTATACGACCGCAAAAATTGAAAATTTTTTGGTCGTATATTGGTATGACGTTGGCGTCGTCGTCGTCGTCGTCGTCGTCGTTGTCGTCGTCGTCGTCGTCGTCCGGCGTCGTCTGGCGTCGTCCGAAGACACATTGGTTTTCGCACTCTAACTTTAGTTTAAGTGAATGGATCTCCATGAAATTTTACCATAAGGTTCAATACCATGAAAGGAAGGTTGGGATTGATTTTGGGGGTTATGGTACCAACAGTTAAGGAATTAGGGGCCAAAAAGGGGCCAACAATAAGCATTTTTGTAACTTCCAGACAATAACTTGTGTGTAAGTGTATGGATCTCTCTGACATTGTACCACAAGGTTCCATATCACAAAAGGAATGCTGGGATTGATTTTGGGGGTAATTGCCTCAAAATGTTAGGAATTAGGGGCCAAAAAAAGGGCAAAAAACAAGCATTTTTCTAGTTTCATGACAATAACTTGTGTGTAAGTTTTTGGATATTTCTGAAATTGTACTACAAGGTTCCATATCACAAAGGGAAAGCTGGAATTGAGTTTGGGGGTAATTGCCCGAAATGTTTAGGAATTGGGGGCCAAAAAGGGGCCAAAAATAAGCATTTTTCTAGTTTCCAGACAATAACTTGTGTTCAAGTGTATGGATCTCTCTGAAATTGTACTGCAAGGTACCATACCACAAAGGGAAGGCTGAGATTGAGTTTGGGGGTGATGAATCATAAGGGGGTTCAAAAAATTTTGGGGGGGGATTTTTTTTTTTCTTTTTTTTTTCTTTTTTTCCTTTTTTTTTTCTTTTAAAATTTTCCATTTTAAGTTGGTTATTTCTGATTTATATTTAAAAGCAAATAATAATGATATGGAAGGAGATACACACCAAACAGGATGTGTAAATTATTATATAATAAGTATTGTGCAATAGCAAGAAATTTTCAATTGCACAGTATTGCACAATAGCAAGAAATCTTCAATTGCACAGTATTGCGCAATAGCAAGAAATCTTCAATTGCACAGTATTGCGCAATAGCAAGAAATATCCAATAGCACAATATTGCGCAATAGCAAGAAATTGTCAATTGTACAGTATTGCGCAATAGCAAGAAATAATCAATTGCACAGTATTGTGCAAAAGAAGATACTTCGTATAAATTGCTTATTTCTTGATCAATTTCAATGGGGTTTTATTCTTGAATTCTTGGGTTCTTTAATATGCTGAATCTAACCGTGTATTAAGTTTTTGGATTTTAGGCCCCGTTTTTAAATTGGTCCACATTGAGGTCCAAAGGGTCCAAAATTTAACTTTGTTGGATTTCATCAAAAATTGAATTATTGGGGTTCTTTGATATGCCGAATCTAACCGTGTATTTAGATTCTTAATTTTTGGTTCCGTTTTCAAATTGGTCTACATAAAGGTCCAAAGGGTCCAAAATTAAACTTTGTTTGATTTTAGCAAAAATTGAATATATGGGGTTCTTTGATATGCTGAATCTAACCATGTATTTAGATTTTTGATTATGGGCCCAGTTTTCAAGTTGGTTCAAATCGGGGTCCAAAATTAAACTTTGTTTGATTTCAACAAAAATTGAATATATGGGGTTCTTTGATATGCTGAATCTAACCATGTATTTAGATTTTTGATTATGGGCCCAGTTTTCAAGTTGGTCCAAATCGGGGTCCAAAATTAAACTTTGTTTGATTTCAACAAAAATTGAATATATGGGGTTCTTTGATATGCTGAATCTAACCATGTATTTAGATTTTTGATTGTTGGGCCCCGTTATCAACTTTGTCCACATTGAGATCAAAAGGGTCCAAAATTAAACTTTGTTTGATTTCATCAAAAATTGAATATATGGGGTTCTTTGATATGCTGAATCTAACCATGTATTTAGATTTTTGATTATGGGCCCAGTTTTCAAGTTGGTCCAAATCGGGGTCCAAAATTAAACTTTTGTTTGATTTCAACAAAAATTGAATATATGGGGTTCTTTGATATGCTGAATCTAACCATGTATTTAGATTTTTGATTATGGGCCCAGTTTTCAAGTTGGTCCAAATCGGGGTCCAAAATTAAACTTTGTTTGATTTCAACAAAAATTGAATATATGGGGTTCTGTAATATGCTGAATCTAACCGTGTATTAAGTTTTTGGATTTTGGGCCCCGTTTTTAAATTGGTCCACATTGAAGTCCAAAGGGTCCAAAATTTAACTTTGTTTGATTTCATCAAAAATTGAATTATTGGGGTTCTTTGATATGCCAAATCTAACCGTGTATTTAGATTCTTAATTTTTGGTTCCGTTTTCAAATTGGTCTACATAAAGGTCCAAAGGGTCCAAAATTAAAGTTAGTTTGATTTTAACAAAAATTGAATTTTTAGGGTTCTTTGATATGCTGAATCTAAACATGTATTTAGATTTTTGATTATGGGCCCAGTTTTCAGGTTGGTCCAAATCGGGGTCCAAAATTAAACTTTGTTTGATTTCAACAAAATCTGAATATATGGGGTTCTTTGATATGCTGAATCTAACCATGTATTTAGATTTTTGATTTTTGGGCCCTGTTATCATTTTTGTCCACATTGAGATCAAAAGGGTCCAAAATTAAACTTTGTTTGATTTCATCAAAAATTGAATTCTTGGGGTTCTTTGATATGCTGAATCTAACCATGTATTTAGATTTTGGATATTGGACCATAATAGGTGAATGTCCAATTTAAAATTTTTAAGTTCTTAGACCACATTCATTCTGTGTCAGAAACCTATGCTGTGTCAAATATTTAATCACAATCCAAATTCAGAGCTGTATCAAGCTTGAATGTTGTGTCCATACTTGCCCCAACTGTTCAGGGTTCGACCTCTGCGGTCGTATCAAGCTGCGCCCTGCGGAGCATTTTATTGTTTATGTTGTCCTTGGTGCTATCTTTTCTTCAGATAACACCCCACCCCTCTCCGGTGGGTATTGTTAAACCTTTCTGCACAGTTCAGTTTTTAAGTTATTCTTAACTATATCTGACAAGTGATTATATTTAATTTGAAGGTATAAAGCAGTATCTGTTAAAAGCACAGCTTGCTTGATATAAGGACAATTTTAAAGTCGTTAAATTGTTTAATGTAAGCACTACTAGATATGATAACGACAAAAGAAGCTACCAAAAAAATGTAATTTACAAATAGTAAACACTTTAAACGGTCTAATAAATTACTTCCTAAAATCTTAGTTGTCAAGCAATATAAAAATGTAGAAGATCTTGTGTTGTGAAATACTATTTAGGTGCATACTGCAAACAACACGACACCAGAAACTCGGTAGACAGTTTGATTAGATTAAAATTGGAGGTCTATAATAACAGCCTAACAATTATCATCATAGTCATACACAAACAAAGATGCATGGACATTGTCTTTGCGAATGTTCCCTTTGAACCACAGGCACATACGCCGTTATTTTTGAATAAAGACCTTGTATTCTTCTGTTTGTTCCTCGTATTTCACATGTAATTTGTTTAATCATTTATAAAATGAAACATAATTAGATAAAAAATGTTAGTGTAATTAAATCCACCAAAGTCTGACTGGATATATATGTTATTGTTACGGAGACGACATAATAATTCCCTTATGCAGGTCTTTTGGTGAAAAAAATCATTTTGGTTATAGTAACGTCCCTATATACAAAAATTTACAAAAACATATAAAATGTGCAATTATATTTGTATGAAAATATCTTAAACAGCAACATGTTGTGCTGAATTATATTGTGATTTTATGGGATAAGGTTTTGGTAATGTCCTTCTCGTTCATTTTTTGTCATAAAGTACTCGAAATTTGGCCAAAACTTTAAAAATTAGAGGTTTTAATGCATTTTTAGACCTTTATAAATATAAGATTCGGACATTGGACATCAAATGACAATATTTTGCTAATACATTATGCCACAACATACAAAGTAAAAACTCCTTTAAATAGACCATTTCCAAAGTAATTTTGAATATTATTTTAGGTAATGTCTGTCCAAAGATAAAAATTGCGTCAACAATTGCATCACTGACAACATCACCTACGCATCCAGCTATAACATCAAAATCAGCATCTACGTTGCGGCCGGTTACAACTTTGGAGGATATTAGATTACCTAAAACAGTGTACCCACTTCAATATGACCTTGAAATTACACCACATCTATATGACACTGATGAAGAAATCAACTTTAATTTCCAAGGAATGATTAGTATCAAAATCAAATGTATTGAGCCAACCAAAACTGTAACGGTACACGTAAATAAGTTGACAATAAATAACCAATCAATTACATTTACAAGTGAGAGACAGTCGGGCCCAGAAATCAAAATTGTGAGAATAGAAGATGATATAAAACGTCAGTTCATGCATTTTCACTTAAGTGGTGAAATACTTAAAGACCATGAATACGTTTTATCCATGGAATTTAGGGGACCGCTACAAACTGACCTAAAAGGCTTTTATCTGAGCTCATACACAGAAGGTGGAAACAAAAGGTATTTGAATTTTAATGTTGATTTATGCTGGGACTAATAAATTGACATATCAATGATCTATTAGTCCCAGATTTATGCAAGCAGCAAGACGTATATTTTAGCTTGAGCCAATATACCGCTGATTTTAAAATAAAATAGATACAGATTCTATTTTGCATAGTTTAAATTCTGATTAATCTACAGTAAATAATCTTTGATATGTAATTTACAGAATAATTATATATAATGTAGATCGAAAGTCATAAGCTAATAAGTAGCTTAGGGACACTAAAAATCACTGTATTGTTGATACTAGAATTTTTCTTTTATTTTTAATTACGGAAAGTAATTTTTAAACTGAATATAGTACACCATTTTTTCTACTGATTTACAAGAGACATACTATATAATAAATCATTATGTCTCTGGATTTACAAATACTCTAAATATATCTAAGAAGAGACATATATATGTCTCTTGTGACAGTCTGGTCAACAGTGGCAGAATAATCGATTCACTGACGATATGACCGCGTAACTGTGCAGTAGAAAATTTCCGGCTTTCAATCATGTAGGACAACTAATATTTTTTCCGGATAATGACCGTAATTGTTTCGTGAAATGTGAAAAGGGGAGTTAATTTAGCGGGAGAATTGTGAAAACTATACACTTTATTACTACTGAAGAACAAAAGACTGATGACATGTTATCTTGTGAATTAATAATTATTTTTTCCTAATAGGTTAACAGGTTAAGGGGAACAGTAATGTGTTACATGAACATTTTTCAACACCCCCCATTATTGTATTTTGAAAATAAATATCCTGGCCTGGTAGTGGTAAGAGTCTAAGACTACAAGAGTCCAGAGCTAAAAATAAAAAAAATAAACTTGCATTTAATACTTCTACCCAGGAACATATATATTGTTAGATATACTGTCCCAGTTCTACCCAATAATAGCCACAATCAATAAATTGAAAATTTTGCCATGACTTCGGTGCGCATATGGACACCTCCCCCTCTCTCATAGTCATAATGTTTGAATTTAGTTCAGCTTTGTCACTGAGGCTTTGAAAGCCTCGACTGACGGTGCTGATACAACCCCTGGAGGGAGAGTGTTCCAATCTCTGATGGTTTGTGGAAAGAATGAATGAAAATGAATATTCTGCACATATAAGATGTAGGAATCAGTTGTGAACAAAACTGAAAATAAATTATGTGTGGAAAAGCAGGGAAAAAAATAAGCATGCTTAGAAACCGATGATGAAAATGAATAGTCAATGCAATCTTCAAAAAAATCCTCCTGCCCCCTCCTCACCCCTTAGACAATTGAATGAGTGTCCCCTAAATCTTTGTATCAGTATGAAATAATTTAGTTAAGGTTTTAAGTAATTTGTGGTAATGAAATCCCTGATTTAATTGATAATTTAAGTTATATACAAAGATTATATTCATTGAAATCTAACACATCCACACAGATACGGGAAAAGGGAACAAGCTGGAAAATTTACACAAATATGTTGAAAAAAAGAAATAACACTAGGAAGCAAAAAATTGTTTCTTTTTTCTTAAATTTTGGTATAGATAAAAGAGTTTCCTGTGTGAAACAAGTATCAAAATCCAGAAAAGGACGATTATTATTATTTTAATTATATGAAAAACTTATTTTTCCCAACATGTATCTTCGCTAGTCAGGAGGTTACAATTCCACTCGCTCCTCTTCACAAGCAGTTCAGGTCATAACCCTTGGCTATGGAAGATGGTGTTTCCCTGACTTTAGTCTTTACATGAAATTAGAATAATTTCAAAATGTACTTCCAACTAGTTTGATTGTTCCCTGTGCGACACGTTGCTTGGGACATAGAAACACTGGGCGTTCATCGGTCCATCCATCCCATCTTGTTGGCCCTCTCACATGTACAATTCTTGCCAGATTTTTATAAAACTTATATCTTAGGTTTTATATCAGCATTGTCTTGGACGAGTTTGAAAATCAGTGCCGATTAATAATTTTTAAAAGAGTTGTGCCCCTTCGAAATATTAATTATATTGAAAATAGCATTGTTAGTGCTTTCATGTGTACAATTCTTGCCAGATTTTTATGAAACTTATGTCATAGGATTATATCAGCAATGTCTCGGACAAGTTAAAAAATCAGTGTCGATCAATTGTTTTTAAAAGAGTTGTGCTGCTTGGAAATAATAATTATATGGAAAATTGCATCATAAGCACTCTCACACATGTACAATTTTTGCCAGATTTTGATTAAATTCATATCAAAGGTTTATATCAGCAATGTCTTGGACAATTTAAAAAATCAGTGCTGATCAAATATTTTTAAAGAGATATGCCCTTGGAAATATTTATTATAATGGAAATTGCACTGCATTTGCTCTCCAGCCTTCATTTCTCAAAGATAATTATAAAACATTTTGAGAAAACAAAATGCTTTGGCCTTAAACACGCCCCCAAAAGCACACACTGGATGTGCAGAAGTTGCCAATCTAAATAAACTATACAATGTTTGTATATGCAATATTGTATTTTTGAATTTATTAAAAATAAAAGTTTTTTCAAGTTAAATTTTGATATATTACATACATTTAAATGCATTGAAGTAACAATAACTCAATTTAACCGTAGGCACAAATATTATTGTTACGATCGTAATTAATCAGTTCCCAACCCGATCTTCCATTCCAGGTATCGGTCTTAAACGTAACAATGATTTTTTCGTTATCGTTACGTTTTTAACGTAATTGTAGCCAGTGCTTTTTTATAATATTTTTTGAAACAGCTTCCCATTATATTGCGTGTCATTTTTGTCTAAAATAATAAATAATGAAGTATATATTGGAAGGACCCAATGAACCCCTTTGGCACAACTAACTTTGTTTTCATTTGCACAGATATCTTGCAACAACTCAGTTCCAGCCAACAGATGCTAGAAAGGCGTTCCCTTGTTTTGATGAACCAGAATTCAAAGCTGTCTTCAATATTACAGTTGTGAGAAAAGTTGGATGGCTCAGTTTATCAAATACAAAAATAGTATCAACAACATTAAGGTTTGTTTACATATAAATTTAAATATGCATATTGTATTCAAATAAAACGAAATTAAAGACAACAACAAATGTTAAAGGTGTCAAAGGCACTGTAAAAATTCAAAGAGTGGTATTAAGTTTTACTTATTGAAAAAAGACAGAATTTCCTTTTAGTTTGTAAAACGGTATTTGAGAATCTCATATTGGGTATTTTAGGATTTTTTAGCATGATACTATATTTTTGGAGAAGTCTGGCTATCCTGATGGTTTTATTGTCTCGCCTTCGACGAAACTTTCGTCGCAGTATGCGAGACATAGGTATTACTATCTGGCGTAAACTACTTGTATAAAGCTTTATATTTCAGAAGGTAGAAGATTTGGATGCTTCACATCTTGTATGCAGATACCTTATGTTACGAAGTTTCAGTCAATCATATGTCCATTGTCCTTGACCTCATTTTCATGGTTCAGTGACTGCTTGAAAAAAAAAATTGAGTTTTATATTTGGTATATGGGTTCCTTGTAACGTCTACATGTCTGTCAGACAGAGTTCACCTGACCTCTACCTCATTTAATGGATCAGTGATCACGGTTAAAGTTACGTGATTAGGTCCGTTTCTCAAATACTATAAGCAGTAGGTCAACTATATTTGGTGTATGGAATGATTGTAATGGGTACATGTCAGTCTGGCAGGTTTCATCCGACCTTGACATCATTTTCATGGTTCGTTGGTCAATGTTAATTTTTTGTGTTTTGGTCTGTTTTTCAAGTACTATAAGCAGTAGGTGCACAAGTCTGTCTTGCAGGTATCATCTGACCTTGACCTCATTTTCATGGTGGTTCTTTGGTCAATATTAAATTTATGTGTTTTTGTCTGTTTTTCAAGTACTATAAGCAATAGGTCAACTATATTTGGTTTATGGAATGATTGTAAGGTGTACATGTCTGTCTGGAAGGTATCATCTGACCTTGACCTAATTTTTATGGTTAAATGGTCAATGTTAAGCTTTTGTGTTTTGGTCTGTTTTTCAAGTACTAATAGCAATAGGTCAACTACATTTGGTGCATGGAATAATTGTAAGGTGCACATGTATGTCTGGCAGGTATCATCTGACCTTGACCTCATATTTATAGTTCATTCCAATGATAAGTTTTTATTTTTTGGTGTGTTTTTCAATTGGCATATGCAATAGGTCAACTATATTTGGTGTATACAAAAATTGTAAGATGTATTTGTCTGTCTGACACAATTTATCTGACCTTGACCTCATTGTCATAGATTTTAAAAAATGTTAAGTTTCTGTAATGCTTTTAGTAAAACCTTTACCTTTAAGACTTTCAACATAAAATCAATGGTCAGTAAAACAGGCAAGACATTTCAATGTGTGCACTCTTGTTAAGAACATTAAATGGTAATTTATTATAAAAAAAGTTGAGCTTATGTGCTGGGAAAATGTGTTTGGTTAAAAACTAGCATTAATTTGATTAACCTCAGCCTGCTTTATGAAAACAGCATGGTTCCTGGTAATTGGAAATCCAAAGTTATTCAGCCTTCCACCCTCTAAAGGGGTTCATCGTTGTGTCTACTGAAATCCTCCCTCAATTTGAGTTAAAATTAATTTTGTTTATGTTTCTGCACATACTGAAATGGTTTTTTTTTATCAGAATCTTAATGGTAGTTAAATTCTTTTTTTGAATATACAATGCACTGTTTGTTGGCTCAATTTCTTCTACAAGTTTTTAGCTAAAAGAATATACACAGATACAGAAGATACGAATATCTTCAGAAGTAAGATTTTCTCGTTTTGTTTTCACAAAATAGGCCATTAAAAATGAAGTTACCATGACATAGTCACACTTTTCTCACTATATGCTAGGAATAAAATTTGAAAATAACTGCTAATTTTATATTTGTAATAGAGAAAATGGGTTTGAAGCAGATCATTATAGTCCAACTCCAAGGATGTCAACTTATCTTGTGGCCTTTGTTGTGTCTCAGTTTAAATCACAACACCAGACTACAACTAATGGACTTCAGGTACATGATTTTATCTTTTATCTATAAATTGTTGTTTAATATATTCCTCTAATTTGACCGATAATATATTATGAAATTTGACATACACATGTATATATACAGCAATTAAGTTAATTATACTCAGCATTGTAAGTTCAACTTATTATATGTTTATTACCAACAGTATATTTTTGTAATTTTACACAAACTTTTTTTTAAGTATGGAGTTTGGGCCCAGCCAAATTCAGTCCTTCAGACAACAGAGGCCTTGAATGTGGGTACTAAAGTGATAACTTTCTATGAAGATTATTTCAACATTTCCTTTCCTTTACCAAAGCAAGGTAAGATGTGGATGTCATTGTAAGATTTGATGATCCTAGTGTGATATTTTGTAGATTATTTAGAAGATCAGTAAAGATAGTCCCATTTTTATATCCCCCACATACAAAGTTTTGGAGGTATATAGGAATCACCATGTCCCTCTGTCTGTTTGTCCTTTGTGTACGGTGCATAAGTTTTGTTCCATAAAACTTAGGTTAACCAAACTTGGTATGCAGTTGAATCATGGGCTTAGCATGTGTCATATTACAAAGTCAGGTCACTATGACCTTTGCTTTGACCTCCCCAATGATAGTAAAATCTTATCCAGTTTGTGTCCAGCCAATATCTATTGCACCGTAAAACTTCAGTCAACCAAACTTGCTATTCAGTTGCAATCATGGGCTTTGGGTGTTTCATATACCGAAGTCAAGTCATTCTGACCTTTGACCCTATGATGGTAAAACCTTGTCTTGTCCTGCACATAACTTCTGTACCATAGAACTTTTGTTTTACCAAACTTGATATGCTAATGCTACATGGGATTGAGGTGGGGGGGTCATATATCAGTCAGATCACTCTGCCCTTGAATATGACCTTCGACCCCTATGGTAGTAAAACCTTGTCTGATTTGTGTCCTCCCTTTAACTTTTGTACCATAGAAGTAGGGGCTGGAGTATTAGTCCCGTTATGAGGACAGCTAATGTTTTTATTGTTTGTATGTTAAACTTTATGTAGTCAACTTTGAAGTTTAAACTGAGGCAGACAGGCTTGTGTTAACACTTGTTTGTCAATATTTCCCCTTGAACTCAAATTAGAACCACCTGGAAAATAAATATGCAAGCCCTTTTTAGGTAATAACTGATTTTTAGGAATTCAGGGAGATTTGAAATGTCTTGAAGATAAAAGATTAGTTCTTAAGACTGTGCATATCATTTCTCTTTTGCCTTTGATCCATTTAAGACCTATGAAATTAAGAAATACAAAATTGGATAATCTGAGGTCCTATTTCAGGAAACTTTCTTGACAGACCTTCTAAAAAAAAGTTTTTCAAATCCATTAGACCTCTTTAACTTACCTTTTGTCAATGAAAGCTAATGTTGCAGTTCTAGTTGTTTTATTTTATAAAGTTTTTTTAAAAAGAAAAGTTAGACAATAAATTAGAATGAACTGTATAGATTTCTTCTACTGGCATTACTGTGAACAAAGGTTAATGACAGATAGATTTCTTCTACTGGCATTACTGTTAACAAAGGTTAATGACAGATTAAGATGGTTTAATCCTAATGGCCTGAAATTTACTTTCAGATATGATTGCAGTCCCAGACTACCCTCTTGGTGCCATGGAGAATTGGGGACTGATTACTTACAGGGAGACAGCCATGCTGTATGACGACAAGATGTCAACAGAAGATAATTTAGCCCGTGTTACATCAGCGATAGCCCATGAACTTTCCCACCAAGTATGTAGGATGATTTTCTTGTTTTACATTGACAAAAACATTTGAACTTTCTTGCCAAGTATTTTGCATTTGCAACTAAATATATTCATGTTTGAAATAGTCAGTTAAAAGTAAAAAAAAATTTGGTAAATAATAATTTTGATAATATGTCTTGAGAAATGTAAACATCCTGTTAAAATTTGTATTTTATATGAAATTGACTTACAAAATGTGTACTTATGATGAAAAATTGGTATTTGCTGCTTTTTCACCAAGGACTTGGTGTTTTAATAGTAAAAGGACTTGGTAATTAAGAGTAGGATGACTTGGTATTTAGGAGTTTTCTTGAGTAAAGAGAGTCAGAACAGAGTAAGAATGGTGCATACAGGTATGGTGACATGTCTTTGTGTGGACTGTTACCTTGTCAGCTAGTAGGTAAACAACCAACTGAGTGTGCAGGTTTAATAGAATAAGTTCCTTTGACATTAGTATGTTATCATCCGGACTGCATGTAATAAATTCTACTGGATTTTAAGAAGCCATCAATCAATCCAAAATTGTACATTGATTTATAGTATTGCATTTGTATAACAACCCTTTGAATTTCTTAATGTATTTTCTGCACATATTTTATTTGTCTTTTAGTGGTTTGGTGACCTTGTAACAATGAAATGGTGGGATGATCTATGGTTGAATGAGGGATTTGCTACCTTTGTACAGTATATGGGAACTGATCATGTCCATCCAGATTGGAAAATGGTAATATATTCATTATCTTCTGTTTAAAGAAACCATAATTTAGTCCAAATTAGTACATGTACCACCAGGAATATTGTTATTGACTATTAAATAGATTGTCCATCTGTTTTGGATAAACCACATCAGTACTACACAGAAGCCTTTAATGTGTTGTCTTATTCTATTGATTTTGTTAAGAATTATGCAGAAAATTTTCAAGGGACTAAAAAAAAAAATGCTCAAACTTAACTTGGGTAAATCTAAAGATAAAGTTACCAGAATAAAACTGGTTTACCTATAAAACACAACTGGTATCAAAATATTTTTTTTTATACATCCTACTGTGACTTGAATATAGGTGTTGCTGTTTACCTTTACCTATTGTTTAACCAGATTGTAAAATTGACAATACAATTGGGACACTTAAATTTACCAGTTGGTATTGTTAGAATTGATGAATAGGTGATCCCTCATGCATTTAAAGTCTTCCTTGGACATTTTACCTGTTCAATTTTATCTTTTTCAGTGTAACTGGGATAGGTCTATCAAAAGTAATCCATGTGGCATTAATGCTTCAATTTTTATCTTTGTTAAATAATTTAACATGCATACAGTTTAAATCATGGTACGAATAAAGCTAGAGTGTAACCACAAGATGCAAACTTATTTCATGTTCTTATATTTGCTGAAAACTGCTGATTTAAAAAAAAAATCATTTCCCCATGTTTTTCATTAGAGAATCCTAAAACAAGTAAAGGAAATGAACATAGTAATTACAGTCTTTTTTTAATGAAATGAATGTATTCCTTGAAGTAATTCGCCATAAAATTGCCATAGAAACACAGCATTCAGAAGGAAAACGAGAGATTTTCATTTTACTGTCATTTCAAATTTTAGGAGTGAGCAAGAACAAGATTGTTTATGTTTTTTTTTTCTTGCAGGGTATTCCATTGCTTGTCATATGATGCGCTAAATTTCCTCAAAATGTTTTCATAGCCAAATACTATGAGGGCTTGAATTTATTTTATGTTGTTGAAAAGACCTCTTTTATCTCTTTTGCTGTTTCTAATGGGAGGTAACTCAAAATATTTTTTTTTACTATTGTGGCAATCATAATTATTTCATAATTTCCATAATTTTCCAGGATGAGGATTAATAAACACTAGAAAAAATGTGTGCATTCCTTCATTTAGACATTTGTTCAATACTTATTGACATGAGTCTTGTACAAAGTGTTTATGCATTGTGAAATATCAAAATAATAGTTGTGTATAAACTGTTTTATTAATTTATTTATTGACGCTGACATTTGACATCCCATCCAGTATTCCAGTTTCATTATTTGAAATAATTTTAAAATATATTCCTTCTTTTATTAACTTTCTGGAATATTTTCTCACATTTTTCACTATATCGCTAGATTTTTTTTCTATATCCACAGTATTCTGTTTAATTTCCCATGATATATATCCCAATTAAGCAGGTGCAGAGTCTTTATATTAGATCCAGAATATTGTAATTTTAGCTTATTTCCTATATAATATTCAAAATAACTATCCTCACTTTACATTAACAAAGTTAATATATTTTATTTGAATTTTTCACAATATCACTTGATTTATCTATATCCAAGTATTCAGTTTTTATTTAATTTCCCATGATATATATATATATCCTATTAAACAATATTAGGTCCAGAATTTTATAATGATTATTTCCAATATCACATTTAAAATTTTTATCCTCACATTATAATTTTTTATGGAATATTTTACTGTTATTTTTTCACTTTATCACTAGATTTGATATTTCATTTCAATGATGTATATCCCATTTAAACAGGTGAATCATCTTCATATTAGATCCAGAATTTTATAATGATTATTTTCAAAATCACAGAAACATATTGGATGAACTTATTTCTCCAAAATTATTTTGAATATTACATGTACATCATCATGTGAAAGCCATACAAAACATTTTGAATGATTTATTTCCTCCTTGATACATTAATTAAAATCCATTCTTGGAAAAAACAAGTCACATTTTAAGAAGCAAAATTCAATGGCATATAAGAAGTGAACTCAAATGAAAAATAAATCCCAACATTTTGTGCACATAGATTCCAATAGATTTCACACACTGCAAATAATACTCCAAAATGAAAAGTTTGAATGGATATATGAAGAAATGCACAACATATCCATCTGAAAACTGAAACTGAAAGTAGCTGAATAGCTATTTCTTGTTTCACTGACAGCTGATTAATACTATGTATAAGGTTTAAAAATTTTAAGATTCATTTATTTATATGTAAAAGCAGTTTTAATTTTCATACATAGTAACATGCAGTTAAGAAAATCTTTTACTGATTTAGATTTTTGGGACAAAATTAGATAAATCATCTATATTGGGGATTTAAAACAATGAAAACCAACAATATTTTCTTCCCTATCAATTTTATAACAGTATAACCCTATATATCTAGGTGAAGAAAAACTTCAGGAAAAAAGCATTCTGTAAGGTTGGGTTAGGTGAATAAGAAACAGTACAGGTAGCATCAAGGTAATCAACTCTAACAATACCAACTGGTCAATTTAAATGTCCCAATTGTATTGTCAATTTTACAATCTTGTTGAACAATAGGTAAAGGTAAACAGCAACACCTATAGTCAAGTCTCAGTAATGGAGTTTAAAATTACTGACTTGTTCATTCTGCTGAGTATAGACCACTCATTCTGTTACTTACACTTAATGAACTTAAACCAATGAATAAACAGAAAATGCTAGCTATGTTTATCTCATATATAATTGCGTTAATGCATTGTCAGTTAATTATTGCTAGTAATATGAAATTCTCTTTACAAATAAAGATAGTGAAGAACAGAATATTCAAAGTACTTTTATTGTTTATTTATTTTACAGTTTGATCTTTTCCCGATTGGAGACATGTATGATGCTTTTGAGTTTGACAGTGTGAAATCATCACATCCAATTTATGTTCCTGTAGAAAATCCAGACCAAATAAATGAAATATTTGATAAAATATCTTACAGCAAGGTATGTCTATAGAAAGTGTCAACTAGATCCATGTAGCATAGATAAAATATCTTACAGCAAGGTATGTCTATATAGAAAATGTCAACCAGATCCATGTAGCGTAGATGTCAACTATTTGAACCTTTTTTTAGGAAATCTTTTGGTGTTGATTTTGTCATAGAATTTATTCCACATTGTTATCTTTGATGTTTTACCTCATTTTTATTTGGTTTTAAATTCTGATAATATAAAATTCAAATGAATCCAATCATTAATGAATACATTATCTATAATAACTAGATTTTGTACTCTTGATTGTGTTGATAAAAACTATTTCAACAATATTTTTATGCCCCCGCCAACGGTTAACATTACATTCACTCTGTGGTTAAAGTTTTAAAAATTTTAATAACTTTCTTAAACTATCCTGGATTTGTACCAAACTTGGACAGAAGCTTGTTAATGATCAAAAGCTAGTATCTAAAAGGAAATTTTGTAAAAACTTATTTCCTGTTTTTGTCGAGCCTGCGACTTTTGTCGCAGAAAGCTCGACATAGGGATAGCGATCCGGCGGCGGCGGCGTTAGCTAACTTCTTAAAAGCTTTATATTTTAGAAGATGGAAGACCTGGATGCTTCATACTTTGTATATGGATGCCTCATGTTACGAAGTTTCAGTCAGTCACATGTCCAATGTCCTTGACCTCATTTTCATGGTTCAGTGACTACTTGAAAAAAAAGTTCAGATTTTTTGTAATGTTAAATTCTCTCTTATTATAAGTAATAGGATAACTATATTTGGTATGTGCGTACCTTGCAAGGTCCTCATGCCTGTCAGACAGATTTCACTTGACCTCGACCTCATTTCATGGATCAGTGAACAAGGTTAAGTTTTGGTGGTCAAGTCCATATCTCAGATACTATAAGCAATAGGTCTAGTATATTCGGTGTATGGAAGGACTGTAAGGTGTACATGTCCAACTGGCAGGTGTCATCTGACCTTGACCTCATTTTCATGGTTCAGTGGTTATAGTTAAGTTTTTGTGTTTTGGTCTGTTTTTCTTATACTGTATGCAATAGGTCTACTATATTTGGTGTATGGAATGATTGTAAGGTGTACATGTCTAGCTGGCAGGTGTCATCTGACTTTGACCTCATTTTCATGGTTCAGTGGTCAAAGTTAAGTTTTTGAGTTTTGGTCTTTTTTTCTAATACTGCATGCAATAGGTCAGCTATATTTGGTGTATGGAATGATTGTAAGGTGTACAAGTCTAGCTGGCAGGTGTCATCTTACCTTGACCTCATTTTCATGGTTCAGTGGTCAAAGTTAAGTTTTTGAGTTTTGGTCTTTTTTTCTAATACTATATGCAATAGTTCAACTATATTTGGTGTATGGAAATATTTTATGATCTATATGTCAGTCACGCAGGTTTTATTTGACCTTGACCTCATTTTCAAGGTTCATTGCTCAGTGTTAAGTTTTTGTGTTTTCGTCTGTTTTTCTTAAACTATAAGCAATAGGTCAACTATATTTGTTGTATGGAAGAATTGTTAACTGTACATGCCTGCCTAGCATGGTTCATCTGACCTTGACCTCATTTTCATGGTTCATTGGTCAATGTTTAGTTTACTTGGTTAATGTTAAGTTTATGTGACAGTTGTAATAAAGCTTTATATTTAGGACTATCAACATAATATCAATGATTAGTAAAGAAGGCGAGACATTTCAGCGTGTGCACTCTTGTTCCTTATATTACTTATAAATGGACTTAAATTTTCTTCCAGTTAAAATTACATACAGTCTGCAGTTAAAGTTTTTAAAACATTTATTAGATTCATAAACCATCCTGGATTTTTACCAAACTTAATTCAAAAATTATTATCTTTATCAGTTGTTCATAAATTTATGTTTCAACTCTTTTATAAATCTATAGATTTGATTGCATACTGTATTCATTTTTTACAAACATAACTTTTTTCATACATTTCAAACGCTTTATTTCATTAACTGTAAATCTATTATGTGCATTCCCCAATCACACTGAAAACATAGACAACAGCAAAAGTAGGCGAGACACTGGGTACCGCGGAACCCTTACAAATTTTTTTCATTTACAGGACAACCATTTACTTATAGTCTAATATTGGTTAAAAGGTGATAGATTGGTAGAATTTTTTTCACTTTATTGGAAGATTTGACCCCTTTCCAAGGAGACTATATTTGAGGAAGATTACCAAATCTTGAAAATAATAATTGAATGCTCCTGTTGATAGCTTTGGAGTTTAAACCTATGATGCAGAAATTAATACCTGATGTGTAATTGATAGTATTGGTTGAATAAATGATAGTACAGTAGGGAAATAATAAGGGATAATGAATGTATTAGAGAATACTTTTTAGTAGATATAGGATTTATAGTTTGTACTTTACTTATAGGGAGGATCAGTGATAAGGATGATAAGATATGTACTTGGAGAGGAAACATTTAGACATGGGCTAATTGTAAGTATATAGATTCAGGAGTAAAAAAGAATATTAGGAAAGACACTGTATGTCATGATTAAGACCAGCAATGCAATTGACAAGAAGCAGAATCTTTTATTATTGACTACATAATAAGTGTTGGGTGTGTCAAAACATTTTGTGTTAATCAAGATTGACAATTATGAAATTCAATTTTGGGTTCCAAATTGCTTATACGTTGTGTTTCACTAACTCTTATAACCAGAAGATGATTGGAAGAAATCCCTAAACATGGACAAAGACAGAGGGTATTATTTTTAACTATGAATGAAAAATAAATGTGACTTTAAAGTTGAAAGTTTTACTTCTGTTTGTTTTCGTGTTTGATAAGACTTCAGTGCTTATTACTACAACACTGATATTAAGCAATGTTTTTGAGTCTTTTTCAAAATTTCTAGCTGTAATGTTAAATTTGCTAAAAAAAAATGTTCAAATTATTTCTGTAAATACATCAGTTAAGTGACCTTTTTCAGAATTACTTGAATGGATTGAAATACCAAAGTGCTGTACATGAAGATTTATGGAATGCTTTACAGAAGGTTTGTTTTTTCAATCTCCCTAAGACCATCCTATTTTTGTTTAATATGCAATGGGTACAATCATGATTTTGTAATTTGTAAACACATGATTAGTAACAATAGCACAACTAAATATCATATTTTTCAAGTTTTGATGAATTCAGGGTTGAATGAGAGAAAATACTTATATGCACCCTTACAATTCTTTGTTAATTTTTAAATGGACTGATAGCAAAACTGTATAGGGATCAATTCTGCCAACTTCTTTTTTTGTTGTTGTCTGTGGCACACTATTTTAATCCAAAACTTCTTGCAAACAGCTTGACAGAATTAAACCAAACTTGCACATGTCTCTGTTACCTCTTTTGTCTATATTATTTGTTGATGGTAAGGGATACACATCTTTCTTAGAAGACTCATACAGTTTAATAAAAAAAGACATCAGCTGCTTATATGATACCTTATGGACAATTTAATTTTGGACACTGTACTATAAAAAAAGTACACATTGTATTATGCAGTTTGTGAAATGTATGTTAATTTTGTTTATGCAAACAATAAGTTATGGATTTGACCTAAATGCTTCTTAGAATGATTGCAATTTGTTCATAACACACATTGACAAGTTACAAAACCGTAGCAGCAACTCCTCTAGGGAATTTGTAGGTAGAAAATGAGATTACATAATCATGCATTGGTATGTAGAATGTTGCTTTAATGCAATTGACTTATGTTAAAAATATTTCATCCTCACATTAAGAAATATGTCTCTGTTGTCAATTGATATGACATAAAATAAACATCTTAATTAGGTTGCTGAAGAGGAAGGGAAAACTATTCCATATACTGTGAAGGATATTATGGATACATGGATACTGCAGATGAACTATCCTGTTGTCATGGTGACCAGAGCAAAGTCTGGTCTGACAGTGGAACAAAAAAGATTTCTTTTTAACAAAGACTCAAACACAACTGAAAAATTTCAGTCTCCATTCAAGTAAGTTTTCAATGTAATGAACATGAAAAGAAATAGAAAGTATTTAACAGCAATCAGAAATATAATTTACAAGCTGCTCTATCAACCAAATCAAATTTTTAATTGGTTTACTACTAAGTTGGAGATCATAAATTTGAAGAAACATTTCTGCCTAAGAAATATAATTTGTAAAAGAGGCAGTGAAAGGCTTCCATATTTTACAGAAATGTGTTTTTAAATAGTGAAATGTTATTTATTTATGTTAATTATCACTTTTGATGGCCATATTTATTAAAGAAATACTTCTTAAAATTTAACAAAAAAGTTTAAATTAAGATAACATTTTAATTACAGCTACATATGGCGGATACCCCTCACATATACTACCAGTAGTGAAATGAACTTTGATAAGTCTGGAGAGAGTGTTGTATGGCTTGTTACTCAATCAACAGGTTGGTTTATATGAAGAATATAAAATTTGACAGGAACAATATCAGATAGCTTTCATTGAGTTTAAACATTCCTCAATGATTTATATTTCGATCAAGGATTAATGAAAAAATGTAATACAGTCAAACCTACCTTAATGGTTATCTAGTTTCAGCAGTCACCTGTCTCTAATGGTCACTTTCAGACCCTCCCAAACGTTTTCTCTATATGATTTAACTCTTTTCAGCAGTCACCTGTCTAATGCGGGCAGCAGTCACCAAATTTCACCCGAAATCGTCATTTTAATGTTTTTAACTACCAATATAATCATGACAAAAAACATGTGTTCAGTATCGAAGTCAAAATGAGTATAGGACCCTGTTTGCAACATAGCTTCCAAAACAGTTGTATTGTCTGGACAAGACCAATAAATTATATTACAAGTCCGGTTGTGCAGAGCCTGATATGGACATATAATGTAGGTTTGCAATTTTCACATAATTTAGAAAAAAATTGAAGTGTATGTGATCTTTTTGACCTGACCTTTTGCCAGCCACACGTTTCCAGTCATAAAAGTGACATGATGAATAAGTTCTATAAAAACAAGCCTTACTTAAGGATGTACACCTCTGAGGAGCCAAAAATTTCTAGAATTAAACTTTTTTTCTTCACCTGATTTTTGGGTTTATATGACTGTAAACAAAGAATTGGTGAAGAAAAAATCATATGGTGGTGCACCTCTTTTTTTGCTAAGGCCATTTGAAAGTACCCAGTTTTGATGATTTTCCCATTTTTCATTAATTTTTACCCATTTTGGGGCTATTATCATGAAAAAAATCACAGTTTCACAATTAAACTTTTTTTCATACTTTCACTAAAGATAAAGTGGACCAATCTGAATAAATTTAACTAAAAAAAAACTATAGGTAGGTGTTAATATAAGAAAGTTTTATATAATTTTGTTGCTTTTTCGTGTCAAATTTCCTATGCTGTCATTTTTGTAAATTTGGGATTTTTCTCTTTTTTTTAGCTCACCGGGGCCCAAAGGGCCCCATGTGAGCTTATGCCATCACTTGGCGTCCGTCGTCTGTCGTCGTCGTAAACTATTTCAAAAATCTTCTCCTCTGAAACTACTGGGCCAAATACCTTCAAACTTTAACTAATTTTCCTTAGGGTATCTAGTTTATAAATTGTATCCGAAGTTTTGATCCATCGACAAACATGGCCACCATGGCTAAAAATAGAACATAGGGGTCAAATGTAGTTTTTGGCTTATATCTTAAAAACTAAGACTTTTAGAGCAAATCTGACATGGGGTAAAATTGTTCAATTGGTCAAGATCTATCAGCCATGAAATTTTCAGACGAATCGAACAACCCATTGTTGGGTTGCTGCCACTAAATTGGTAGTTTTAAGGAAATTTTGCAGTTTTTTGTTATCTTGAATATTATTATAGATAGATAAAAATTGTAAACAGCAATAATGTTCAGCAAAGTAAGATCCACAAAAAAGTTAATAAGACCATACTTGTCAATTGACCCCTTAAGGAGTTATTGCCCTTTAAAGACAATTTTACACAATTTGTTCATCAAGTTTGCTAACATTTAAAAATCTTCTCCTATGAAACTACTGGGCCAATTACCTTCAAACTTCAACTAAATGTTCCTTAGGGTATCTTGTTTATAATATGTATCCGAAGTTTTGATCCATTGACAAACATGGCCACCATGAGCCTCTTGTTTAGAACAAAAAGCATATTATTTCAACTTCTTTGTGATAAATGATTGAAAAAATACATATCTAAGAAATTTGAAAAGAAAAAAATTGATATGGGATGTACATGTGTCTGCTAAAATCATTTCTTATACCCCTCACCCATTTTCTCAACATTTTGGCTAAAGTTAAGTTTGATTATAATATTTTTAAAATTCATTGATATTTTCCACCTGTATCACATGTTTTGGAAATAATTCCAGAAGATTTCAACGAGACTGAAATGTCAGAAGAATACATCCTTAATACCCCCTCATTACAATCAAGGTTAATTAGTTGTCTGACAGCTGAATTTTACCTGTTCAGGCGACAGGTAAACAATTTTGTACTGGACATGTATCAGTCTATTTAAAGTTATTTTCTAAAAAATTCACTGGTTTACATCTAATAAATTTAGTAAAAATGATTTTGCCAATCAGAAATATGTATTAAAAACGTTTTAAGTGAAAAATCAACAAAACCATGTTGTCTAGTACACGTAGGCACTTGTGTGCAGGTGTGAGATTTAATTATGCAACTGAATTCTTAATAAAATGCTGAAAATATTGTTGATCCCTTTATCTTATGTCCTTTTCAAGTATTTTCTTGGAGAAATAATGCGGAAAGAACTATTTAAACTGAATTGTGCTTTGTAAATGTACACGGATTTACTTATCCATCTTGGGTCTGTTTAACCATTGTCAAGTCAACATCAAGTATTAGGTAAAGGTGCTTTTTAAAAACAATAGTAAAGTTTCTGACCATGTAATTTTGCAGTAATTAAGAGTCAAAAGCAGATGTTAATACTCTGATTTCGAATGATGCACTGTCAATGCAACAGTTTATATCAGAACCAGGGCTTCCAAAAAATATTTGAGCCAGCCAGACATTTTATGTCTTATCCCGATTTTAATCCCTTAAGACTTAATAACAAAAGGCAATTATGGACCATGTTAATCAGTTGGCCATCATATGACCAATCATTGACATTAAAAAACGATATTAAACTTTACTTTGATATAAACTCCATGTTCTGACGTAAAATGTTAAATTGACAGTGCATCATTCGAAGTGTGCAACATCAGTGTACTAATATCTGCCTTAGACTCTTATTTGTGCAAAATAACGTTGTCAAAAATTTTACTTTCGTTTTTTAAAAAGCACATTTCCTAATACCGGATGTTGACTTGACAATGATAAAACATGGACCAGAGACGAATACATAAAATCTGTGTACGTTTACAAAGCACGTTTGAGTTTAAGTAGCTCTTTCCACGTTATTTCTTCAAGAAAATACTCGAAATGAACGTTAGATAAAGGTATCAATGATAATTTTATCATTTTTATACGCCCGTCAATTTTTGTTGGGACGTATTATGGTATACAAATGTCCGGTGTCCGTCCGTCTGTCTGTCTGTCCGGCGTAAACATGTCGCACCGTAACTTGAGAATGACTTATCGAAATTTCATGAAACTTAACATAGTTGTTTCTTAAGATGGTCAAACGATCTGTATACTTTTTGGTGAAAATAAGATTAAAACTTTTTGAGTTACGGGACTTAGTAACTAAAACAGGTGTGTGTTTTTTTTCACATGTTGCGCCGTATCTCAAAAACGATTTATGATTATTGCTTAAAATTTTACACACCTCTTAGTTATATTAATCTAAAGATCTGTATACTTTTTGGTTTTGATTCAAAATTTTATTTTTGAGATATTGTTTTTTTTTTTTTAAAAGGGGGGTTTTCACATGTCGCGCCGTATCTCAAAAACGATTTATGATTATTGCTTAAAATTTTACACACTTCTTAGTTATATTAATCTAAAGATCTGTATACTTTTTGGTTGTGATTCAAAATTTTATTTTAGAGATATTGAGTTTTCTGTAAAAAAAAAAAGGGGGGTTTTCGCATGGCACGCCGTATGTCAGAAACTATTTATGCTTATTGCATAAAAATTCACACACAAGACGACGGGTATCATGCGCTCATGGCGCAGCTGTTTATTGAAGAATTAGGATGCATAATTAAATTTCCCACCTGCGCACTTGTGTACTAGTTCAAACAATGTGGTTCTGACGATTTTTCGTTTAAAACCTTTTTTAATTTTTCATCAAATCATATTTATAAACGTATTTCTGACAATTTTAATCTTTCTGACTAAATTAATTAGATGCAAACCGCTTAAATGTAAGAAAATAACTTTGGATAGACAGATCAATGTCCGGTACAAAATAGTTTACTTGTCGTCTGAACTGGTAAATTTCAGCTGTCCGACAACTAATTAACCTTGATTAAAATGATAAAGTATTAAAGTAGGGTTTGTTTTGATAGTACTTAATCATCATGACCGGAAATGTGTGACTGTTTAAGGCAAAAGGTTGGGTCAAAAAGATCGAACTTCCAATTTTTTTTTTAATTATGTTAAAATGACTGCCTCTTAAGGAAGCCTTGAAAACTAAAAGTAGATGACCGTTTCATGCTTTTCCCAGACGGACAATGTCCGGTAAATTTATAAATGTCCAGAATAAATGACCATTTTGGAAGCCCTGATCAGAACATCAAATCTATATCAAAAGTCTGAAGTTTAAAATCGTTTTTTTTTTGTCAATCATTGTTATGATGCTCTTAATTTGTAATATATGTATATAGGAGTAAATAGATGTAAGGAATTAACATGAATGAGAAAACTTATGAATGACATGTGGGATCCAGAAATTAATATCTTATTGACTTGCACCATAAAGTAATCTATCTAGATATAATCTGCTGTTATAGTTTTCCAGATTGTAATAGTTGAATATTACTTTAACAGAAATAGTTAACCAGAAAATACCTACCTCGGAGAACAGTTGGTACTTATTTAACCTACAGCAGTATGGTGTCTATAGAGTAAACTATGATATACAGAACTGGAATGCACTCATAAACACACTTAAACTGGATCACAAGGTATATACATGTATAACATAGAACTTTTAATTGAATACATTGAAAACGGGATCACAAGGTATATATAATAATTAACGTGCATGCACTCTTACACTGTAACAAGATAACATAGTATATACACGACAAGACTGGAACTAGATCACAAGCAATATGTAACACAGGACTCAAGTTCTCACATAGATAATGCAACTAGATCACAAAGTATATTTATCACTATTTTGTGTATTTTCCTTTGATCTTTTTTTGTGATAATTTTTCATATCATGCTACTTGCTTGAAAAAGAAAGTTATCACTAGAAACTAAGGGGCATGTGGTGTTTTCAATGTCAACATCAACCACATCATATGCAAAATAGCGAAAAAGGATTACCAATGGTCTTTCAAACTCAATGTTTCTTGGCCACATCTCATCTCAGGGCTGTCACTCTTTGATAAGATTATACCGAGAAACACCCTCTTGTTTGAAAAACCATCTATTATATATAAATATATATATACACCAATAATACAACAACTTGTACATAACACAACCTCATTTTTGCACTGAAATTATATTACATGGTATGTATTACATTGAACTACTTCATACACTGAAACTAGATCACAAACCATATATAAACATGAATCAAATTCTTACATGAACACAATAAACCATATGATACCTAACTCAAGCTCACACTTACATTGAAACTAGATCACAAACCATATATAAACATGACTCACATAAACACATGAACACAATAAACCATATGATACCTAACTCAAGCTCATATATACACTGAAACAAGATTACAAAGTATACGTAACTCATGCTCACACTTACACTGAAACAAGATTACAAAGTTTACCTAACTCAAGCTCACACTTACACTGAAACGAGATTACAAAGTATACATTACACAAGCTCTTACATACACTGAAACGGGATCACAAAGTTTACATAACTCAAGCTCACACTTACACTGAAACAAGATTACAAAGTATACGTAACTCAAGCTCATATATACACTGAAACGGGATAACAAAGTATACATTACACTAGCTCTTACATACACTGAAACCAGATTACAAAGTATACTCAACTCAAGCTCATATTTAGAATGAAACGAGATTACAAAGTTTACATAACTCAAGCTTACACATACACTGAAACGAGATTACAAAGAATACCAAACTCAAGCTCACACTTACACTGAAATGAGATTACAAAGTATACGTAACTCAAGCTCACACTTACACTGAAATGAGATTACAAAGTATACGTAACTCAAGCTCACACATACACTGAAACAAGATTACAAAGTATACCTAACTCAAGCTCACACTTACACTGAAACGAGATTACAAAGTATACCTAACTCAAGCTCACACTAACACTGAAACAAGATTCCAAAGTATACGTAACTGAAGCTCACACATGCACTGAAACAAGATTACAAAGTATACCTAACTCAAGCTCACTCTTACACTGAAACAAGATTACAAAGTATACCTAACTCAAGCTCACACATACACTGAAACAAGATTCCAAAGTATACGTAACTCATGCTCACACTAACACTGAAACAAGATTCCAAAGTATACGTAACTGAAGCTCACACATGCACTGAAACAAGATTACAAAGTATACCTAACTCAAGCTCACACTTACACTGAAACGAGATTACAAAGTATACCTAACTCAAGCTCATACTAACACTGAAACAAGATTCCAAAGTATACGTAACTGAAGCTCACACATGCACTGAAACAAGATTACAAAGTATACCTAACTCAAGCTCACACTTACACTGAAACGAGATTACAAAGTATACCTAACTCAAGCTCATACATACACTGAAACAAGATTACAAAATCAGGGATAGACCGATTGTAGGGACAATTGGACAATAGCGTCGGACAAGAAGAGTTACAATATTAGTTGTCTGACGGGACAAGTGAAAAATCCATGATATAAAACTTATAAAACTTTCAGGACTTACGTATACAAATGTCTAAAACATGAATTTTTTTTTTATTGATCATATGAAATCTAATTTCAATGATTGAACCAGGGGAATATAAGTAAGGGGAGGGAAATCAATAATAAAACATGCTGAAGGACAGAAGCTTTCATGTTAAAAGAGATAAGTCCAGAGAGATCAGGGTCGCTGGAATAGCGATCTTAAATATGTTTTAATGAGTTGGGATTCGCAAGGCATTTCTAAACACGTATTGAGTTTTCATGCGAGACGGAATCAAAGTAAAAATTGATTTAAGAAAATTAGGATTCATTGTAGCAGCAGCACCCAAATGACTACAGAATGGATGTGTTCCACTATCCTCATTTCTCCTCCAACGTGGAAATTTAATATGCCCAGTCTGGTGCTTTTTTATTGGTTATCTATTTATAAATAAAGAACAGATTTCAGTCATTTTCATAATTACAAACGACGATGTTTTATAGTTTTCGGGGAAATTTGAGGATCTGTATATACAACACAGTATTTTATGGTTTTGAGTGAAATTTGAGGATCAGTAGATATATATGACAATATTTTATGGAAATGAGGATATAGCCAGGAATATGATGATATGGCAGTGATGATAATTGAATCCATCATAAACTCCACACAAATTAGTGACATTGAGTCAGAGAACTTACTTTTGAATGGAAAATAACCTTTAAAAATAATAAAACTATTTTTGATGTAATATTCATTATTAAGTTACAGACAAATTCATATAACACAACAAATTACTATCTTCATCAGCACAAATACCACAAACCCTAAATTTTTCCCAATTTGGATCTCAAAATTTCAATCGAAAATAAATCCAGAAGTTACAGTACACTGAAACAAGATTACAAAGTATACCTAACTCAAGCTCACACTTACAGTGAAACAAGATTACAAAGTATACATTACTCAAGATCACACTTGCAGTGAAACAAGATTCCAAAGTATACCTAACGCAAGCTCACACATGCACTGAAACAAGATTACAAAGTTTACCTAACTCAAGCTCACACTTACAGTGAAACAAGATTACAAAGTATACATTACACAAGCTCAATCATACACTGAAACAAGATCACAGAGTATGTATAACAATATATTACAAAGGACTTGAAAGAACTCATACGCACACTGAATGATTATCACAAGGCATATACAACAACTGAAATGCACACACTGAAACAAATATACATAGTTTGCATAACACTTAAATGCTGTCATAGGTACTGAAACTAGATGACAAGGTATATATATATATACATACTTTTTGTGAGCTTGTGTTTCTGCAAACATTAGTCAACAGTATTTGTAAGCTTTTATCGTCAATATAATTTAAAACATGAATCGAAATAGTCGAAATATTTCTGTGAAAACAGATAACATGAAATTCATTGCTGTACCGTCTTGTCTTTAAATATGACAGATTGTTAGTTATATTTTGTTATCTAGAAAATTTTCTCTTTACTTGATAGAAAATTCCTGTCATCAACAGAGGCCAAATTATAAATGATGCATGGAATCTGGCAAAGTAAGTTACATTGTGGTTCTATTTTTACACAAGAGTCTAATTTGACCACAAAATGAACTAATTTACATTTGTCGATGTTTAATTCTTGAAACTATGAGAATAAAAAGTACCTGTTAAAGAAATACATTATTACTTTGTTATAACTTTATTGTCGCCAGACTTGAACATCTTAAAGCATCAGTATGCTTCAAAACATTTAAGTCTGATAACATAAAAATAATATGCCTGATGACATTCCATTCTGGCTACATTAGATTTTAACAAACTACTTTTGTATTTAGTTTTTTGTAAAATTTTGACATGTCACTTTAGAAAAATCCCTTTGAAATAAGCTAATGTTGCAATTCATATAACCCTTCCATTTGAGTGTTATAAAATTTGATAATGAAAATAACTATCCCTTTCTTTTGCTTGTACAATTGATTACCATGAAAAATAAAATAATCTAAGAACTATTATAACAATTGATATTACATTGAAAATCCTTGATGATTATAGGCCAAACACATAAATGTGTTTAAAGATTATTGTAAAGAGGAATAAAAGGAGATCTAATGAGGTATTCATCAATGACACAGCCAAAAAAACCCAAACAACCACAAAAGACATCTTAAGGTCAACATATTTTCTTCAATAATATACCAGTGTCCTTACAATAGGTCTTTGCTCATTGTTGAAGGCTGTACAGTGACCTATAGTTGCTTACTGCAAAATCATTTTGTCTGGTAGAGAGTTGGCTCATTGGCAATCATACCACATCTTCTTATTTTATACCAAGATCTATTACTATCCAATTTATTTACAGAGCTGAAGAGCTGCCAGTAACAATTGCCTTAGAGACGCTGAACTATTTAGATAAAGAGATGGATTATGTCCCTTGGGCAGCTGCAACAAGAGAACTTGCATATGTTGACGACATGTTGTCAAAAACAGAGACATTTGGTGATTTCCAGGTAAATTTATATACTAATAGGAAACAGTATCTTAGTTCAGATTACATTCATAGGGCTTTGTTATTTGTTGCTTAGGTTAAAAAGCTTCTTGGCATCTACCCTTCGATATTATTTATACCAATGGGTCTTCAACACAGCGAGATAATTCTGCACCCGGAGGTGGGCCTCAGTTGGACCCTAAACAAAAATGTGTACTAATTCAGTGTATGTTTTACCAAATACATTAGTTTAAAATGGTTGAAAAAATCCTAAATAATTTATGTTTTTTTTGTGTTTTCAGAATTTTGTGAAAGCCAAAGTTTCAGCACCATTTAATGAACATGAATTAGAGTTCTCAAACCTGACACATTTGGAAATGTAAGTGCTTCTGATGGTACTGTTATTGCTAATTTTTATACGCCCGTTTACGGGACGTATTATGGTATACCGTTGTCCGTCCATCCCTACATCCGTCTGTCCGTCTGTTCCGTCCGTCGTCAACATGTCGGACATGAACTCAAAAACGCTTTAACCAATTTGCATAAAACTTCGGTGAATTGTTTATATCTATTGACGTGAGCTCTGTTTTTTCGTTTTTTATAAATTTTAGATTTTATGTTTCCGAGTTGTAGGGTTTTATTCATTAAAAAAAGGGGGATTTTCCAGTTTTCGGACAATAACTCAAGAATGCTTTCACCAACTTGAAAGAAATTGTGGTGAATTGTTTATATCTATTGACATGAGCTCCCTTTTCGATTTTTATATATCTTAGATTTTTCGTTTCCAAGTTACAGGGTTTTATTCATAAAAAAGGGGGATTTTCTAGTTTTCGGACAAAAAATCAAAAATGCTTTCAGCAGTTCTTATGATACTTTGGTGAATTGTTTATATCTATTGATGTAAGCTCCGTTTAGAATTTTATAAATTTTACATTTTACATTTCTGAGTTATGGTGTTTTATTCATTTAAAAAGGGGGGATTTTCCAGTTTTCGGACAATAACTCAAAAATGCTGTCAGCAATTCTCATGAAACTTTGGTGAACTGTTTATATCTATTGATGTAAGCTCCTTTTACATTTTCATAAATTTCTAATATGACATTGAGAATTAATTGAACTTTGATTGTTTATAGTCTGACAACAGATTTACTAAGTATTCCGCAACAGCACAGTGTATCGCACAACAGCAAGAAATCTTTAATTGAATATAAATTCAATTCATATAACCAATTTCAAGTTCTTTGACTACATTTATTCAGAAACTTATAATATGTCAAATATTTAATACAATCCAAATTAAGACCTGTATCAAGCTTGAATATTGTGTCCATTTTTGCCCCAACTTTTCAGGGTTGGACCTCTGCGGGCGTATCCAGCTGCGCTCAGCGAAGCAGTTTCTTATATTAGTAAGCCTGTTTCTCTAGAACCAAATTTTTTTCTGTATATTTGCTTTTTAAAATATTATTTGGAACATCAATGATACTGATTAACCATCATACACCAAACACTTTTTTACTCTGTTCACTGTGGATGCATTAAGGTGGTACATAACACTACAGGGAGACAGCTCTGTAAAAATCAGCTGAACGTTTTAATCCCGTTCTATTGTTAAGGAAATATTAAGCTTCTCAATGATCAAAATTAGTGTTTGTCAAACTGTTATATATCCAATGAAACTTTTCCGATAAAGTGTGAGGTTCAAGTTTTTTGAAATTTTTAGATTTTTGTCAAAGTAAATTATTTGTCAAAATTTTATGAAAATTAAACGAACCAAATTAATTTTAATCAAGGTGTTTGGTACTACCTTAAATTGATTTTTTTCTATTTATTTTTATTGTCATTGATATTTTCGAAAATCTTTTGTGAAAATGAATAGCCTGCAAAGGAAATTATGATTTTAAATAAATTGCAGGTGTTAAAATTTAGAAGTTTTCTATATTGCTACATCTAATTACAGATATGCAGTGAGAACATTTGTCGGAGCAGCCTGTTCATATGGAGAAGAATCTTGTGTTTCAAAAGCCAAGACATTGTTCAATCAGTGGATGAAAAATCCTGAAAATAATGTGTGAGTTATTGCTTCAGAATATCAAAATAAATAGACATAGTTGTCATTGAGACATTGTTCTAAATTAAAGTCCGCATAAATCTAAAAACCAAATATATGGTGACATACATCTTACTACTCCTGTTACAATTTACCGTAAAATGTTTAATGTAAACAGCTTAATAGTCCCCTGTGAAAAGCATTGCTGGAGACATAGAAACACCAGGCTTCCTTTCACCCATCTGTGCATCTATCTGTCTGGTCTTGTTAGCTCTCTCCAGTGTACAATTCTTGCCAGATTTTAAAAACTTATATCATAGATTTATATTAGCGATGTCTGGGACAAGATAAAAAATCAGTGCTGATCAACTGTTTTTAAGAGTTGTGCCCCTTTGAAATATTAGTTATATGGAAAACTGCATTAATTCTTGCCAGATTTTTATGAAACTTATATCATAGGTTTATATAAGCAATGTCTCGAACAAATTCAAAAATAAGTGCCGATCAAATATTTTTAAAAGAGTTATGCCCTTTGGAAATATTACTTATATCGGAAATGGCATTGCATTTGCTCTCAAGCCTTCATTTCTCTAAGATATTATTAATAAAAAGTTTCAAAGAACAACAATAAAAGTTTTCTTTAGTTATATCCCTTGAACAGATAAAATATGTGCAACGTGGGGGACATTGGTACTCTGTTCTTTTATTATGAAATAAATGTATATATTTACAGGAAATACAGCATAGCGCAAAGAAAAAAGCCTGGAGATATTTTAATTTTTTTGCTTCATAAAAGTATATATGGCATTTCACACCATGAAATATTTCAGGATTAATCCTAACATTAAAGGCACAGTCTATTGTACTGGAGTGGCTGATGGTGGCATAGAGGAGTGGAATTTTGTTCACAATCAGTACAAAATAGCCCCAGTCGTATCAGAAAAGTCCCTTCTTCAGTCTGCCCTGTCATGTACCAAAGAAGCATGGATTATTAACAAGTAGGTCATTTATGTAGAGACATTGCAATGCAACATAAACATGACTGTTCCATGAAACACTTACACTATGAACTATATAAAACTGCTTATTTAATGACAGAGAAAGTCCTTTATAGTGATTTTTATGTGATTGTATTTTGGTTCAATTATTTCTGTCTGCTAGTAAAACTAATGCTGAATGAGGGGTGTCTGGTTGTGCCATATATTTAGAATTGCAGCTTAGCTTTGTTCAGTGGGAAGTGTAAGAACTTTAATGTTAAGGAACCCTTGCAACAGCTGAGGCTGAAAGTGTCCTCTTTCAAGGCAAAATTTCTGCCCTTATCAAACAAACACTCATTTTCCATTAACAATCCAACTTATTTGCCCTTCACCCTGGTTGACCTACATTGCAGAGCCTTCTTGTTGCGTAAACCCCTGAGGGTTTACGCAGTATATATTGGACGACCTCCGTAGTCTTTCGGAACACCTGAAGTCTTTTTCGGAATACATCTCTGTTCTTTTCTACGACCACCTGCGTAATAGGTAATTAATTGATCTAATGAATATTCATTACCGTTATACCGTTGTTGAAGAGATAAGTGTTTATCGAGAATATATAAACAAGTCTAAATTGAAAACAATGTTCAAACCTATGATTGCGTTGGATAAAAACCGCAATTTTAATACGTGTGCATGCAAAACAAATTTCATGGTAGAGGGGAGGGGTCTAAATACAGCACAAACAACATTTTTCAAAAGACCAAAAAAGTAAAAAAGTATATTTTAACAAAACGCATTTGACTAGCAGGTCGAACAACGGATGTACTTAAACCCTGCTAACTGTCATGGCGATTGCCAAATAAACGGATCACAGATGTAACAAAATGGATCTTAGTTATCAATTTAATACCAAACAGAAAACAATAAATTTGCGGAAAAGATGGTATACCGCAAACATGAGGTGCAAAAATTTGTACACCATATCCGGATTTTTACAATTAATGTCTCTTCAGTGATGTTAGGAATCGAAACGGTATTTGGAAGGCCATATAATTTACCTCAATTTGGGATTGACTCTTGAATTTTGAAGAGTCGAAATAGGATGATCATATAAACCCGAAGGCAAATATAATACAAGCCCAAACGGAAAAAAAATAACAAGTCTATATTGAAAACAACGTTCAAACCTATGATATCGAGACTATATATATATATATATATATTTGATATCCTCTGGGACTATTATACTAATACATTTTGTCACAGATATCCTGCATCAGTAATTAATTGATAAAAGATGATGTGTGAAGTTTTCTGAAGCACAAGCTGTGCTCCCATCTGGGATAAGATTTTAAGCGAAAAAAAGTGACTGTCAGTGAATAGAAATAAAATTTGGCCATTTTTTAGTGAAATAAAAAAAAGAGCGCAGTCCATTTAAGCAGCGTTTAGATTCTTAACAGAATAAAGTACAGCCATACGGTTGCCAGTAATTGGATAGTTGTCTATTTGGCAATCATACCATATGTCCATAATTTTCATCAATCTTACATGAAAATAATGCCAGTTAACCCTTGAAATTAAGACGAAATTAAAAAGGCACTTTTTTGGTGTGTTAAATCAGTGAAATATAATACAGTATTATTAGTGTCTGGCCAATTTAATGCAAAATTATGTCATATCAAAACAGTTGATTGATGAATACGCGTTAGATTAATTCCTTAAAATTATTCTATAGATCTATATAAAACGATTCACGAACAATTTCTAATTCTTTAAAACTTATGGTCATTGCGATAAACAAAAATGGTGTTTGATATATTCCTCGATGTTTGCCATCGAAAACTATTGTAAATTACTACTGGTATGTTGTTTTTGAGAAAAGATTAGCAATATTGTTTAGGTACTTATTTAGTGCTGATTATCTTATCAAGTCAGAGATCCCTTTTTCTTCTCTTTTGTTTGGGGGGGGGGGGGGGGGGAGGGGAGGAATGAGGGGTGAGTTTTCAAAGGGACACTGACCTGTGTCGACAACCCTCTCCAAAAAGTATAGTTATAAATGGAAAAATCCATTCTTTTGTTTTTGTCATGTGAAACCCCTCCCCAAATAAAGCTAGTTAAAACATAATGTAGCAGGTGCACAGCTTTGTGTCTTATAAGTCTTATAGATGAAGTTTTGGGAATTTCCGTCAATTCATTTACAAGGAGTTGTGGCAATCTGTATTCATAAGTCAAGTTAGAGGTCTAGTTGACAGAGGCCCAGAGCGTGTTTTCTGAAAAAATTAGGACGATATGTTGTAAGCAAAATAAAAACACACATAAAAAACCCAGCTTAGTACAAATTATTTTTCTTAAAATGAAAATCAATATCCGTATTCAACGGACAGTCGATTGCAAAAATAACATTTTTTTTTTAAATTGCGTACTGAACTACATGTATACTGCATTGGCCTTTTCATTCCTGCTTCCTTCTCAGTGTCTATCACACAGTCGTATAAAAACAACAAAGCTACAGCTTCTTTTTATTTGGGCTAATTAACAAAAGGACAAGCTAGAAATAAAAAAGTGAGATTCGTTTGAAAAAGTAAAAAGTTCCGGTTTCAAACTGTTTCACTCCAAAAGCTTGGTTTGAGTTTGTTGCCCGTGCATGGTATTTATAAATTAATCAAAAATATCATGAATATGATAGCCAATGACCAAACAACAAAAAAAAAGCAATATTAGAAAAAGAAAACATTAAATGTAATTATCTATAAGTATTTCGGCGAGGAAAAAACAAAAATTTGCTTCCGCAATTTGCAGATTTAACATTGTTGTTATGATATTTAGAGTAGTTATATGTATATAAACCATTAATATTAATATATATAATATAAGATTTATCGTTGGCTATTATTCAGTCATTCATTATATATATATATACAAGTCTAAATTGAAAACAATGTTCAAACCTATGATTGCGTTGGATAAAAACCGCAATTTTTATACGTGTGCATGCAAAACAAATGCTTAGTAGAGGGGTCTAAATACAGCACAAACAACATTTTCCAAAAGTCCAAAAAAGTGAAAAAGTATATTTTAACAAATATATATATTTATAAACCAGTTTGATACGTTTTTAAAAAAAAATGGTTTTAGTTTGGGATTATCAAAAAGAATGCAGCTTAGAATTTTTAACTATTTTCAAACTGGCTACAAAACAAATAATGATCATGATTAATTGATTAAATTTCTTCACATTTGCATTCGAACTTTAGCCTGAAAACTAACTCTTATTTAAAAAAAAAACAGTACCTTAGAATGGAACATCCAGTGGGTGACTTAGCATGTTGTCTATCGGGAGAGCGGAGATACAAAAAATGATTCCTTTAACAAGAATATTTCACCCCACATTGAACAGTTGTTACATGAACAATCAATGTCAGTTTCTAATTCTTATACAACAAAAATAATGTAAAACGATGTATCTTTAATAAACGGTTATCTGATATTTAATGCCAAACAAGCATTTAGGTTTACGATTGCATTTCTTTTTTTAAAGAAAGCAACTTGTTGTGGTAATTAGTTAATCTGTTCTCATCCTGAATATCCAAGATTGATTTATGACTAGGTGTTAAGCAAGCAAGCTACAGTCAATTAACCCTGGTCAACCTTCTAATTTGATGTATTTATTTAGTTTTCACTCTTTCTGAACCTGTGTTGATGATTCCCAACAACAATCAGTGAATTAGTACAATATATTTTTGTTGATCTAAGACTTCCTCCAGGATATTTATAAATATAATACAAATGATACAAATACATTTCAAGATAACCTCCTCATATCTCTGAGAGGTCTGTGGAATGGGTCAGTAGTTCGTATAAGTACATGTAATACTATTTTCAAGGATCTGATTTCATTTCAGATTATTAGAGATGACTTCTGACCCTAATGAGATCAGAAAGCAAGATGCTCCTTATGTTATCATGCAAGTGGCAGATAATTCAGTTGGAAAATATCTGGCTAAAGAATTCTTCTATCAGAACTGGGATTTCATTAGAGATACGTAAGTATTTAAGAACAATGACATTTTCCTAGGTAATACTATATTCCACCAGATACATTTTAGTATTTCAAAGTTCATTAACAGTGATGAAAGGAAGACTTTACAAGGTGTTGGTATGCAAGATTGATGCATTTTTTGGACTGATCGACATGAAACATACACTACTATGTTCCATCCTATATAAAACTTTCTAGGACTAGACTATGAATAAAGGGAGATGTGTGGTATATGTCAATGATAGAGCAACAAAAAAACCAAGACATCTAGAGGCATTTATACTATTTACCTTATTTTGTAACTACTGTTCCCCAAAAAGACCTATTTTTAATACAAAAAGAAAACTTAAAATATTGTTAAAAATGCATTTAAGTAAATTGGATATTTAAGTACAATTTTTCAGTATATGCCAGGAAAAAAAATCGTTGATGTAGTAACAATTTATTTTATTGCTGTTTTTATATGATATACAATAGGTGTATATGATATTAAGTAAATTGGATATTTAAGTACAATTTTTCAGTATATGCCATGAAAAAAAATCGTTGATGTAGTAACAATTTATTTTATTGCTGTTTTTATATGATATACAATAGGTGTATATGTTTTCAGGTATGCTGGAGGATTTGGTGTTTTTATAAAGTTAGTTCAAGCAATAACCAAGGCATTTAACACTGATTATGAACTAGACCAGGTTTGTTTTATTGTATTAATGGCTTAAATCTTTTACAAAGTTAGTTAAGCAATAAGCAAGGTATTTGATACTGATTATAGACCAGGTTTGTTGTAATTTCTTACTGATTTTGTATTAAGGGCTATATTCATGGCATTTAACACTGATTTTGAACTAAACCAGATTTTTCCTAATATCTCACTCATACAAAGTTAAAGTTAAAGCTGTTTTCCAGGTTGTTTAACACAGTTATGAACTCAACCAGTTTTTTATCTTTAAAACTTGGTTGAAGTTATCACTTAAATTTTATTAATGATTATAAACTTTGTTTTTAGGTGTATAGTTGTCTCATTTTCAGTCACATCATTATTCCTTTATCTTGTATAAACCAGGTCTGTTGTAATTTTTAACTTATTTTCAATTTTAAAAAGTAAGTGATGGAATCTATAACCAATGCATTTTGCACTGCTTTTGAAGTATTTTTGGTTTCTTGTTAGTTCTAATTATGTTCTAATTTATTGTAAGAAGTTAAGTTTACTTATTTTAAGACATGCAACAAAAACTTCCATTAGAAACCCGTAGTTCTATTAATATGTTAGTAAAAGCTGCTGGCAATTTTCATAAGTAAAATTTGTTCCATCTTTCCATTAACTTTGTTTGCGAATTTGTTGATGAGCAAAAAAAGTAACATTTTTTGTTAATTTTCTGAAAAGTACTAATTTAAGTTTTTATTTGATAAAAAAAACCCTAGTTTATAAATTATGTGGGTTTTTTTTTTTACAGTTAAAAGACTTTTTAGCTTCAGAATCGGACCTAGGTCCTGGAGCTAGAGCATTCGAACAAGCTATTGAAAACACAGAGTCAAACATCAGATGGATGAAAAACAATTATAATGACATTAAGAAATGGCTAGGTGTACATCCAACACCCCACAAAGTTGATAACGTAAGACTACCAAGATCTTTAATACCAAAAATATACAATTTGACACTGAAACCAGATTTTTATGGACCTGACCCATCCACATTCTCAACAGAAGGAAGTGTGAGGATAGAAATAGAGTGTACAGTGGAAACAAATAATATAACACTTCATGCTGTGGATTTAACAGTGAATGAGTCCACAGTGACAATCAGCAGTTCAGATCATGTTGGAACATTACCAACCGTGGTTAGTCTTGCAGAAGACAAGGAACGGGAGTTTCTTATTGTTAATGTAGATGCAAATTTGCAAGCTAGGAAAACATACATTTTAGAGATGTCTTTCACTAGTCCCCTGTCTAATAAAGTTCTAGCTGGACTTTATCTCAGTTCATACAAAAGAGGTGACCAGACTGTGTAAGTTATCTTCAGCTAGAAAGTAATACCAATAAAATATCACTTGTTAGGGGTCATTAGGTACTGTTAGGAAGATGTTAAAAGATTGAAAATAGAAAAGAAAAATATTTACCTTAACAAAGCTTCACAGACAGACTGAGTCAATAAATTAAGTATTGATTAAAATATTGATTTGTATTCAGAATTTTTTGATCTAATAATCCAATAATGCAAAACTGAAGCAAACCAATATGTATAGTCATCAGCTAAAACTTTACCACACTACATTAAGAGAAAACCAATATGTATATTTATCAGCTAAAACTTTACCACACTATATTAAGAGAAAATATAGTCATGAGCTAAAACTTGACCACACTATATTAAGGGAAAACCAATATGTATAGTCATCAGCTAAAACTTTACCACACTATATTAAGAGAAAACCAATATGTATAGTCATCAGCTAAAACTTTACCACACTATATTAAGAGAAAACCAATATGTATAGTCATCAGCTAAAACTTTACCACACTATATTAAGAGAAAACCAATATGTATAGTCATAAACTAAAACTTTACCATACTATATTAAGAGAAACATTAGAAATCAAACAAATTATCTTCAGATTTTAAAAATATTTACTAAGGTAATACTTGTCCAGTATATTTTCAAGACAACTGATTAGCTTTTGTCCAACCCTTAAATATATATTTCAGAATCAGCCCTAAAACTAAACATGTTGCACACTCTTTTTGTGAATAAAATCATGCTATTTTGTATTTTGTTGTTTCAGATATCTAGCCACTACACAGTTTGAATCAACAGATGCCAGGAGAGCTTTCCCTTGTTTTGATGAGCCTGAACTTAAGGCACAGTTCAAGGTGACTTTATTAAGGAAACCAGACAGAGTAAGCTTGAGTAATATGCCACAGGAGAAAACTGGTGTTCCAAGGTAAGATGCATGTGAAGAATAATTGATGTGATCCTGTTAATTCTGATATTGTGGCAGAAACTACACATCAGAGCTTCATGATATTTGGTACCAAAAAAGGGACGAAAGACACCAGAGGACAGTCAAACTCATAGATCGAAAACAAACTGACAACGTCATGGCCAAAAATAAAAAGACAAACAGACAAATAATAGTACAGATGACACAACATAGAAAACTAAAGACTAAGCAACACAAACCCCACCAAAAACTGGGGGTGATCTCAGGTGCTCCGGAAGGGTAAGCAGATCCTGCTCCACATGTGGCACCCGTCGTGTTGCTTATGTTATTACAAATCTGGTGAATAGTCTAATTCGGTAGGTCACATTCGTGAAAAGGGAAGGGTATTGTAGTTACGACATTAGGAACATATCCGATATCATCTGTGAAACGGTTATTCCATAACAGTCAACCAACTCGTGATGGTGTCCGTAAAATTTACGAAGGGATGATTTCAACTTCACCATTTGGAACTCTTGGTTTAATAGCTTCCTTGTGAGCAGCAATCCTCTATCAAGGAAATCATGATAGGAAATACAAGCCCTGGAATATCGTATCAATTTGGAGATATATACTCCGTATGCAGGGGCTGCTGGAATGTTGCTACATAAAAATGGAAAGTTCACAATTGGGAAGCTGAAATCATCTCTTTTGTCGTAAAGTTTTGTTCCATATTGGTAAGCTAATTTTCCGGAGCATCTTAGATCACCCCTGTTTATTTAGTGTGTTATACGTTGCTCAGTCTTTAGTTTTCTATGTTGTGTTTTGTATACTGTTGTTTGTCTTTTCATTGTTTTTTGCCATGGCATTTTCAATTTGTTTTCGACCTAATATGAGTTTGGATATCCCTTTGGTATCAATTGTAGATTGTCAATGGTATTTCAAATGAGAGAGTGTTTGTCAGCTACAATCTGAGATGAGATGTAGCTGAGAAACATCCTCGAATTTGAAAGACCATTGATAATCTGTTTATCGCTGTTTTCCTAGGCAAATTCTCTGTCTACTCAAATGAGAAAATCTGTATCACTCCAGTACCGTGACAAAAAAGATCAAAGTTTTAGAAGATAGTAATAAATAAATTTATTTTCTGTTAGGTTCTCAATGTTTTGTAAAGTTTAATTTTCTAAATTTATTGAAACTAATTGCCATGTAAGGCAGTGCATTGTTGAGTAAACAAGGAGATGCTCTGAACATGATTTTGTATGAGGCTGACTAATTGAATTTTAAAAGAGCTAGGTATATGATATATTAATCTTGAATATAATTGTCACTTACAGTGTAGATGGGTTTGTAGCAGATGAATATGCCTTGTCACCAAACATGTCTACCTATCTACTCGCCATTATTGTATGTGATTTCCAGTATACACAAACTACAACTAAAAATGGTATAAAGGTAAGTTTATATATATAGAGGCATTATAAAATAATAACTTCATACTAATTTTGTTAGTACATTTGTATTATGGTTTGGTACTGAGTTCCTTGCATCAGATCATGTTGACATGTTATTCAAAAGCCATCAATAAATACATCAGTGCAACTATGCATTCAGTAAACCAACATGTGAAAAAAATAGGAAGATTCCAAGGGATCAGTCAAAATTATTAGCTACAGAAAGACCTGTAACATTTATGACAAAAGAAAAAAAAGGCAATAAATAAAACAATAGATCAATAAACACTACACAGAAAGTTTAAAAGAATGAGCATATCAAACCTTGTCAAAGAACCAGAAAAGAATTCTGGACAACTTTCCTGAAATCATTTTTAGAGAACAATTTTTCATGTTATAGTAAGTTAAAAAATAGATTGAATACAGAGAAAGGACTTCAAGGAATTTTTCAAATCACTGTAAACCAATTATTTTTTTCAACTTTTGTGAGTAGAAAAATAACGCAAATATAAATCTACTCAAATGTATCAGACCCTGATCTTCTATATGAATACAACAATAAAGTTAGAAAATTAAAGCAAAAAATGGAGGAAAATAGGTAAGAATAGACAAATGCACACAAAACAAGGATCATGATTGAATAGTGAATTTGAACAAGATATTTGCATATTGTATGTGTCACATGTAAATTGTGGGAAATGTTTGTGTGTTGGCTTTTGTTTAGAGGCTGCACCAGAAATATCCAATTGTGATATTGTATTATATATTTAATGTAGAGCATAAATTACAATATACATATTGTGTGTTTTCTTCCAAGTATAGAGCTTGGGCTACACCAGAAATGGTGAATGATGTTTTTGTAATTTTAATAGCATATTCTACACCAGTTACTGAATAAAATTTTGTATTGATTTTAGTATAGAGCATGGTCTACACCAGAAACTTTGAATCAGACTGCATTAGCCTTAAAAACAGGAGCTGACACCTTAACACTCTATGAAGATTTCTTTGGAGTTGACTTTCCAATAAAAAAACAAGGTTAGCTATTGAAACATAGTATAGAATATAAACCAGATCTTGTTTAATTGTTTTAGAAAATTTGCCCATTCCAAATCTTATATGCTTTCATAAAATCAGGAATGAAAACCTTAATTCTACTAATGAATCATCAGTAATATTTTATGAAACTTCATTGAGTTTCAATTTTAGGTCAGTGTTGTAGGGTAGAGATTACATTCATGCAATCAAAACCGTAATGGCACTGGCTTGATACCTACAATTTTCAGACCTCATACAGAGCTCCAGATAAGCTACGTATTTGCGTGATCACGCAATAAAAATAATTAAAAACCCAATGCAATTGCCCATTGCAGGGTTCAATAACCCAATTAATTCAAAGGAAAACCAAATTATATGCCAAAAACATGGGTTCTTAACGCTTTTATTCGCTATCGTTTGCGTTATTTACCCTTACTTGATTACAGTCGTCGCGTAAATCTATTTTTATAATATTTAATGTAATACTCACCAAAATTTATCTATAATTAACGCTATTTTCTGTTGGAAAATTTCAGAAAGATGCTGATAAACTTATTTGGTGACACAGATTATTTTCTTGATTTGGCGCGAATTATATTCTTACTCTTAATGCTTGACGTAACAAAATTTGTATAGAATTATATTTTACTAAAGCTCAGCGTAAATATGCAGAAGCATGACAATACATTAATGATAAAATGTGTAAATATTTCTGTAAAAGAATATAATTTTACTTTACCAGTATACTTCACTTAGAATTACATTTGAGCGCAAGAAAATCTCTATGTGAATCGGCTGAATCCCGGGGTCGAAGTTCAACATATCAACGGAAATTTTTGCGTGTGCTTGCGTTGCTTTAGATCGAGGCCACAGCTTTTCAACCAATCGGGGAATGTTTACTTGGGGCATACATCTATTTTTACTGCAGGTTTCGACATGTTTAAATCGGGATTATAGAAAAATGGAATGTTGTTGGTAGATACAAAACAGAAAATGATGAACACTTTTAGCAAAAGATAAATTGGATCGGGGGTCTGTGAATTCACATTATTTGTACAACTCTCCTTAATCTTGGGAAGCGTGTGCTTTAAATCGAGGCTTTCGTTGCTTTACATTGACGCCATAGTAGTTCAACCAATCGGGGAATGTTTATTTGGGGCATACATCTATTTTTACTGCAGGTTTTGGCATATTTTAATCGAAATTAGAGAAAAATGGAATGATGTTAGGAGATATAAAACAGAAAATGATAAATATTTTTAGCAAAAGATGAATTGATCGGGGTTCTGTGTATTCACATTATTTGTACAACTCTCCTTACTGATGGCAAAAAATGGAATTTCCGTGACCTAAATGGTTCGCGAAAATTAATATTTTTATATATATATAGTAATAATTGGAAATGTCCTTTCGTTCTAAAAATAGAGCCCTGCATCAAGTAGCTGTAATGGGTCCTTGTTGGAATTTTCCGTTGCTCAAAAGGTACACGTGTTTATGAAAACTTTTCGATCTTCTCGGTGTTTATCCAATTAGCGTGTGACATGCTGTCATATTTTTTCGAATTGCTCGGGACTTATCATAACATACAATGAATTAAAACGAAAGTAAATGTCCGGTAAAATATTGAATAGAAGCATGTTTTCGGCTTCTTTTTGATAGCTGAGGGAAAGTTATGATGATAACAAGACTCAGCTAGTGATTTTAGGAAGCGGCCATTGAACGCTCGGGCGTGTTTGCGTACCATAACGAGAACATTGCTAGAGCGATAAACACGGGGTTCCGTCAAAAACGAAATCAGTTGGAAAAAGTGAAAGGCCAAATCAATTATGACATGATATGTAGTTTGAAAGCATCGGAAACCAAAAGTTCTGATAAGGGACAACTTAACCCAGATTTGTGTAAATTGAATTAAACGAAAACAGTTTATATATTATTTTTTTCATTTTAGTTGATGAGTGAATACACGATATCCGTTTTTTACGTCAATGCAGCTTGACACTTTCTTTGTTTTGGTCTAATTTTTCTAGATGCTTAAGATAGTTGTCTTATTGGCAAGTGCAGTATAACATTGTCATTTATTTACTTGATGTTGCAGAATTATTTGTAAATTTAAGTTGAATGTGGTCTCCGTCATTATAAACCACCCTATAAACCTCAAGGTTTTGGGGTATATCTTAAATATGGAAACTGCTTTTTATTTTTATTAAAAAGAAGTTCTGGCAAATAGGTGAAAGGACTGGCAAAACTTTCTTACAGCACCTAAATTTCACATATATTACACAAAAATCTAAACACTTAGCCACACCTACCCCAACTATAATTAAACTGTAGGGTGATCATATGGGATCTAGAAAGGCAATTAGTTCCTGTCCAAATAGTGACACCAGCTGCAGTTTACATAAGTTTTGAGAAAATACAAAACTGACAGAACGTTTAAAACGGGACACAAATTAAATGTACAATTGCTCGTCAGTGAATAAACCAAATAAAACAGCTAGCACATATTCTACAAAGAAAGAAACACATTTAAGATGGAAACACATCTGGGGTTGATATAATGTGATTATAACATGCCTAAATATTCAATATTGTGTTGATGAAAAAACCCAATACATTAAGGAGCTTGGTGGTGAAAAACCCAATTTGATATTTGCTTGAGGGGTGAATTGGAATTGATAATGCAATTAAAAAACTTTATCACCCAATAACCTAAAAAAATGGTGGGTAAAAACCCCAATTTGTGAATTCTTATCTGGAGCTCTGCCTCATAACAACTACTGATTGCACAAAACACAGTGCATGGAGGTGAACATTCATAACATGCTATCTGTGTACATGTCAAGCAATTTTCCAATGAAATATATAGTCAAATATTCAAGTTACTCAATGATGTGTAGGTGTATAACTATACATGTCAAGAAAACTATTTATTGAAAATGGCAGAAATTGTGCATGATGCATGACCCTTATGGAAAAATAAGGCTTCTTGCAAATATTTGCGGCAATATTGCTGCAAATATTCATTTTTCGTATGTAAATTAGTTTTCTTGCAAACAGTTGCTGCAATATTGCCGCAACAATTTGCGGCAATATTGCAGCAAATGTTTGCGGGAAAATCAGTAGCTATGATTGTTGCAGCAATATTGCGGCAAATTCATTAGCTGCAATGTTGCAGCAATATTGCAGGAAAATTAATTTCTTGCAATATTGCAGCAACATTGCAGCAAATCTTTCAACAATTTCAGTTGAAAAATTAGGAATTAAAAACTAAGCATTTAAAAAAGTATGATTTAATAATAAAACAAAATTTTCTCTGTCCTCTATAGGTTGTTGTGTAACATATCTGTGTATCCTTTAGTTCTGTTTCTCTGTACTCACTGTCCTTAAAGTTGAATTTTCTGATTTCAAATACTGCAAAATAAAAGTTGAAGAATTTAGCATACATTAAAAGAATAATTAAACATTATAAAGATATAAAGATATAAGTTACTACTATATATTGTAAATTCTGGACTTGTAAAATGAAAATAACTCTTTATAAAGAGATGATTACAGACCAATTTTTCCAGCATTTGTTTCACTTAAAGGGGTCAATGTCTAAAAGTGATCAAGTCCTTCTAGAAATTGCATATTACTATAGAATACATTTAACCTTATGCCAGTACTAGGTTGTTATTGCTTTTTTGAAGATTTGTTTTTCATTGAACTATAACATTATTGGTCTTGTCTATTCTTTAAAATTTTTGTGATTAGTTGTGTATATATAAAAGCTAAATATTGTTGCCATTTGTTGATAGACCTCTTATTGGCAGTCAAATCACAGATCTCTAATTTAATACCAAACTGCTTTTATTAGAAGATTTCTTGTTTCAATTTAAGTAATGTACTTTCTAAAACACATAGTCTTAAAAAAATATCTCCTTTCTTACACAATTTTAATAATATTCAAGTGCATAAATCTATTGTCTTATACTTTTGTCAACTCTATTAAGTTAAGAAAACTCTTTAAATATCACTATTTTGAACTGTAAGAGCAAGCACTTATTCAAAATGGTGGACATTCAACTCCATTGTACTTACCAAAAGATGTTATCCAAATTATGTGTAAACACCAATCTTCCTAAATCCAAGAGTCATGTCAACTGAAGGCTATCATATGCACTATCCAGTGTCAATAGAATAAGTTGGAACTTTTGGATCTAAATCCATTGTAAAATTCATATTACTTTGTTCATGATAGAAGACATCTTTGTTTGTTGTATATGCATGCATGTTCATGTCCAGTTCAAATTTTGAATATGTTGATCAAGGTTGCTTAGGGTATTGTGACAGTGTGATCCCTTTGGAATTTGCCCCTAATTATCAATTGCCTAAATCTTGAATATTTGTTATATATTATAATAAAAAAATAATTATATATATATTTTTTTTTTTATCTTTGATGTTATAAGTTATAATGGAAATATATACAAAGAAGAAATGCTCTACCCTTAATTTGGCCTCAAACTCTGTGTACATTAATTTATGGTACTTCCTGTCTTTACCACTACACAGAGATAAATGAAAACCAGATGGCACATTACATTTCTATCACCAGCTCATATTACTAATTGAGATGAGAAAGATAATTTGTGTATACATAGTTTTAAAATAATGATACTAGAAATTAAACAAAATGCAACCTGCAGGTGAGGCTAAATTCATTTGATGGAAAATATTAGAATTAAAAATATTGTTCATAGAAAAATGTCACAAAAAAGTGACAAAAAGGCATAATAATACATGTAGAACAAAAATTATTATGACTCAATTATTTAGATTAAACTTGTTGAAATAAATACTAAAGTATTCTTGAAATTCTTTCCTTACAAAATATCATATAAATGTGATGTACAGTTTAGGAATTCTAAAAATATAAGCATTGTTATTTGAAGATTTATTTAAAATAAATTATTCAAATATCCAGATATTTCTGAGTAAAATAAAGTATGACGTAAGACAACAAATTTAGATAGTTAGAAGTATCCATAACCAAATGTTCAAAGAAACAATATGTTGTGTATTATTTGAACCTTAAATCTTAAAACAAATAATCATATGTAATATTTTAAAATGCTTGAAATATTGGTGCAAACTATCTGATTGTCTGACATTATTAAAGAAACTTTTCTTGCAAAGTTGTTGCAAAAAGTCATTCCTTAAATAATAAAAGAAAAGGTTCCTGCAACTTTCTAGCAAACAAATTCTTTCTTGCAACATTGCAGCAAACTTGCTGCAATTTTCTTGCAAACAAATTTTGTTGCAGTAACATTGCGAGAATGTTGCAGGTAGCTGCAACAACCTGCAACTTTCTTGCAAACACTTCTTGCAAACAAATTTGTTTGCTGCAATATTGCCGCTATATTGTTGCAATATTGCAGCAAACTTTTCATTTCTGTAAGGGGAATCTATCTGTTCTAATATAGCAAGGAAGGTAATATATGGAATTGGAGGTATCTTCTTTTATCCATAACTGTAGTTGAATCAACCACAATTATGGATAAAGGAAGATATCTGCAATTCAAAATTTTTACTCCCATTGCTTAATACAATGCAAAGTTAATCTTAATTTCTTACTACGAATTAAATGCAATCTTAACCCTTTGGTGATCACAAGCTCTTTGGTTAAGGATAACAGTTGAAAGTTTTGTAGAGAAATGACTGCTGTAAAACCTTGGTAAAAAAATTAAGAATTATATGAATCATTAATCCTAGATTTTTATTTTATATCAATGATAGACAGGGGTATCTATGCTGTTAAATAAATTCAGCAGAAAAAATAATGAGAAAACATATATTTGTTTAAAGATATGATAGCTATTCCTGACTTCTCTGCTGGAGCTATGGAGAACTGGGGACTGATTACATACAGGGAGACTGCTATGTTGTTTGATCCAGATGTTTCCTCAGCCAGCAATAAACAAAGAGTGGTAGTAGTGATAACTCATGAACTAGCTCATCAGGTAAAGTGGTATTAACTCACGAACAAGCTCACCAGGTAACATGGTATTAACTTATGAACTATCTCATTAGATAAAGTGCTAATAATTCATAGCTCATAAGACAATGTGGTAATAATTCATGAAGTCGCTTATCAGATAATGTGGTAATAGCTCATGAACTAGCACATCTGATAAAGGGGTAATTATTCATGAAGTACATCATCAAACAATGTGGTATTTACTCATGAACTTGCTCATCAGATAATGTAGTATTTACTATAGTTGTTAATGTCTGTGTCATTTGGTCTCTAGTGGAGAGTTGTCTCATTGGCAATCATACTGCATCTTCTTATTTTTATAACTCATGAACTAGCTCATCAAGTGAAATCCTAGTAACTCATGAAGTAGGTCATCAGATAATGTAATAATAACTCATAAACTAGCTCATCAATAATCTTGTAATAATTCATGAAGTAGCTCATCAGATAATGTAGTAATAACTTATAAACTAGTTCATCAGATAATGTGGTAATAACTCATGAACTAGCTCATATTATAATTTGGTAATAGCTCAACAATAGTTAAGTTTTCTGCTTTAGTTAGTTTGATAGGAACAACTTGTGATAGATCTTTGATATTTAATATAAAGTTGCATTACCATCTTTACATATCAGTTTGACGACTATTTCGAGGCCCTGCCCCCTAGGTTATGGTATAGCGACTTTGAATTAATTAGCAATTTTTAATGTTAAGTTTTTTGCTTAAGTTAGTTTGATAGGATCTACTTGTGATAGATCAGGGACAGTCTATACTAACAGGACTGGTCACTATTGATTTTATTTAATATCTACGTCTCCTGTGTAAAGCTAGCACCGAACAATTAACTAAGTTTATGGTCTCTGATATACAAAGCTAGTAGTTATTTGCGTATTTCTAGGTACATTGTAATTTTTTTTTTTTTTTAAATCATACAAATCTGATTATAATAGCCATTTACCATGACAAAAAATATAAGATTTTAGAAGAATGTTATATTATTAAACTGAGACATCTCGTTTTGAAGAACACTCCAGTCATGCAAAAAGAGGGTACATATTGAACAAGATGGCGGCCACTCGAAATTTACTGACAAAATACCTCAAAGTTCAAAGGTCTATATTTATACCCCACGCAACGAGTTGCAGAGGGTATAATGTTTTTGACCCGTCCGTCCGTCTGTCTGTCCGTCCGTCAGTCCTGTTTCTTGTCATCACAACTCCTCTCAAACCACACAACAGAATTTCATGAAACCTTTTCAGATAATAAGGACATACTACGTAGATGTGCATACCGATAGGAAATTACGATTCAATTTTTTTTCCAGGAGTTACGCCCCTTTGAACTTATTTGCCTAATATACTACTGCAACCTTTTGTCATCGCAACTTCTCTCAAACCACACAACAGAACTTCATGAAACTTTGTAGATTATAAGGACATACTATGTAGATGTGCATATCGACAGGAAATTATGATTCAATTTTTTTCTAGGAGTTACGCCCCTTTGAACTTATTTGCTTCAATATACTACTGCAACAGTTTGTCATTGCAACTCCTCTGAAACCACTAAACAGAATTTCATGAAACTTTGTAGATAATAAGGACATACTATGTAGATGTGCATATCGACAGGAAATTATGATTCAATTTTTTTTCTAGGAGTTATACCCCTTTGAACTTATTTGCTTCAATATACTTCTGCAAGAGTTTGTCATCGCAACTCCTCTTAAACCACACAACAGAATTTCATGAAACTTTGTAGATAATAAGGACATACTATGTAGATGTGCATATCGACAGGAAATTATGATTCAATTTTTTTTCTAGGAGTTACACCCCTTTGAACTTATTTGTTTCAATATACTACTGCAACAGTTTGTCATCGCAACTCCTCTGAAACCACACAACAGAATTTCATGAAACTTTGTAGATATTAACATGAATAAGGACATACTATGTAGATGTGCATATCGACAGGAAATTATGATTCAATTTTTTTTTCGTATACAATTTTGTTTTCTCCAGTGACAATGTGGGGACGTGGGGTATGTGAGCGCGCTCACTAAGGTTCTTTAATTTAAAAACTATCTGAGAAATCTTTTCAAAAACAGCATTTTGCAATGACAAAATGTAAAAAATTTCATAAAAATGTTACTTCATTAAACTTGAATATAGATATGAAGAACACTGCGTAAATATGAAATGATTTGCTATGAAGTCACATGACATCAGGGACGGCACAGTTCTGTCTGCACAGTTGTATAGACATTGTTATAATTGACCAGTCCTGTTGGTATAGACTGTCCCTGGATAGATTAATGATATTTTATATGAAGTTGCATTACTATCTGTACATATCAGTTTAAGGACTATTTTGAGGCCCTGCCACCAAGGTCATGGTCCAGTAACTTTGAATTAATAAGCAATTTTCAATGTTAAGTTTTCTGCTTAAGTCAGTTTGATAAGAACTACTTGTGATAGATCAATGATATTTTGTATCAAGTGCTTTGCATTATTATAAGTATATATCAGTTGGACAATTATTTTCATTCCCTGCCCACAAAAAAATGGTCCAGTGACTGAATTAATAAACCATGTTGCTGTCCATCAGATTGTCTTTTTCTGAATTTTATTCCGACAGGCAAAACATATCTCTGTGTCAACAGTTTATTTAATTTTTAGCTTTCATTTTACAGCTATTTCCTCTTATATTCAAATGGATTCTCTTTTAATTCTTAAATAAATTAAGAAAATAGTATTTTGACCATACCATTTTTGGTGTAAATAGTTTATATTGTCTGTACAGTGGAGTTCTCTTAATTGTATATCCCCAATATACCCAATCTAATTCTCCAAAAATTAATATGACTTCTTGATACTGTACAATGTTTTTTTTTTAAGGTGTGAAATCAAATTGTTGACTTTGAAAGAACAATAAAGACATAAAATTTGGAAAAGTCGAGAAACTCAGTAGAATTTACTCACTAAGTCATTTTGAATATTGAAAATATGCTCTTTGGTATTTTTTTGTTAAAACTTCCATGTATAGTTGTTGTCAACCGTATTATACTGCAGACTGTATTATAAAGAAATGTTCTGAAAATGCATTAGCTGATAAAAAACTGTTCATGTGCATGAAAATTGGCAGAATTCATAACAGCGAATTTGGTTTATCCAATAAAACAATCAGAACTCAACATTCTATGAAAATTAACCTATTTTAAGGACATTTACTACATAAGAATGTCTTCGTTCTATTTTATCCATTTAACAGACAACTTTTACTAGTATGTTTACATGAAAAATATATGTCGTCTACCTTGAGAACATTATTGCATATCATTGGACAGTTTTTGTGAAACTTTATCTTGAAGGACTTACTTGACACAACATTTTTTTTAAACACACAGTGATATGTTTCTGTTATAGTGGTTTGGTGACTTAGTTACGATGGAATGGTGGGATGACCTTTGGTTAAATGAAGGGTTCGCCACATACGTTGAGAACTTTGGAACAGATCGTTTGTATCCTGAATGGAGGATGGTAAGTGTAATAAGTCAGAAAAAAACCCAGCAAAAATACTTGTATTCAATTGTAGTATTCTATAGCACTTATAAATGAAATTTAATACAGTGGGTACCCTTTACTTATGCTGAAGTAAGTTTGATTCTTTACCAAATGATGATTTTCTTTTTTACATTACGGTCTATTTTTATTTTTCAGTTTGATCAATTCTCAGTGGATGTAGTGCAGGATGCTTTTTCTTTTGACGGTCTTGTGACATCACATCCTATTTATGTCCCAGTATCTAACCCAGCAGAAATAAATGAAATATTTGATACTATATCATATTCCAAGGTAAAATAGATTTAATAACAGTCGCAGTCATCGAAAAAATAATTTTGTTTAAAAAATAAATTTAAAATTTCTACTTGTAATGAAATAGCTTATAATTACAAAGGTTTAACACTATAATTCAATTTTAAGTTGTTTTGTGCACAACCTTGCAATTAGTACAGATATTTATAACTAGCATTTCTAAATGTTTTTACTTATAAAGCAGTGTAAGTAATTTGACTTTAGAATTTTATTTCTTACAGGGAGGAGCTATAATTAGAATGATGAAGTTCTTTCTTGGAGATAATACTTTTGCTAAAGGATTAACAGTAAGTCATGTTTATCTTGGCTGATGCAATACATTTATAACTAAGGAGAAGGTACATTTTGGGAATTTTTTGTCACTGTACATTATAAAACTGTACTATTACTAATGACATGTTTTAAGCATCAGAACAAAGGATTCACAAAATATGAATAACAGCAAAGTCGTGAATAAATAAAGAGCACAAGCATTGCCCAAAATAATTTGTTGCAAGTGAATAGATAAGCACAGAATACACTTGATGTTTAAATATCTTTTAGGACAAAGATTGTGTTCTCTTATTTCTAAGCATGTACAAGTAAAAAAAAATAAAGATTGTGCATAATTTTGCCAAATTTCTTAATTTACTGTCATTTAGTGACTGTATAATCCATGAATTTGGTATGTTTTACAACAACAACAAACAAACAAAAATTTTAAAAAATGGTCTAACTGCACATACATATAGTAAGATTGAACTCTTTTGTTTGAAGGTAAACATTGAAGAGGGACTTGATATTGTGTGATAGAGCTGGGATAAAATTCTGTAACATTGTAAAATATGATTGACTTGTTGTTATTTATGATTTTAGGCTTATTTGAAGGACAGGCAGTTTAGTAATGCTTTTCACGATGATTTGTGGAATGCCATGACGAAGGTAAACAACTTTATTGAATAGATGGTTAAAATTTTAAATCATGTTACAGTAAATCAGAGATTAAAAAAAAATACCATTTCTAACATGCTTAAGGAATAAATCAAATAAACAAAATGTGATCTCTCCAGTGTTTTTTTTTTATGTTTTCTAAGTACATTTGTCAGTTCCATGAATTCCATAATCACTTGTGGCACCATTGTCCTTGGTTATATTGCTAATATATATGCATTCCCAAATCACCTATTATAACAGTCATATCCTATAAAAAATAAATTGCCAGTATCTTTAAATTGCAGCAAGCAGGAATTGATGGTAATCCACTAGATGTCAAGGATATAATGGACACATGGATTCTACAAATGAACTATCCTGTTGTGAAGGTTACAAGGTCAAATGGAAAGTTGCATTTGGAGCAGAAGAGATTTTTGTTTAATCCGTCAGCTACAGATCCAGGCAAATACCCATCGCCATACAAGTAAAGAAATTTTGAATATAGATTTTTAAAAGACTGTTAAGTGGGATAAAGATTTAAAATACAATTTGATAGTTCTTTTCAAAATTTAAGGCAAAAATTACATCATACATCAGAAACTCTTTTGTAAATTGTTGTATTAAAAGTCTTATTTTATAGACAAATTATCTGCTTTTCTAGTAGGAAAACAAACATGATTACCCCTGATAATATTGCACAATTAAATGTTGTATCTTAAAGCATGCAAAAAAAATAAAATTGTAGGACACATTCAAATGCTTGGAAATTGTTTTGTCAAATATTGATTATCCTTTTTCTTGTTGAACCAAGCATGAAATAATTTAATCTGAAAAGATTGAATGGAAAGATATATTTTAAAGTCATATCAACTTTACCTTATTTAAGTTTAAAGTTGATGGTTTTACTTTTGAGTTCTATGAATTTGAATTTTTTATTCTTCCACATGTTTCCAGCTTATATAATTTTGTTTGCAGTTACACATGGAAGATACCATTTACCTACACAACAAGTGACAATCTACAGTTCAACCAAAGTTACAAAGATGTTATGTGGTTTAATTTACAATCAGAAATGGGTATGTTGCTGGAATACAAAAAAAACATGTGTGTAACTTATACTACATTGTTGAAAGTGTAAGGAAATATATTCTGTGGGATACATGATAAAACAATCACTGAGGGTAACCTCACATGCCATTTTAGTGAATTGTTTTCAATAAAATGTAAGAAAATTAAGAAGACTCTGGACAAATGTTTAAAATGTGTAACAAACACTTTTTTTGAAAGGATGCAATGATAATTTTCTATTGTTACTATACTGCCTATCTCTAACTGGCAATTATTACTGAAACTACAGGAATCACTAATGTTGTTTAAAAGAAAATTAAATCCGATAATTATGACTGAATAGATAACAGTGAGTGTCTTTCATAAGATTTTCAAGATCAGTCAGATAATCATAACCATTTGATATCATTTCATAATTGAATTGTTTATAAATAGTCATAAACCTTTCAGTTTGTAGATTCTCTTGTATAGTTAAATAATAAATAAATCAGACCTTCCTTAAATTTGGTGTCGAGTATGCTATACTATGTTTTACATTTTCACCTCAATCCCTCATCAACTTCCTGCTTACCGAATACTTATTGACAGGGTATCATTTAAAAATGTCACTTTAAAATGTTTTTCAAGATACTTTTACAATTAATTATGAAAATGTACCATTAATTAAATCTACATATATATTCACAGATTAAAAGTTGATAGTTTATTCTTGAAAAGACAAAACCAGATAAAACTTCTTTGAAGTGTCAGTTACAGGAACATGTAGTAGAGGAATATAACTTTAATGTAAATGTTGTTTCTGAAGACTTGTAATTTTCAGATATACCTACAAGCAGTAGTGGATGGATTGTGGGTAATGTACAGCAATATGGCTACTACAGAGTAAATTATGATGATGAAAACTGGCAAGCATTGATAGAACAACTCAAAACAGATCATTTGGTAGGTACGAGGAGATCATGTGATCAAGAATTGGGAGGTATTGATAGAACAACTCTAAACAGATCATTTGGTAGGTACGAGGAGATCATTTGATCAAGAATTAGCAGGTATTGATAGAACAACTCAAAACAGATAATTTGGTAGGTAAAGGATCACAAGATGTGTGACTTGTCCATCACTTGAGGAAAGAATCTTAAACAACTGACTTGTGAGTTACTAACAAAAATGATAAAGTGTTGTTGATTTAGCTGTTCAAACCAAGGGTAAAAAAAGCAAGCTCCCAAAAATGAATAAATATCGCACAGATTCAGTTACCATGGGAAACAACCACAGACCTGAGTAACTAACCATAAATTATTTGATATCACAGATTGAAATAAGATTTTTAAAATATTTGAAAATTGTATGTAACAATAGAATAAATTGTATATTGTGTGACCCCTAGTTGAATAATCTAGAACTTCAAATGAATACACACAATAAAAAAAGATCATTCCATGTCTGTAAAATTATGATTTTGAATGGTATCCATTAATGTAAACACAGGACAAATATACTACAATTATATTTTTAGAGTATCCATGTAATAAACAGAGGGCAAATATTAAATGATGTATGGTCCCTTTCAAAGTGAGTATAAAAATAATCATCAGCGCAAATATTCAAAATTATCCAAAAAATGTGATTGTTTGTTAAAAAAGTGAAATAGATTTTTGGAACAAGGTAAAATTCATGTCTTATGGAAACTACTTCAATTTGAGATTGGAGAAAGGAGAAGGTACTTCAATTTGAGTTTGGAGAAAGGAGAAGGTACTTCAATTTGAGTTTGGAGAAAGGAGAAGGTACTTCAATTTGAGTTTGGAGAAAGGAGAAGGTACTTCAATTTGAGTTTGGAGAAAGGAGAAGGTACTTCAATTTGAGTTTGGAGAAAGGAGAAGGTACTTCAAGGGGATTATTTGGTTCACATAAATATTTCAGGACATTTTATTTATTCTAATAAACAAAGGATTTAAAAACTGAATACAAATATTAGTATTACATAACCAGCTGACCATTTTTACACAAACATCATGGTAATGTACCTAAAAAAATCACTAACCCTTTTATATATCAGTGGTCAGGGTTAGTAACATCTCAGGATTAGGTCAACTTATTATTGCAGGAGATTCAATTAATATACATTTATTGTCTAATTGAATATATCGGGTAATGGGATATACGATTTGCCGAGTCTACTGTATAAGTGACATTTTGGCTAAATTAACATAATGCACATGCCTCATCTAAAATAATTTTTGATGGCAATTAGATTGAAACAAAACACACTTTCTGTGTGAATATTGTTTTGGGCAATGGATGTGCTCTAAGATTTTATGTAAATTTGCAAATTTGGTAAGATGACTTACATTTCATTGCATAATATCTCATTAAAAGAAGATATATGACTAATTTTGAGTACAATAACTTACAGATCAGGTGATGTTGGTACTCTGACAGCTCTACAAGTTGTGGATTATTTAAGTGAAGAGTTGGATTATGTCCCTTGGTATGCTGCAACAGTTGAATTATCTTATGTAAAGAAAATGCTGACAAGGACAGCTATATATGGTAACTTCCAGGTGTGTAAATTTTAATGAAGTCCCCAGAGTATGTATGGTTTGATATATTTGTAGAGTTACTATACTTTATTTTGGTGGAAATGTTAGCTTGAAAACCAATACAATGGTAACTTTTCTGAAATGGATTTTCTAGAAATTAATGTTTGTGAAGGAGGATGGTAAACAGGCTTTTTTTATGATGAACATGTTTATTTGATCCCACTGATGCACATGTTTATTTGATCCCAACTGATGAACATGTTTATTTGATCCCAACTGATGAACATGTTTATTTGATCCCACTGATGAACATGTTTATTTGATCCCACTGATGAACATGTTTATTTGATGAACATGTTTATTTCCCTTATTTTGGGAAGTTAGTCTTTAGAAAGTACCACCAGCTATAATTATATATATTCATGTATTTGAAGTACTTCCAACCATTTTGTTCAGCTATTTCTATAAAACCCTAATGAAACTAATTCCGTTTTAAATTGAGTAAAATATGCAACACTTGTATAATATAAACAGATTGTAAACAGCCCTTAAAGGATTGATAAGCAAATGCATTAAATACAGATGTTATTTTTAATTCCTCTTGAAATGTTTAGTTTAAACTATCTTTTTCGATTTATTAATACGTTTGTGTATGTCATCATGAGGTTACATCAACATGAAAAAAATACTTATACAAATAATGTGAAATTTTGGATGCATCTCTTTATTTCAGAAATATATGAGTAATCTTTTAGGGAAAGCATTTGATCATTATGGTTTAGATAATACTGGTGCTACTCACATTGAAGCGTAAGTTTGATATACAGACGAACTTAAAATCAAGTTTTTGTACTTTTCATTTTCTATGAGTAAAACATTGAATATATCTAGTCCAGATTTCTACTAATGTTTCATTGATCAACCTTTGATATTGTGATTTGGTCAGTTTCTTACTTACTGTAATTAGTAGGAGTATTATATGGTCTGTGGAATCACTACAAGGATTATGTCCGACATTGATCTTGTTTTCATGATACATCTATCAAACAAGTTTTTATGATACAGGCAGTAAGTCCTTGATTTCAAAGACTAACAACGCATTATTCAGTAGTAATTGATTAAACAGTTGTTCGACCTTCTTTATTCTGTTATCACAATAGTCTGTTTGCCAAATACTGATTTGATTCATTTATTACACACTTTTGACACAAGTTTTTTCCCTTTGCAATTTGTTCTTTAATTGACAGAATGGGAGGCTGCCCATGCAAAGCATGATTAGATGAAAGTGTGATTTAGGATATTTATTCCAATTTTGAATTAAAAATAAGTATTAATATAAAAAGTTTTAGCTGAACAAAGATTAAATGTGATTAAAAGATTTGAAAAACTTAAGATAAGATACATTACGCACAGATAAATTTTGCTCTTCAATTTTAATGAAAATGCGAGTCTCTACTAAGGGAAACAACTCACAAAATAGATCTCTAATTACAGGGTCAATTTATGGAATTGGCAAAAAATGGCTATTTGTTAAAATTATCAAAATTTATCTGAGAATACTTCACCATGCAGAGTCTGAAATTGTCAGTACAAAACAAACAATTGTACTTATTGGAAAGATTGAAGCTTTATCGTCAGATCTGTATAAATATTTATAATTTTTTGTTCTGTAGATATGCCAGATCCCTTTTAGCCCACCAAGCTTGTAACTATAACATTGTTGGTTGTACAACTGAAGCTCTAACCATGTATAATAATTGGATGGCTGATCCTGAAACCTACAGGTAAGTACTGACACCTTAAGAAATAATCACCTATCTGTCAGAGGTCTCTTTACACAGTTATAGCTGGGCATGAAGTTGTTTTTTTTATTTTTTTTCAGTCTATTCTTGTTCTCTTTATTTTGTTTCAGTCTATGCTTGCTCTTTTTTTGTTGTTTCAGTCCATGCATGTTTTTCGTTGTTTCAGTACATGTTTGTTCCATTTCGTTGTTTCAATCCATCCTAGATTTCTTTTGTTGTTTCAGTGCATACTTGTGTTCTATCATTATTTCTGGTCCAATTTTCAATTGTCTCATTGATTTCCTATAGAACTTGTCGTGACTCTGAACAGCAATTTTCATAGAGATCAGAAGATCTATGTTGAAGATATTGAAGATCTTTTTATTTGGTAAACTGTTTTTGTTTGGTTGCTGTCCCGTTGTTATTCATGCCACTTTAATTACTTGTCTCAATAATTCAAGTAAAATATCATTATACTTATAACCTTTAAGTTGTTTGGTCTTACACATTTGTATGGTACATTAACAGGATAGATCCTGATTTGAAGAGTACAGTGTATTGTACTGGTGTAGCTGAGGGTGGAGAAGAAGCCTGGGATTTCTTATATCAACAATATAAAACTACTAATGTGGCTGCAGAGAAAAGTAGAGTTCTAACTGCCCTGGCATGTACTAAAGAAACATATTTGATTAGCAGGTGAGTTAAAAATGAGCTTTTAACAGACTACAAAAATTTATTGTGGCCCTTATGTTAACAAATAAATTACACAAAATAGATGTGAGCCAGGACCTTACCCAAAAGGATATTTACACACACTAACATCTTGGTAAAAAAAGATCTTGCAGCAGAATATCTTTTTGGGTAAAGTCTTTTTTCGTATCTAAATAATATTGACAAGATCTCAGAGTGAGGCTATTGTGGCAAGTTTATCAGTTTTGACCTAAAATGCGAGCAGTTTGAATCCCTTATTCTAATATCTATACTACTAAAGGAAGAGACCTATTTCATTGAGCCACATCTCCTCTGAAACCATACAAAGTCGGAAATATTTGTGATATGACGTATAAATGTAGTGTTTTGTACTTCCAAAATTTGTCTTTGAAACAATCTTTTTTCCACAGAAAACGCCAATTTTTGAGAAAATATTCAAGTTCGGAGACCGTTATTAATCCGTGTCTTATACGCTTTTGCACATGCTCAGTTGATGTACTGTCCGCAGAATTTAACTTTATATATAAATAATATAGGACAATTGTGTAGATTAAAAATTACACCATTCCAGGCCCTTTTGTTTTCCACATAATTAATATTACCAATAATTAACAAGTTCCAGGTCGAATCCGAATCCAATACCGATTCCAATAGTATATGTGACAAAATTACCTGATCCCTGTTACCTAATCTGTACAATCCGCCTCTCTCAGGCGCACAACCAAACTGTGTATTCAGGATTTGCTATAAACACACCTGAACTTCGTCATTATACAGGGAATAACTGTGCACTAGGGCTTCCAAAATTATTTTTAGCCAGCCGGACATTTTATATATTAACCCGATTTTAATCCCTTAAGACTAAATAAACAAAAGGCAATTGATTATGGTAATCAGTTGCCGAGTTGGCCATCCCAATGATTGACATTAAAAAAAACAATATTAAACTTTCTTTGATTCAAATTCGAAGTTCTGACGTAAACTGTTAAATTGGCAGTGCATCATTCGAAGTATGCAACATCAGCGTACTTATATCTGCCTTAGACTCTTTATTTGTGCAAAATAACGTTGTCAAAAACTTTACTTTTTAGCTCACCTGACCTGAAAGGTCAAGTGAGCTTTTCTCATCACTTTGCGTCCGTCGTCCGTCGTCCTGCGTCCGTCGTCCGTAAACTTTTACAAAAATCTTCTCCTCTGAAACTACTGGGCCAAATTTAACCAAACTTGGCCACAATCATTATTGGGGTATCTAGTTTTAAAAATGTGTGGCGTGACCCGGTCAACCAACCAAGATGGCCGCCACGGCTAAAAATAGAACATAGGGGTAAAATGCAGTTTTTAGCTTATAACTCAAAAACCAAAGCATTAAGAGCAAATCTGACATGGGGTAAAATTGTTCTTCAGGTCAAGATCTATCTGCCCTGAAATTTTCAGATGAATCGGACAACCTGTTATTGGGTTGCTGCCCCTGAATTGGTAATTTTAAGGAAATTTTGCTGTTTTTGGTTATTATCTTGAATATTATTATAGATAGAGATAAACTGTAAACAGCAATAATGTTCAGCAAAGTAAGATTTACAAATAAGTCAATATAACCGAAATGGTCAGTTGACCCCTTTAGGAGTAATTGCCCTTTATAGTCAATTTTTAACCATTTTTCTTAAATCTTAGTCATCTTTTACAAAAATCTTCTCCTCTGAAACAACTGGGCCAAATTAAACCAAACTTGGCCACAATCATCATTGGGGTATATAGTTTAAAAAATGTGTGGCGTGACCCGGCCAACCAACCAAGATGGCCGCCACAGCTAAAAATAAAACATAGGGGTAAAATGCAGTTTTTGGCTTGTAACTCAAAAACCAAAGCATTTAGAGCAAATCTGACATGAAGTAAAATTGTTTATCAGGTCAAGATCTATCTGCCCTGAAATTTTCAGATGAATCGAACAACCTGTTGTTGGGTTGCTGCCCCTGAATTGGTAATTTTAAGGAAATTTTGCAGTTTTTGGTTATTATCTTGAATATTATTATAGATAGAGATAAACTGTAAACAGCAATAATGTTCAGCAAAGTAAGATTAACAAATAAGTCAACATGACTGAAATGGTCAGTTGACCCCTTTAGGAGTAATTGCCCTTTATAGTCAATTTTTAACCATTTTTCGTAAATCTTAGTCATCTTTTACAAAAATCTTCTCCTCTGAAACAACTGGGCCAAATTAAACCAAACTTGGCCACAATCATCATTTGGTTATATAGTTTTAAAAAATGTGTGGCGTGACCTGGTCAACCAACCAAGATGGCCGCCACGGCTAAAAATAGAACATAGGGGTAAAATTCAGTTTTTGGCTTTTAATTCAAAAACCAAAGCATTTAAAGCAAATCTGACATGAAGTAAAATTGTTTATCAGGTCAAGATCTATCTGCCCTGAAATTTTCAGATGAATCGGACAACCCGTTGTTGGGTTGCTGCCCCTGAATTGGTAATTTTAAGGTAATTTTGCTGTTTTTGGTTATTATCTTGAATATTATTATAGATAGAGATAAACTGTAAAAAACAATAAATGTCGGCAAAGTAAGACCTACAAATAAGTCAACATGACCGAAATTGTCAGTTGACCCCTTTAGGAGTTATTGCCCTTTATAGTCAATTTTTAACCATTTTTTCGTAAATCTTAGTAATCTTTTACAAAAATCTTCTCCTCTGAAACTACTGGGCCAAGTTAATTATAGATAGAGATAATTGTAAGCAGGAAAAATGTTCAGTAAATTAAGATGTACAAACACATCACCATCACCAAAACACAATTTTGTCATGAATCCATCTGCGTCCTTTGTTTAATATTCACATAGACCAAGGTGAGCGACACAGGCTCTTTAGAGCCTCTAGTTTTTTTATACCGGATGTTATCTTGACAATGGTAAAACATGGACCAGAGACGGATACGTAAATTCCGTGTACGTTTGCAAAGCGTGAATGAGTTGAAGTAGCTCTTTCTACGTTATTTCTTCAAGAAAATATTCGAATTAAACGTGAGATAAAGGTATCAATGACAATTTAAGCATTTTTTGAAGAAATTTGGATGCATAATTAGATTTCACACCTGCGCACATGCGCACACGTGTACTAGTTCAAACAGAGACATGTCTCTAGGTTCAAACAACGTGGTTATGACGATTTTTCATTTTCACCTTTTTAATTTTTTCATCAAATCATATTTGTAAACGTATTTCTGATAATTTAAATCTTTTTGATTAAATTAATTACATGCAAACCGCTGAAATGTAAGGACTTTTACCGGACATTATACAAATGTCCGGCATATATGACCGTTTTGGAAGCTTTGCTGTGCACCTTATAATCATCATGACTTTACCAAATGACAATACAAATTCTAAAAATCCAGGCTAAAAATATGGCGTAGGTTCTTTAATTCAGTCACGGACCCGCGATGTCGCGGGTATGGTCTAGTTGAATACAAAATTAATAAAGATATAAATACTGAAATCTGACGGACTTATGTCTTATGATTTTGTAGATTTGGTAGATTTTATAATGCTTCTTGATGTTCATATTCAAGGGGCCAAAAAAGTGGCCACATCATACATTCTCCTGTACAGCTTCCATGATTGATATTTGTAGATTATAATTCTAATGATGAAATCAGAAAGTAAGATATTACTAGGTCATGTTACGTAGACCTGTTCAAAACTTTAAAGAATGCTGGATACAAAGTGTCATTAAAATATACATTATACTTGAGAACCTAAATTAGAACTTGTATTGTTTCAAGAAGTGAAAATAGATATATAGCTTATACTTTAAAAAATCTGAGTATTCATTTTTCAAAATGATCTCTTTTTCTTTTTGCCAGGTATCTGACTTATTCCTTGGACATGTCAGAAATAAGAAGTCAGGATGCCTCCAATGTTATCATTGCCATCTCAAGGAATGTTAATGGCAGAGATTTAGCATGGGATTATGTTGTAGGAAACTGGAAATTGATTAGTAGCAGGTAACTAATAAAACTGTGATATCCTCTCTTATTAGAGAAACAGCTTATCCTAAGCTTGCCCCAACTTCTTTGTCTATTGTGACTATTGTCAAATCATTCAAAACTTTGCAATATTAGAAGTTAAACACATAGATATAAGAAGATGTGGTATGAGTGCCAATGAGACAACTCTCCATCCAAGTCACAATTTGATTGATATCATTATAGACAGGATTTTTTTTATTTCACCTCTACTGGCAAAGTCAAAGGTACTGCACATTTGTATTCACATTTGAGGTTTTAATAGCTCTTCAGAGTTTTTGTTTTTGTAATTGTCTTGCATATACCAATTTTATATAAAGGTGTATGTCTTATGTCTTTATGTCTAAGTTTTCTGGTCCAAGTATAAGAGTTTATTGCTTTAAAAAATTAATATAGCTGCAGCTGAATTGTATGTCCACAGATGTTTAGAAATGTTTAACAACTATTTATATACTATTGGTATATTAGTTTTTTTTTTATATTTTTGAAAAATGAATGGTGCAATTTTTTACCTATGAGCTTTATATTTATTTAATGTATAAGTGAAAGACATCTATCACTAAACATAGGGTTTTGGATCTTAAATTCAGGACAAAAGGAAGGCTAGATTTGTATGAATTTGGAAATTAATGTTCATCCTCACAGTAGCAACTACATTTATTATTTTCTTTATTTCTTAGCAGATGTATCCTTTTCTCAATCTGTTGATTTTTGTCTCGCCTTGACTGAGTCAAAAAGCGAAACATAGGTATGCTGTTTCCGGCGGCGGTGTCAACAATGTATTTGTTTGTGATTAGGTCTAGTTTATAGTGAACCACTATTGGTAGGTCAATGATATTTGGTATGCAGTTGTATTAGCATTGGCACATCTCATTTCCATGGAGATTATTTGGCCCTGCCCCCTCAGTCATGGTCTATTGACTTTGAAACTTTTGTTTGGTTTACATGTATTAGTTTGTGATTAGGTCAGTTCATGGGGAACCACTAGTGGTAGGCCAATGTTAATTGGTATGCAGTTGTATAAGCATTGGCATATCTCATTTCCATGGAAATTATTTGGCTCCGCCCCCTCAGTCATGGTCTATTGACTTTGAAATTTTTGCTTAGTTTACAGGTATTAGTTTGTGATTAGATCAGTTTAAGATGAACCACTAATGTTAAGTCAGTGATATTTGGTATGCAAATTTATTGGCATTTGCAAGTCTCATTTCCATGGAGATTATATAGCCGCACCCCCTCATCATGGTTCATTGACTTTAAACTTTAACATAGTTTACAATTTAATATTTGTGTTTAGGTTTGTTTAAAGGGAACGACTTATGATTGTCAATGGTATTTGGTATGCAGTTGTATTAGCATTGGCACATTTCATTTCTATGGAGATTGTTTAGCCATGTACCTTCTGTCATGGTTCATTGTCTTTGAATATTTGCATAACTTACATGTTAAAGTATTGCTCTTTCAATTTCAACATTTGCATTATCAAAATTACAAAAGGGCGAGACATATCTCTGTGTTAACAGTTTATAATTTTAGTCAATGTGTGGTTTGTTTGATCTCAGTTTGTCATTGAGCAAAATTCAATTATGATGTCAAATATTCTTGCTGTCATGAAAAAGGGCAACCATCCTTGTTGATATCACTTATAAAAAACACATCTGTTTGCAGATTAGTGAAATAGTTTCTCTAATATATTTCTAAAAATGATTTTCGGCCACCAAACCTCGTGCGGTACAACGTTTCTCCACTCTCAACAGTTAAATCTTAAATATTTAAAACGCTTGGCAAGCCTCACATTTTAAATTTGAAAATTTAACTATATTCAGTGGTGAAATACCTTATCACACTTCATGCACTGATAGAATCTATATTTATCAACTTTTTCCTAAAATTAAAAAATTTATAAAATGTCAATATCCATTTTATTATTCCCAATCCTGTACACATCTTGTCATTGCAAACACTGTGATTTAATGTTGTATCTACATGAGTCTTGGTACATACTTATATAGCTTAATCTATTGCATTTTTTCAAAAGTTTGGTCCTACTTTGCTAAAAGTTGTAGTTCTAGACAAAGTTACAACAAAACATAAAAATATCTATAGAAAAAAATTGTTACCCAATAGACTTTCTTTTCTGTTTTATTGTATTGTAGATATGGTAAATCCTCATTTGCAATCAAGAACCTGATAACTGGAATAACAGATAGTTTTAATACAGAGATAGATCTGCAAAAGGTACATACAGAAAAGTATACATTACTTCTATCTTCAGAACATGTCATTGAAAATCCATTCCTTCCAAAATTACTGCTGTGTTCATTTTTTGAGAGAGGAATCTATAGATAAAATAATGGTAAATTGTTATAAAATCTGACTTTAAATTATTACTCAATGAACCTACCTAATGTAATAATTGTTATTTTGTTCTTGTCCTGAGTAAGCATGAAATATTGTCTCTGAACATTTAGCATGCAAGCAACAATCATTATCATGATCAAGAACAAAATGTGACCCCTGTTGACGTTTAATGAGAAAGGTCAAGTTTTGGACAAGGGTCCATATATGGGTTGTCACCAGAAAGAGACTAAACTGCTGGATTCTTTCCGTAAAATGCAATACACATTATAACCATGAAGAGGGGATACCAATATTGATTTCTAACAGACCAGGCTGATTTAGTATGAAGAATTAAGCAGACCAAATAACTTGTTGAGATTCTCTCAGATTTAGAATATAAGATGGGCATGATGAAATCAAACCTTCTCTTCAGTAAATTATAGATCATATGAAAAGGACATTCTTTATTGAACTCAATATTCAGTATCATGATACGGTAACAATGACCTTGTCGCCTTGGCAAAATCTGAAGTCGATGGTATGTGTTTTGACAAATATTCTAGAAATAAGCCATTTGAATTATGCTGGCTTTGTATATGATGGTCAGCTTGGTGGTTCCCTTATCGCCTTTGGAATTTCAATGGTAAGAAACATTACTGATGATAATTGCTGGAAAATATCAAATATTTATTTTTCTGATGCTTTCTTAATGATGATAATTTAACAGAATAATTAAATGTTGACATCTTAATATTATAGGTTATACAACTTATTACAAAATTCTTCTAGTAATTCTTCTTTTACATTAATATAATTTACAATTATTTCAGTTGAAAGCTTTCAAGATGAATAATCCAGATTTAGGTTCAGGTACTAGATCTTATGAACAGGCTGTAGAAAATACAGAATTAAACATTAAATGGATGACAGATAACTATGAAACATTGGAAGCATGGCTTGACAGGACGATATCTTCACAAAACAAGGGAGGTAACCACATCACTGATGTCAGACTCCCCCGTACAGTTTCACCACAACTATATACCTTAGAGTTGCTACCTGATATTTATGCTGATGACCCAAAAGATTTCAAAATATCAGGAAAAGTTGATATTGTTATTGACTGCCTTGAAGCTACAGATAATATTACAATCCATATCAATAAGCTCACCATAAAAAAACAGACCATTTACATAAAGATCCAGTCCGGTAATCAGTCAGGACCAAAGATTCTCAGGACAACAGAAGATAATGACAGACAGTTCTACATCATGTTTTTGTCAGAGAAACTTAATCAGGGTCAGACTTATGTGTTGTCTTTAGAATTTGAAGGTCCTTTAAAAGATGATCTTGCAGGGCTGTACTACAGTTCATACAAAAGAAATGACAAGAATGTGTAAGTATCATCAGGATATTGGTTCTAAGAAACATTATTTATGAAGGATATTTAAGCTGCATCCATCTGATTTTACGACTTTTAGAAAATTTACCTGATGAGGTTCATTTGATGCTAAACAAGTGTGATATATTTATCTAAAAGAAGTGTAATTATGCTATTGTTTGTAAAATGAATTTGTTTTAAAAAAGATACCATGCTTAGTCTGATAGTTTATAGTTATGGAGTAGAATATCTTTAAAGGTGTTCATTTCACATTGATTAACTATGTACTGTACTCCTACTTCTATAGAAAAAAAATATAGTTGCTTGATTGTTTTGTAGGTATTTAGCTGTGACACAGTTTGAGGCTACTGATGCAAGGAAAGCTTTCCCATGTTTTGATGAACCTAACATGAAAGCCAAATTTAAGGTGACACTACTGAGAAAACCATCAATGACATCAATATCTAACATGCCACAGGAAAAAACTGGTATACAAAGGTAATTATTTGTTTTTAAAAAACTCATGTGTTTTATTCAAAAATGTAATTTTACCTTAGTCCAGGATTCATATAACATTAAGAACTATTTGTCTTTTTCTGTTTTTATAGGCCAAATGGATTTGTTGCCGATGAGTATAAATTGTCAGAGAAAATGTCTACCTATTTACTGGCATTTATTGTATGTGATTTCAAACAGATTACAGGGACAACCAAGAACAACATCACTGTAAGTAATCCTACAGCAATGAAATATACAACTGATTCAGCCCAAAATTTATACACTGTTTATCCACCAAACTGTCTCAGAAATTGAATTACATTTTTACCTGAGTTGCCAGAAGTGAGAGCAGGTCTAGTAACTGCTCCACTCCATCCATCCAACATTCAATCGGACTATCCAAAACTTATTTTATGTTATGCATACCTTGAATATTTTTCTTTCAAACTTATTCAAACTTTGCACAATGTTTACAAACATATTTAAGATATGAACCTCCTATTAAGGATAGATTTGAATATTTATTTTAAGGTTTTCAGTTTGTGGAACTAACTGATTTTTGTCATTCAATGCTTTTGCGGGTCCCTGCTTTAGGTCGCATGTATCTCCAACGGTCTTCTTACAGGAATATTTTAATTTTGCACAGTAATTGCTCACAGACTAAAGATGAGCACCTATTTTGGACAGATTGGAACTTTTAACCCCAGATTACCAATGTGTGGAACTAAGTGACTTTTGACATTGAATGCTTTAAAAATTATTTAGTTTGTGTCATGTGGAACTCTAATGGTTTACCTTCAAATTAATACAATCTTTGCACACAGATTAAAGATGAGCACCTCTTATTTTAGACAAATTTGAATTATTTTTCTGAGGTTTTCCATTTGTTGTCTTTGTAAGCTATAAAGATACATAGTTTGTCTCATCCCCTACCTCAACAGTTTTGCTTAAACATAATTGAAACTTTTGCATTGAACTTTATTAGATAAGATTAGAAAAATTAAGTTACTTTAAAGTGTATTGTAGTATGGAGCATGGAGTACACCTGAGACAATAAACCAAGCTGAGTTAGCCCTGCAGATTGGTATAGATACCATTACTTTCTATGAAGACTTCTTTGGGGTCAGATTTCCTCTTCCTAAGCAAGGTAAGACACAAATGAATTAAGATGAGCTAGCTCGGCAGATTAGTACAGATTTAATAGGCAAAGCGCATTCACAGTACTGTTGATAATAATTAAATGTACCAAGAAAATTTGTGTTCATCAAGTTGATCATGCCTGATAATGGTTTGAAAGACTTTCAGTTGCAATCAGAATTTAAATTTGATATTTTTTCTTGAATAAAGTGCTCTAATAACTTTCTGTTGATTTTTATACACGCACTGTCATATATGATTATGACTATGACAATTTAATGTGTAATTGTCAGATACTCATAAAGATATCTAAAAGATAGCACCCTAATGTTATTAAAGTTATTAGTGTAAATTCCCTTAATTTGATTGTATTATCTAGGTTTAATATATTATCAAATTAACCATAAGTATATATTGCAGACATGATAGCCATTCCTGACTTCTCTGCTGGAGCTATGGAGAACTGGGGTCTGATTACATACAGGGAAACAGCCATGTTGTTTGAACCTGGTGTATCTTCAGAGGGAAACAAACAAAGAGTCACAGGAACAATAACTCATGAGTTAGCTCATCAAGTAAGTATGTCCTATATTGTCCTCAGTGAGTCACAGGGACAATAACTCATGAGTTAGCTCATCAGGTAAGTATGTATAGATTGTCCTATATTGTCCTCAGTGAGTCACAGGGACAATAACTCATGAGTTAGCTCATCAGGTTAGTATGTAAAGATTGTCCTATATTGTCCTCAGTGAGTCAAAGGAACAATAACTCATGAGTTAGCTCATCAGGTAAGTATGTATAGATTCTCCTACTGTGTCCTCAGTGAGTCACAGGAACAATAACTCATGAGTTAGCTCATCAGTTAAGTATGTATAGATTGTCCTACAGCCTCCTCAGTGAGTCACAGGAACAATAACTCATGAGTTAGCTCATCAGGTAAGTATGTATAGATTGTCCTACTGTGTCCGCAGTGAGTCACAGGGACAATAACTCATGAGTTAGTTCATCAGGTAAGTATGTATAGATTGTCCTACTGTGTCCTCAGTGAGTCACAGGGACAATAACTCATGAGTTAGTTCATCAGGTAAGTATGTATAGATTGTCCTACTGTGTCCTCAGTGAGTCACAGGGACAATAACTCATGAGTTAGTTCATCAGGTAAGTATGTATAGATTGTCCTACTGTGTTCTCAGTGAGTCACAGTGTAATAACATACAGATCCTTCTGCTTTATTGTCCCCCGCGCAACGCGTTGTGGTGGACATAGAGATACTGGACTCTGTCCGTCCAGTCTTGTTACTGCTCTCACATGTACAATTCTTGCCTGATTTTTATGAAACGTATATCATGGGTTTATATTAGCAATGTCTTGGACGAGTTCCAAAATCAGTGCCGATCATTAACTTTTCAAAGAATTATGCCTCTTGGAAATATTAATTATATGGAAAATTGCCTTATGTGCGCTCTAATGTGTATAATTCTTGCCAGATTTTTATGAAATTTATATTAAAGGTTTATATCATCAATGTCTTTTACAAGTTTAAAAATCAGTGCTGATCAATTATTTTCAAAAGAATTATGCCCCTTGGAAATATTGATTGTATGGAAAATTGCATTGTCAGCGCCTTCATGTGTACAGAATTTTATGAAACTTATATCATAGGTTTATATCAGCAATGTCTTTGACACTTTCGAAATTATAAGTGTTGATCAAATACTTTTAATGAGTTATGCCCCTTGGAAATATTAATTATAATGGAAATCACATTGCATTTGCGCTGAAGCCTTCATTTCTCTAATATATTAATAAAAAATTTAAAGAACAAAAAAAAAAGTGCTTTTTTTTAGTTATGGCCCTTGTACCTTAGATAGATAGAATATGTGCAGTGCAGGGGATATTGGATCTCTGTTCTTTTATCTTCAACAATTCAACAATAATTCATGTTAAGTTAATTTTCCAGTGTTTTATTGGATATTTAGGAGAAGCAACTGTTGGTAATTTCAAAGAAAGTATAATATCCAAAAACTACCTTTTCACATTAAAGGCATTTCTCTGCATGAATGCTGAACCCAAACGAATAAAGTGTAAGACTTGTAATATTACATCTTGATCGGGTTGGTCAAAGATGACCTATCTTTACTTATAAATAAATTGTTTGTGAATTTTTTTAATAATTAAAAGCATTTTTGAAAGATTATTTTTATGGAACAATTTGATTGAGGGCATAGTATTGATTTAAGTGATACTGTATCATGCAGAAGAGAGAGATTTGTGTTATATCTCATTTCAGTGGTTTGGTGACCTAGTAACCATGGACTGGTGGGGAGATATCTGGCTTAATGAAGGATTTGCTAGATTTGTACAATATCTTGGTAGTGATAATTTATACCCACAATGGAAGATGGTAAATAGTTAAATGTATTACATGTTGTTCTAAAATATTAGCAATTATAACTGGTGTTTCTAAGACGTACAATAAAAACATTTCTTAGTTTTCTTTATGTTAATGGGTTAACACTATATGGAAGTTTTTGAAAACCATTTATAATGCATAGGTAATCTTAAATGCTGCTTGTCCATACTATGCAAGAATCATATTAAAATGGACATCAAACAAATAACCATTAGATGCTTGTTGACAACCCAAATAAGAAGAAATTCAGCTTGAAGTATTTGTTTCTGCAGTTCTATCCATCAAAATGATTTATAGTTCAGATCATGAAATCACATTTACACAAAGTTATGCTAATTATACAAAGGTTTGTAAAGATTATGTTTGTGATGTTATGGTAATGATAAATGATGTGAAACATAAACTTCCTAAAGTGAAAGTGTTTTTGTATGGAATGTTTACCAAATTTATACAAAGTTGAATCACAACCTCACTATGAATATAAGGTTTTACAAGGCTTTATTACCTTTCAGTTTGAACAGTTTGTAGTGAATGTAGTACATGCAGCCTTCTCATTTGATGGTTTAGCAACATCCCATCCTGTCTATGTACCTGTATATAATCCAAGTGAAATCAATGAAGTGTTTGATGCTATATCCTATGACAAGGTAAGAAAAACTGACTGTGTGAGACTCTCATGGGTAGTCAAAGTCGTTCAATACCCCTATAGTAATAGGTAAGATATTAGATTGTAAGGAGCTGTGGGTAGAGGGGATATATAAGATTTGAGTGAATTATATGCTTTAAATTTATGATGATGATAGTCTTATTGTCTTGGAGATTGGGTTAGTAGATAAAAGAAGTTAACCTATTCAGGTTTTCGTAAATATTTAAAGCACATGTGACAGTTGAAATAACTTTTTTCTATGTTTTAGGGAGCTAGTATTATAAGGATGATGAAATTTTTCCTCGGAGATTCAACGTTCAAAAAAGGTCTGCAGGTAGTATTTTTATATTATCTCTCTACAACCACACATATGTTATAAACTTGAGAAGAATATATATAAAGGACAATTTTTTTTCCAATTAGTTTTTGTAAAAATCTCTGATACGCACTTAAAATTTAATGAAAATTGTGTAAATGTATTGGTGGAATTTATATTTTTTTTAAATTTCTATTATATTAAAACATTCATGAGCCTGTTCAAATACAAGGCTCCAAATTTACTTTCTATATATAGGGTTTTTTGAGCAAGTGAATTACCTTGTTGTATAATTATTTGGAGAGAAGCTTTATAACAAAGTTAATGGATGACAATCAAGAAAGCATATATATTCCAGAATTATTAAGTCCATTTATTTTTTAACTTTTAGTAGAATAGACGAAAGTGGTTGGATCCATTATCTGAATTAACGTTTACAATATATATTCCATTTTTATGGCCTACCTATGATAGTAGGGGTCAATATGTTTTCTTGTCTGTTGGTCTGTTTGTTCATGGTCCCATATCATTAAAGTTATTGTCACATCAACTTTGAACATAGTACACATGTTCCTTATGATATGAACTTTTTAATTATATGCCCAATTATAGTTTGATCTCTATTCCACTAAATGGGGCATGGTGTCCTATAGACACATATTTGTATTTATTTGTTTACAGAATTATCTGATAGACAGGAAGTTCAGTAATGCCTACCATGATGATCTGTGGAACGCCATGGCTAATGTAAGTTGTTTTAGAACAGAAAAAGGTTGTTTACCTTAAATTCATTTAAATTCATGGTTATAAATTTTGTTGGATAGAGGAAAAAAAGACAATTCATGCTATATGTAGATTTGTGGATCACTGTTTTAAATTAAAAACATAATTTAAGATAGGTAATTCCATGGATTGCTTTTTAAATTATAGAACATATAAGTTGAAAATTCATTCAAAATGTTTTGAATTGTCAAAATCATAGCTTTTTTGTTATTATAGATTAAAGTGTACAAACTATCATTACATTTGTGAACATAGATTTTCCCTAATACTTCAACTTGGTCAGACTTTATGGTTTTTCGCAGTGTATGTACCCAACATTTTGTGTGATTCATCTGCTTGGAAACTAATTTTACCAAATTGATGAACCGTATATATATGGTCATTTCAAATTCCAAGCAATAAGTATAGAAACTTAACCCTTTGATTCTTTGACCCATTTTAATGGTCAATAAAATAGTAATTTTATATATTATCATTTATTACAGCAATCAAGGGCTGATACAAAGCTTATGGATGTTAAAAGTATCATGGATACATGGACGTTACAGATGAATTATCCAGTTGTCATGGTAACTGCCACCTCTAATGGCCTACGAATATCACAGAAACGCTACCTGTCTAATCCTGATGCAAAGGATCCTGGGAAATACACTTCCCCTTTCAAGTAAGAGCACAGACCTCTTCTCCTTTCAAGTAAGAGCACAGACTTGATAATTTTGACGCATTATACATAAAACTACAGATCAATTTGTTGGTTTTTTTCTATGATCATGATTTCATGCAAGTGCAGTGTTATACAGAATATTCTTACCATCCAATTCTAGTGATGGAATATCTGGATCAAGTTTACATTGATAATATCTTAACCTAATGATTTCACTAAATGGACCATCATCCAAACATCTGTGATGTGATGGATGAAGGTCATTATATGAGGAAGCCAAGGGCTTCCGAGGGTTAATAGTGAACCTTTTATTATGTGCCAGCCACACGCCTATTTTACAGTTGAGTGATTTTTTGTATGTCCAGGTAGTATATAAGGCCAGGTGACCTGAGTAGTATCCTCTTTTATTTTGAGGCAAACAGTAAAATCTCCAGTGTAAATGGGTAGTAACACGACCAGTATTTGCATTTATATCAAACCTCATCGGGAATGGGTTTTCACTAGGGAGGGTACTATTAACCCTCGGAAGCCCTTGGCTTCCTCATATAATGACCTTCATCCATCACATCACAGATGTTTGGATGATGGTCCATTATATATCATAACCCGGGCTTGACTCGGGTTAATAGTGAACTCTTTACAGCCAAAAATGCAAATACCAACAAAAACAACAAGAACATCAATCACCATAACCAAACAATTTGTCTCTCATACTTTAATAAGTATCTATGTATGAGCCTAAATCATATCAAAGTATTTAACTGCAGATAAAAAGAAAATTCATCTGTCTCCATACATGTATATCACTTGTACGAAAGAGAATACACAATCACCAATATGTCTATCTACTATCTTTTTATTCCATGTGTTAGATGTTTCTGTTTTCATACCAAAATCATAAACAGTCTCTATTAATACCAAATATAAAACATCCTCTAGTAGAAAACCTAACTACCACTCTACATAATATGTACATGTAGTAGATCATAAATTATCACATTTTGTCTCAATAACATTACTCCAAAACTACCCAGAATTGCAATGACTATCATGAAATAATAGAATATTTCTTTGTTTTGTGGAATAAAGACATAAGCTTCATAATAACTTTTATTATGTTCAAAAACAAAAATCTGTTACAATCTTCAGAAAACAATTAATACTCTATAAAGTTCACTTTAAAATGCCTCTCACATGTAACAAATTAACACTGTTGTTTTCTCATTATTCTTAAATTATCACATTTTCTCTATGCTTCTTCTCAAACGTTCTCGAAATTTAATGCTATTGACTAAAACTGTTCGATTCAACTCCAAATGTCAGCAAACTCCTGTTGCAAAAAAACAAATGGAATGTCCAAAAACCATTCATCTCGCAGAAATGCTAGATACATCATAACATGTACGTAGAAAAACCATAGCTGATCCTCCTGGTCCACCATACAGTTCCTGTAAACCACTAGCTATAAATAAGAATTAAATACTGTTTCAGTATATGATGGCAATGGAGTTTCAATATCTTTAAAATAAAACTTTTGAAAAGTGTAAGCTGACCTCCAGTTAGCAGTTTTTAATATATCATTCAGTGAAATTCCAGCTTGTTTAGCAGCTGAAGTTGAAGCACTACGATATGAGTGTGCCTTAAATTTGTTTATATCAATTCCTGCATTACCTAACACTATTTTCAACCAATGAGCAATAGTTGAAGTTGTAACACGTTTGAATGTTCTAAAAGAAATGAATAAATTTTTACTTTTTCGAACATCCTTTGTCCGTAAAATATAATGTTTAATACATCTAACAGGACAAATATCCTGTTTTTGATATTTATGTATGATAACATCCAAATTAGATTTGTTTGGTTTAGTTGTTTTTAGTAAAACTGGTATCTTAAAAATCAAAGAATTGTCTGTTACAGATACAAATCTCAGATCTAAATTAACAAGTGTTTGTGATCTTTGAGCTGATGACAATGCAAATAAAGCAATGCATTTCAGAGTTAACATTTTTAGAGATAAATTCTCATTTGGATATAATTGTGATAAGTACTTCAAAACTGTACCAACATTCCATGTAAATGTATATCTAGGTAAAGACGGCCTTAAATTAAAAATGCCTTTCATAAATCTAGTTATGTGTTTATCTTTTGCTAATTCAGCCATACCCATTAATGTCAGAGTCTGACAAATAGCTGATTTATGAGAATTAATACAGCTGTAAGATTTTTTGTTTTCATACAAAAAAGATAGATAATTCAAAATTTGTATCACAGATGGAGAAGTGGAATTAATTTGTTCTTTACTACACCACAAAATCCACTTCCTCCAAGCATATTCATACTGTTTATTGGTTGAATCTCTCCATGATTCGGAGAGAATTCTAACAGCTCTTTTTGAAAAGCCTTTATCAATGAGATATCGCCGGATACAATACAAGCGATAAGGAATAATCTTCGTTTGTTCATTGAATGTCTTTGACCATTGTGAGCCAAAGTTAATAGATCTGACCAATTTGGTAATTTTAGTGGAGTAGAAATTAATAATTCTAATAATTTTGGAAACCATGTTTGTGTGGTCCAAACAGGAGCTATAATTAATGCCTTCCTTACCTTGTCCTCTTCTATTTTCTGTAGGACTCTTGGCAACTGACTGAAAGGAGCAAAAATATATGGTAATAAATTACTCCAAGAGAGAGAAAATGCATCTGAAGCATAAGCTTCTGGATCAGGAAACCAACTAACATACTTTGGCAGTTGTTTGTTTAAACGAGACGCAAACAAATCAATCTCTGGGTTAAATAAACTTAAAGTCACTTTTTCAAAAACTGAACTATTTAGTTTCCACTCTGAAGAATCATTAAATTGTCTAGATAAATTATCTGGTTGTATATTTTGTTTTCCTGGGATATGTACCGCAGATATAAATACTTTTCTTTCAGTACTCCAAAACCAAATTTCTTTTGCAAGTTTTAAAAGCGATAATATTGATCCCCCTTGATTATTGATGTATGCAACCGCTACTGCGCTGTCTGTTCTAACACAAATATGACAATCTTTAACAGATCTACAAAGAGCCTGCAATGCCAAAATTATTGCTTTTAATTCTAACACATTAATATGATTCTGACATTCATCTATATTCCATCTACCTTGGGTACAATCTTTCTCAAATACTGCACCCCAACCTATCAACGACGCATCAGTTTGTATATAAACTTTTGGAGGCTCTTGTCGAATTGGACAACCATTTTCTTTTTTAATATTTTGAATCCACCATAAAATCTCATTTTTACTCTCCACCGACAAAGACATATGAGCATTAAAATTTTTAAAAGATTTTTGTAAAGCTTTTGTTTTGTCAATGTCCAAATATCTATGCTGTAAATGTGCAAGTGTAATTGCATGATAAGATGAAGAATATAACCCAATTAATTGGGCAACCGTACGAATTTGTGTAATCTTCCTTTCAAACACTTTGTATGAAATTTCTATAATTTTTTGTATTTTATCTTCTGGTAAAAATACCTTGAACAAAACTGAATCAATAATGAATCCCAGAAACATTGTTCTTTGTGAAGGTATAAAATTTGATTTCTCTATATTTATTGAAAAACCTAGTGATTCTATTAAATCATTTACAAAATGTGTGTTTCTTTTTGCTTGTTCGAAACAAAGTGCTTGTAATAGGGAATCATCAATATAAAAGAAAGAACTAATGCCTAACTGTCTCACATGTGAAAATACCACTTTCATGATTTTTGTAAATATTCTTGGAGCCGAAGCTATTCCGAATGGGAGACATTCAAAATTATATAATTTGTTATTCCACATAAATTTCAAATACTTTTTACTGTCTTCGTGTATCGCTACAGACCAATATGCCTCGGACAAATCCAGGCTTGTAAAAAATGCATTTCTAGAGATGCTTTTCAAAATAACTTCAAGAGTTTCTTGTTTAAAATGATAATACTGAATATAACTGTTTAATTTTTTCAGGTTAATAACTGGTCTAAATGTTCCATTTTTCTTTTTTACAAGAAAGAGATTTGAAATAAATTCACCTTTCTCATGGTGTGAAATTTTAATTGCTCCCTTTTTTAACATATCAGATACCTCTGTATCAACTAATCTTTCCTCATTTTTATTAAATTTTATAGGTCTTGGAATTATTTTCTGAACTGGTATCTCATCAAATTCTATTTTATAACCAGTAATTGTTTCTAATACCCAACTCTCTGATGTTAATTTTTTCCAATTTCTAATATGATATTTTAATTTACCAATGTTTAAGCCAACTTTTTCAACATGTTTACATGTAATACCAACCTTCAATTTTTTCTTCTGTATTGAGAATTCATCATGGGTTGCCTGTATGACCCTCTTGGGTAGCGGCTCTGCCCTCTGAAATTGCCTCTTGGGTTTGACATACCAAACCGGTACCCTCGCCGATAGGATCGGCCTCTGTAGTTTTTTGAACTGAAAGTTTTGTTTATCTTTTGTGCATCATTAATCTCCTGAAGTCTTTTACTAATATCATCTCCAAAGAGTTTTTCACCCACGACCTCATTTCTGTTACACAATTGATGGAATTTACGTTCAATATGAGGCTTCAAATTCATTCTCCTTTTAATAGATAGCTCAAAATGCAAATTACACTGTATAGAAATAGCTCTTGAAATTAACTCTCTCATTGTCTTAATACAAGGATTTTTCCCTCGTAATAATTCTGCCACCTTAATCAAAGGGACCATGCCTGCCCCTGTTAGCTTTTGAATATTCTGAGAAATCAAATCCTCAGTCTTAGCTCTACGGGCTAAAAATTGCCAAATTTCTGGGTTGACAGGTGGTGGTACTAAAGCTTTACAATTGCTAGGTATCTTGCTATCCTTAGTCAAAGATGTAACATCCGACTTTTTCTTACAAATTTTTTCTATGACTGATGCTATCGAAGGGCTGACCTCAGAATCAAACCGTTCATCGTCCTCAAAAATTTTTGGCAGTTCATAATCAAACTCCTCGTCTTCACTTTCAACGACAAGTTGTGTGGGATCAACATTACTCTCATGTTCAGACAAATCATCAGTTTCAAACAAATTGAAAACATTTTGGTCATTTTCGACCTCATTAATGTCATTATCTTCAAGTTCCTGTATAAAACTATGGGAGTCACTACTTGGACCTGCAGTACCACTACTATTGACATTTATTGCAGACACAATATTACTAGATAAGTCAGCAAATAATTGTTTCAGTAACTCATTTTGCTCGGCTTGAGCTTGTTTACTTTTAGAAGTTTTTCTGGGAGCCTTTGGCTTACTACAGCTAGCGGACGGTTCGTCCTGCGTAATTTGAATACTTCTTTTCAAAGGTGCTTTGCCTTTCTTATTTTTGCCTGGACCTTTTCCAGGTCCTTTTTCTGTAGGCACAACCACTGTTTTCTTATTAGTTTTTACGTTTGTACTCACAGTTTGTGAAATAGAATCTATATCCGGTTTATCTAAAACCTGAATGCACTCCGGTGTATTTGAAGCGTGATTCACACTTATATTTTCAGAAAACCCGGAGAAACTTGCGTCAAACTCATCCTCGGAAGCAAAAAGCTTCATAATCTCCTCATAGTTTCTTTCATCTTCAGATTCTGAAGAAGATGGTCTACAAGACCTTGCCATTTGAAAATCTATAGTATAGACACGTGTATCGATCAAACAGGGTCTGCTTGATACGTACTTAAATGCGTGCGGCCTTGAAATAAAAGAGGATACTACTCAGGTCACCTGGCCTTATATACTACCTGGACATACAAAAAATCACTCAACTGTAAAATAGGCGTGTGGCTGGCACATAATAAAAGGTTCACTATTAACCCGAGTCAAGCCCGGGTTATGATATATAATGTTTGACTTGTTTCAAAGAATAGAACAGGTTAATTTTAAAAAAAGTTTTGTGATTTGATTTTATTGTCTTGCATAAATTTTTCAGTACGAATAATATTTTGTATATTGCAGTGACATATATATACACTAAGCTATAGGATTATGAAAAGACAGATATAATTCTTAATCTTTTGGTTTCCATTTCAGTTACAAGTGGCAGATTCCATTTTTCTACACTACCAGCAAGGAACTGAACTTTAACAAGACAGCTTCTGATATCACCTGGATCAAAACAGAAACAGAGGGTGAGACTGACAGAAATCTTGTTGTAGACAACATTATTTGGTTGTTGGAGACTACTACTTGTGTTTTAATTTGTTTGCATTCAAAATGCTTTGATATTAGATTACTGAATGATTTCTGGACTTTTATTGCAAGTTTGAGGTTTCTCTCTGTGCACTCCAGCTTCCTCCACCAATAAAAACTGTCCCGCCATGATATAGCCAAGAGTGCTGAAAGTGGCATTTAACACCAACAATTAATCAATTAATTATGTGATGAATTTCCTCGTTTCTAAAGGACTGTTCCAGTGTTGGCATGATATAATTTAAAGGTCCAATGCAGAAGGTAGTGAGTCGATTCGTTGGAAAGTCAAAGTAATATTTGCTGCTGCTACAACAATCATGTGCTATTTAGTAGCAGGAGAAAAGACGAGTCAGTCTGGAGTTAAGACAATGTGTTTAGTAGGATGTTCAGAATTCCTTCAGTTAACTTGTGAGTTAGCATGTAGTATCTTTTGGCTAGGCATATTGTTGAAGTTAAAGATTTATAATAATATTACATAACAACCAAAACCATACTTGTGTTAACTTGACATATTCTTTCTTGCCAATGGTCAACTCTATTTTAATTTTACCAAGAGCTGATTTAAAAAATGTCTGATGTAGAAATTTTTAAATTTTGTAAAATTTTGGGAATATTATTAGTAAGATTTAGGTTTTCAAATTATGCTGATATAATTTTATTTACAGATTTACCGGGACCATCCAACTTTTTATCTGGAAAGGATTGGATAATAGCCAATACACAACAATTTGGATTCTATCGTGTTAATTATGATAATGAGAATTGGTTGGCTTTGGTGAAACAGTTAAATACTGATCATAAGGTAATATATATATATACTATTTAACACTCAAATACAGGATCACAGGAATTTCTTTTTTTTGGTCATATACAGAACATAAAAAACATGATTCGGTTTCCACATCATAATAAGATGGTAAAATGGAATTTGAGAGAGACTTGTATTGTTCTTAACATAAATGATTAAATGTGACGAATTTGTACATTTTAAGCAAGACACAAAGTACTGATGAAATAGAACTGATTTCTTATCATCTAACAATGTATTCAAATGGGGAAAAAACTAATAGAACTCAAAATATAGATAGCACAACTGTTAACGCATAGTGTGTTTCATTAAAATAAGATCAATCTTGTTTATAACTTTTCATTGTAGACAGTCTGTTTTCTGAATGTACAGTTGACATTTATTTCAATTTTAGAATATTTATAATTTTCCTCATAGAATGGTTTAATTAGCAGAGTGGTACATTTCATAATAATGGCCATTGAGACAAAACTTGATAACACTTTGGTTTACCTTTAATGCCAATGACATGTTGCAAATTGTATATAGTTAAACATAAACAAGATTTGGATATTCGAATTTATTATACTTCATGTCAAAATGCCAGATTTTGATTGGTTAATACGAGGGAGACAATTTACTCTATCCTATGGCAAATACTCTATTACCCTTCACGGAGACGCTTGCTTAAATGTGCGCTTCAATAAATACGGATGATTGTTATGTACAAGACGACATAGTTTATTACTTTGAATTTGAAATTTAATAGACAGTTATAACAGAACATTCGGTATAATAAATTAAATAACACATATCTGAGAGGGTGATAGAGCAGATTGTTACCCCTCGAAATGACATCGTCAACCTTGGCTTCGCCTCAGTTGACAATGTTTTCTCAGGATAACAATCTGCTCTATCACCCTCCCAGCTATGTGTTATTTATATAATAATGCATTCTGCAAGATTGGAGAAATAAAGAAAAAGATCAACATTTATTGGTATTAAGCATTTTGACAGTTTTTGTTTTTGCCATTTGAATGTTTTTAGTTAATTTTTGGAAAAGAGGCACTACTTTCATCACTAAAATTTGACAGGTTTTAGAAATGACCACTGCAATGCTTTGAATAATTAGAAGTATGAAATAGAGGATTCATTACTTACAAGTGTGAAGGATTTTCCTGGAATTTTTAATTTTCCCCTTTACTTGAAATTTTTATTTGCATTGAAAATTTTGTAGGTCATTCATCCTATTAATAGAGCACAGATTATAAATGATGCCTGGAATTTAGCAAAGTAAGTATACTTACACTAAACTTTGCCACAGAATCCTTAGATCCTCTAATAGTGCCTTTTTTCGGTACAATAGTTACATATATTATTCTGATTGAAATTAACTAAAAAAATGTAGGTCACCTATTATGACAATTAAAGTAAGTAAAGGATAACTCGTAAAAAGATTAAACAAAATGATAAATATGTTTTGCTTTGACACTAAGTGAAAATGTCATGATTTTGAGCACCATTTTTGACAAACTCAATTTGTTCTCTCTCAAAATTTGATAAATCGAACAACTAAAAATATAAATACATATAACATTCTTTTAAGGTGGATTGGGGGTCTGTATTGAAATAAAAATTGGGGTCATGGGACTCGTTTACTTATACAAATCAGAAAAGGTATTTTCTGGGTAAAGATGTGCAACTCTTTTCAGGTAGGTGGTAATGTTAGTCTTTTCCTCAATTCCTCTGTCCATATCTCCCCTTATTTGGCCAAGTTGAAAATAATTGAATCAAACAAAAATATTCTGTAAACAACAGTTGTAAAAATATGATAAAACACACAATGTCCTTCAATTAGAAGAAAAGTCTCACAAATGAATTACATTCTTCTGTGAAATTTGACCTAGAATGATTGTTTGCTGCTACTTTAATTCCAAGATGGCGGAAGAACAGTGGTCAAAATGTTGTGAGGGGATCGATGCTCCAGTTCAGTTTTATATTATAGGTCTGGCGATCTTGATATTGGTATATCATTAAAAACAGTAGAATATATTAGTGAAGAATTAGAATATGTTCCCTGGGATGCAGCAAGCAGCCAGCTATCATATGTTAGTAATATGTTGTCACGGACAGAAATTTATGGCAAGTTTAAGGTAAGCTTTTTGTAGTTGCAGTATTTTGATTAAATTTGACCTTTAGGTTTAATTCTTGCATTCATGTAAAGGGATACCTGATGTTTTACTACTATAGTCCTTATATAACATAGCTAATCTACATTTTGGTCAAATGATCTGTAATTCTAGCTTTAAGGATTTTAGCTAATCTTTAAATTCATGGACATATTTAACCCCTTATAAAACTTTACCCCTATGTTACTAATTTCTTCTACACACATTGTATGATATCTTGGCAATGGCTATTTTAAACAGATCTTTTAGATGTATTAAGCAAAGTTACATTTCTGAATTCTTTTAGATAAAGTTCTTAGCGCTACGGAAAGATTTTAAAGGCAATAAATATTTTGTTTTAGACATTATGTAGTCAAGCAATTTTTGTTGTTGAAATAATAGGTCCATGTACTATTTTCATGTCAAATTTCTTTTTAAATCTAAACAATTTATTCATTTCCTGTAAATTTGACATTACTTTTGAATATTTCCATGTCTTTTTTTAGGAATAGATATGTAACATACTAATGACCTTTCATTTAATAAAAACAAATATGATTTTAATGATGTTTCAGAAATTCATGAAAAAAATTGTGACAAAACCCTTCAAGCATTTTGGGATGGACAACAGTAAAGCTAGCCATCTGGAGTCGTAAGTATGAGCTATAAAATTCCATGTTTGCAAAGTTTTTGTCTCACCTTGACTGAGTCAAAAAGCGAGACATAGGTATGCTGTTTCCGGCGTCGGCGGCGGCGTCAACAATGTATTAGTTTGTGATTAGGTCTAGTTCATGGTAAACCACTAGTTGTAGGTCAATGATATTTGGTATGCTGTTGTATTAGCATTGGCACATCTCATTACCATGGAGATTATTTGGCCCCATCCCCTCAGTCAAGGTCTATTGACTTTGAAACTTTGCTTTGTTTACATGTATTAGTTTGTGATTAGGTCAGTTTATGGGGAACCACTATAGTGGTAGGTCAATGATATTTGGTATGCAGTTGTATTAGCATTGGCACATCTCATTACCATGGAGATTATTTGGCCCCATCCCCTCAGTCAAGGTCTATTGACTTTGAAACTTTGCTTTGTTTACATGTATTAGTTTGTGATTAGGTCAGTTTATGGGGAGCCACTGATGGTAGGTCAATGATATTCGGTATGCAGTTGTATAAGCATTGGCATATCTCATTTCCATGGAGATTATTTGGCCCCATCCCCTCAGTCATGGTCTATTGACTTTAAAACTTTTGCTTAGTTTACATGTATTAGTTTGTGATTAGGTTAGTTTAAGGGGAACCTTTAGTGGTAGGTCAATGATAATTGGTATGCAGTTGTAGAAGCATTAGCACATCTTATTTCCATGGAGAATATTTGGTCTTTACTTCTCAGTCATGGTCTATTGACTTTGAAACTTTTGCTTAGTTTACATGTATTAGTTTGTGATTAGGTCAGTTTAAGATGAACCACTAATGTTAAGTCAATGATATTCGGTATGCAAATGTATTGGCATTTGCAAGTTTCATTTCCATGGAGATTATATAACCCCAACCCCTAATTATGGTTCATTGACTTTGAAACTTTTACATAGTTTACAAATTAATGTTTGTGTTTAGGTTTGTTTAAAGGGAACGACTTATGAAAAGTCAATGGTATTTGGTTTGCAGTTGTATTAGCATTGGTACATCTCATTTCCATGGAGACTGTTTAGCCCTGTACATTCAGTCATGGTTCATTGACTTTGAATATTTGCATAACTTACATGTTAAAGTATTGTAATTTGCATTATCAAAATAACAAATAGGCGAGACATATCTCTATGTTAACAGTTTATTTATTTATTTAGATTTTAATTTTTTTCCTGAATATGCATGAAATATTTCCCACTGGAAGTATGCAAACGACCGTACTGTGACCTATAATGGTTTACTTTTATAAATTTTGACTTGGATGGAGAGTTGTCTCATTGGCACTCATACCACATCTTCTTATATCTATAAACAATAACCAACCAATCAATATAGATTTTACAAGGTAGGTTATGGTTGCACATCAGACAAAAAAATCACCAAAATAATGTTGTTAATGCTTTGTTTCATTAGTAAAAACTTTCAGCATCTGTTTAAAGAAATGGAGTGGGTACACATGAGACAAAAATCACATGAAAAACAAGGAAATAAACAATATATATATATAGAAGGAACAGTAGTTTTATTGCTGTTCATCATTTGACTGTCGTTTTTATGCCTTCAGTGATGATCTAAAGGGATATGTACATGTAATATAGTATTTTCTCTAATTAAAGGGTAAGAAAGGACAAGGTACGATAAGCCCCCGTTTTGGCCCCCCTATTTTCTTATTTTTCAAATTTTGTTTTGGAAAGCTACTTATCATGTTAAAATATTCCCTGAGGTTTGAAGTTTGTTTGGATGAACTTCAAAACCATTAACTTCAGCAACTGGGTGAGGTGAGGGGGGTAAACTTTCCATTATTATTCAGATATTGTAATTATTATTCACTTTGGAGGTGTTCTGTACAACGATTTTTTAGTTTTTAAGTGCCTGCGCCAGCGTGACCCAGGAATGTTTTTATTACAATGTCATTATCACTGTTTTTGCTGTCTAGATCGCCATAATTTTCTCCGGGTCCGTAGGCGCACGCTATTAAATTTTAAGAAACAGGCCAAAAATTGTAATTTTTCCTACTTTTGGCGTTTTTGATGCCCTTTCACCCCCCTCATCTCATCTAGTTTCTGAAAATAATGATTTTGAAGTTCATCCTAACAAATTTCAAACCTAAGGGAATATTTCAACATAATAAGTAGCTTTCCAAAACAAAATTTGAAAAATGAGAAAATAGGGGGGCCAAAACGGGGGCTTATCGTACCTTGTCCTTTGAAGCAACACTTTTTGAAACCTTTTAACAGTTGTAAATCTCAGATAAATTACCATGTAGGCAATTTGATGTTGAATGCAGATTTGATGTTTGGTAGTCTTTGGTGTTTGGTGATTTTTTTGTATCCTAGCTTTCAGAGTATACTTTATAGATTAATGTTAAAAGTCGGGAGAAAATTGAAATGAATACACAGATCAATTTTTATTTTAAGCGAGAGGATTATTTCCAAAAATTGCTTGTTTAATGGTGTATATTTGATGGAGAATTTTCTTTACAGATATATAAGGTCAACACTGTCTAGCTTTGCCTGTGATTATGATATAGAACAATGTACAAGGGAAGCTGCTAAGATGTTTAAGAATTGGATGATGGACCCTGAAAGGAATAGGTATAGCTCTATTATAAGATAATGTTAACCAAGTCAGAAAACAAGGAGCAGCTTAAGTTAGATCTAGGAAGTAGAAGATAAATTCTATAATGGTTAATGTTAACTAAGTCAGGAGAGGTGGAGAACTATTGATAGATCCATAAAGAATAAATAGCCATATATTAGTTTTTGTAATAATATAAAGTCTTCATCATTTATTTTGCTTATTAGAATTGATCCTGGTCTGAAGAGTACAGTTTACTGCTCTGGAGTGGCTAGCGGTGATGAAGATGAATGGAATTTTGTGTATGACAAATATAAAACAGCAACAGTTGCTGCTGAAAAAGCACATTTATTATCTGCCTTGTCATGTACCAAACAAACATGGATTCTGAATAGGTAAACAATTCAATTCATATATATTTTAAAATTACGATTAAAAAAACACATCTTTTGGGTTTTAAATGCCATTTGTAGCATTATTTTTCCTCATTATAAATGATGTATAAATCTATCCCTCCACATCCAAGATTGAAAAGATATTTACTTGTTGCATTGATATCGGGTAATACTCTTACCGTTCAGGAGTTATGGTCCTTGATAGATAGGAAAATCGCACTTTATGTTGTTTTCATGCAATTACTTAAAACTGTTCAACTTGTGATTTTCAATATGATATGTTATTACTAATGCTAAAATGGAGGTCAAATTAAAAATTGACAATTTGCTCATTTGCAATTTAGGAGTTATGGTCTTTGTTAGATTGAACAAGAACCTGACATGACAAACAAGCCTGATAGCGCCTTCAAAATACAGACAATCTCATTTGCTGTCAGTTTGACAGCTCATTTCTTGTTATGATATTATTGATATAATAGAATTTTTGATATTCATTTTGCAGATTCATCAAGATGTCACTTGACTTTGACCAAGTAAGAAAGCAGGATTCTGTAAGTGTTTTTACTGGTATCCATGGTAACCCAATAGGACGAGACCTTGCATGGACCTTCTTAAATTCAAACTGGGATAGAATTTATAGCATGTAAGATAGCTTTCTAAAGTTTATATTGAAATATTAATCCGCTTACCTGTGCTGTTATTTCCGTTTTTTTTTTTTTTGGGATACAAAATTGTTTTAAGTTTTTTATTGACAGTATAAGAATGAAATCTTGACTCGTATGCTTTCTCATCGATTTGGGAGGAACCCTTATAAGCCATTTATCAAATCATGGATAATAAAAATTTATTTTGTTAAAGTTTAACACCATGTTCTGAATTTATTACTGAGATTGTAAATAAAACCATTAACTACATTTGTTAGAATCTGTAAAGGAAGCATGTTTATACCTTTTTTTTCCATTTTCTAATAGAGCAATTGTAATTACATGAAATTATACATTAAGATTTAGTTTTATTGTCTTGACTGCGACAAAAGTCACAGTATGCGAGACATAGGTATTACTATCCAGCAGCGGCGGCGTAAACTATTTGTATAAAGCTTTATATTGCAGAAGGTAGAAGACCTGGATGCTTCATATCTTGTATGCAGATACCTTATGTTACGAAGTTTCTGTCTGTCATATGTCCAATGTCCTTGACCTCATTTTCATGGTTCAGCAACTGCTTGAAAAAAAATTTGAGTTTTTTGTCATGTAAATTTCTCACTTGTTATGAGTAATAGGATAACCATATTTGGTATATGGGTTCCTTGCAACGTCTACATGTCTGTCATACAGGGTTCACCTGACCTCGACCTCATTTCATGGATCAGTGATCAAGGTTAAAGTTACGTGATTAGGTCCGTTTCTCAAATACTATAAGCAGTAGGTCAATTATATGTGGTGTATGGAATAACTGTAATGGGTACATGTCAGTCTGGCAGGTTTCATCTGACCTTGACCTCATTTTCATGGTTCATTGGTCAATGTTAAGTTTTTGTGGTTTGCTCTGTTTTTCAAGTACTATAAGCAACAGGTCATTTATATTTGGTGTATGGAATGATTGTAAGGTGTAGATGTCTGTCTGGCAGTTATCATCTAACCTTGACCTCATTTTCATGGTTCATTGGTCAATGTTAAGTTTTTGTGTTTTGGTCTGTTTTTTTAAGTACTATAAGCAATAGGTCAACCATATTTGGTGTATGGAATGATTGTAAGGTGTACATGTCTGTCTGGCAGGTATCATCTGACCTTGACCTCATTTTCATGGTTCATTGGTCAATGTTAAGTTTTTGTGTTTTGGTCTGTTTTTTTAAGTACTATAAGCAATAGGTCAACCATATTTGGTGTATGGAATGATTGTAAGGTGTACAGGTCTGTCTGGCAGGTATCATCTGACCTTGACCTCATTTTCATGGTTCATTGGTCAATGTTAAGTTTTGTGATTTGGTCTGATTTCAAGTACTATAAGCAATAGGTCAACTATATTTGGTGTATGGAATGATTGTTAGGTGTATATGTCTGTCTGGCAGATATCATCTGACCTTGACCTCGTTTTCATGGTTCAATGGCCAATGTTAAGTTTTCTTTTTTTGGTCTGTTTTTCAATTTTCATAAGCAATAGGTCAACTATGTTTTCTGTATAAAAAAATTGTAAGGTGTATATGTTTGTCTGACAGCATTTATCTGACCTGAGTTTCTGTGATGCCTTTAGTTAAACCTTTATCTTTAAGACTTTCAACATAAAATCAATGGTCAGTAAAGCAGGCAAGACATTTCAGCATGTGCACTCTTGTTTGTTTGTTGTCCATATTTTTCTTAACATATTGATGGGGGCAGTTTTGATCATGCCAGAATAAGTGATGAATTAAACACATCTTGGATGTATACATATTATGACTGTACATCCTACTGGTACCATCTGCCTATAAATGGGACCATACATGTACCTTAGATCAGTGTTTTAAAGTGAACCATGATAATCTAGAGGTTATCTTAAATTGGACCAAATCTGCACTCTACAAATATTTTCAAATGTATGCAGGCCTACAGCCCCTACAAATTTCATTGATATAGTGTCTATAAGAAGTGAGTAAGGGTGACAAGAAATCTGTAAATGGTGACGGTTCATTTATCCCACAAAAATCAGTTGTAAAAATCTTGGAAAAATTGATACCATTCGAAATGGATTATGTGCATCGATCGGCGAAATGTCGGGAATTCGTAATTATCTATCAGCTGATCAGAAATTCAAGGGCGTGCATTTACATGTTCTACCTCCTGCAACACTCGAAGAAGTCAAGAAAATTATTCTGAAAGCACCATCCAAATCTTGTGAACTGGACCCTTTGCCAACACACCTTCTCAAAGAGTGCATAGACAATTTAGCGCCTGTTATTGTGAACATGTCGTTGGCTGAATCGATAGTACCTTCAACTTTCAAAGAGGCAGTTGTGCGGCCTTCAATAAAGAAAGCAAACCTAGACAAAGAAGTTCTAAAAAATTACCGCCCTGTGTCAAACTTGCCATTTGTATCCAAAGTTGTCGAGAGAGTTGTTGACACGAGATTTGGATCTCATATCATGTTGAACTCTTTACATGACGATATGCAGTCAGCATATCTCACCGGACATTCAACTGAAACAGCACTGATCCGTGTTCATCATGACATTACACACGCACTGGACAACAACTCTTGTGTAATATTGCTGATGTTGGATCTCTCAGCAGCATTCGACGTGATCGATCACGACATTCTTTTCGATCGTCTACAGTATACTTTTGGTATATCAGGAACAGCCTTGTCGTGGCTTCGTTCCTACTTGACTAAAAGGTCGCAATGTGTCTCCATTGGATCTGTTCATTCCGACAATATGGTTCTGAAATATGGTGTCCCACAGGGTTCCGTGCTTGGACCGAGACTTTATTCCATGTTCTCGTACCCGGTTAGTGAAATCTGTAAGACGCATGGCATGGCATACCACTGTTATGCGGATGATACACAAATTTATTAAGTCATCAAACCATTAGATAATTGGGATGACATTACCGAGCGCCTAGAAGCTTGTTTGGAAGATATTAAAACTTGGATGTGTACAAATATGTTAAAGTTAAACCAGGACAAGACCGAATTGATTGTGTTTGCTCCAAATCACAAAGTCAAAAGTCTTAGTAAGTTACGACTGAATTTTGATGGAACTATACTAAGTGAATCTACCTGTGTTCGAAATCTAGGAGTTTTTCTCGATCAAACCCTCAGCATGCAGCAACAGACCAATGCAATTACCAAATCCTGTTTCCATCAGATTCGTAACATAGGACCATATATTCGATCATATATAACGGAGGACGCTTGCAAAACTCTTGTATGCTCTCTTGTCACGTCGCGACTTGATTATGGTAATGCTTTAATGTATGGTGTGAATGCCTTGAGTCTATCCAAACTTCAGCGTGTTCAGTACACCGCTGCCAGGCTAGTAACCCGCAAAAAGAAGTTTGAACATATAACTCCAACACTTATGACTCTTCATTGGCTACCATTTAAATTCCGATGCCAGTATAAACTGTTGCTTTACGCATTCAAAGCCTTGCATGGACTTGCACCTGCGTATCTGAGTGAACTCATACATTTTTACAAACCAGCACGATCGTTGCGATCTGAAAATGCTGCTTTAATCAAGATGCCAAAAAATGCACGGACAAAAATGTATGGTGAACGGAGGTTTGATGTGGCGGCTGGGACTCTGTGGAATAGCCTTCCAACAAATCTTAGAAATGAACAATCGCTAGAACTATTCAAGAAAGGACTAAAGACGCATTTATTCAAAGTTGCATTTGTGGATCGCTTATAGTTAAGACCTGGAACCGTGATTGATTGTATTTGACTGATGTTGATTTGCTAAAGTAATATTTAGTACATTTTAGTCTGATTTGATGTGTTTCTGTATATTTTGATATAACATTTTATTATAAGCCTATGTCTTTTAGTAACTTATTTTTAAATACAAAATAGTAGTAGCATTCACCAATTTTAGAAATATTTAATAGATAACAAGTATTGAAATTTTTACTTATTCATTAATAATTCTTTTATTTAATTTTTAACCAAGTTGATGAAGTTTTAGAGTCTTAACTTTTTATAGTTGATTTGATGTTGTATGCTTCTAAACATATTTTGGTCTATTTTTAACTTTGTAGTTTCGTGTTTGTACGAACTTGTGTATATTTGTTTTAACATGTAAAGCGCTTAGAGTAATTGTAGTATTATATAATGCGCTTTAAAAATGCCTTGTAATAATAATAATAATAATAAAAATATGTATGTTATGTTTTTATAATCTGCATGTAATGTAATATTAATTAAAGAAGGACTAGCTGTTTGTTTTGTTTTAATCTTTTCAATAAAACCAACATTGTAGTCAAAGTGTATGTAAATCAAATTTTGCATTTAAATTTTTTTTCAAAATATTCTCACTTTACAGACATGGATCAACCATACTTACCATAAAAAAGTTGATCAGTGGGATAGCTTATGGCATGAATTCACAGTATGATCTACAACAGGTGAGTTAATATATTGATTAAAAAGCAGGTAACAATGTCTGGCTAGCCAACTTATATTTTACTTGCTTCATTAGAAATATTACAAGTTGTACAGAATATGTCCTAATGGGAATGCTCTCTGGAAAATTTTCCAATGGAAAAATATTCAACTTTGATTCTCATAATAAGGCTATTATGTTGAAGCTTAACATGTTGCATGGATTTGTTTTTACATCATTAAGAATAGATATATTTATACAAATTAGTTTAATGAAAATGCTTTGAATATTCCACTGTGTATTTTATTTAATTTTTCCCAAAAAGAGAAAAGATTTGCTGTCTTTTTGTCTTGCTTGTGAAAGTTAAGAATTAGCAGAGAAACATTTGTGGAAGTTCATGATTAGGTCTCAGAGGAGGAGACAAATCTCTGTGTTAAGTTTATTCTCTAGAACTGTACTGTACATCACTTTACATGATTATATTATTTTCAGCTGAGGGAATTCAAAAGAAGGCATCCAAACATTGGATCAGGTCAAAGAGCTCTTGAACAGGCGATTGAGAAAACAGAAGCCAACATCAAATGGATGAGCAGATATTATTCACATATTGAAAACTGGCTTGATGAGAATTTACAAGACGATCAAGGTTCAGACTACAGACTCTCAAGATCTGTTATTCCTTCTGCATATTCTATTGAACTGTTTCCAGATTTATACTCTGGTGATCCATCAAAATTTATATTTACTGGATCTGTAACAATACAAATTACTTGTACAGAGAATACCAGTAACTTTACACTCAATAGCAGGCAGCTGGAAATAGATGAAAATTCTGTAAAAATAGACTCACTGGATAAACATGTTGCCAGTCCTGTTTTCTTGTCATTATCGTATGATGCTGACTCACAACTTGTTACATTTGTATCTAGTAACCAGTTTATCAAGGGATATAACTATTCCATAGCTATGAACTTTACTGGTCCCCTGTTAGATGATCTACAAGGACTTTACTACAGTTCATATAACGAGGGAAACACCACAAGGTAAGACAGTAATGTAATATTTTTTGTGAATTGTATTTTAGCAAACTATCAAGTCATTGTGAATCTCAATAAAAACTTGAGTTGAGTTGAGACGGAATGTATTATGGTATATCAATGGCTGTCCATCCTTCCGTCTGTCAATACTCTGTACGATAACTCAAATTCCCTTTAACCAAATCTCATATTACTTTAACACAACATTAGAATTGATGGAAGAAAATTCCATTTTAATTTTTTTTTTATTTTTGGCTTTGTCATTTCAGAGTTATGGAACTTCGATCCTTAGATTTAAGTCTATTTTTCACAAATCCTGTACTAACTCCAGTATTCCTGAATTGATTTCCTCCAAACTTTACATTATTGTTGGGATTGATGAAAGAAAGCTACCTTGTGATTTTTTTTTAAATTTCTGGTTGGTTTACTAGAGTAACGGAACTTTAACTTTTACATTTAAGGCAATTTTTCACAAATCAACCTTAACTGCAGTATTTGTGGATTGATTTTCTCCAAACTTAATATTATTGTTGGGATTGATGAAAGGAAGCTCCCTTTTGTTTTTCTAATTTTCTGGTTTTTTGCTCCAGAGTTATGGGACTTAAATTGTCAGATTTTAGCAAATTTTCACATATTTTACCAGTTTGGTTGGATTGATTTAGTGGAAACTTTACATTATTGTTGGAATTGGTGAACATAACAAACTGTTTGATTTAAAAAGCGGTATCCTCAGGATTTATTTTATACAGAGCCATTTTATTTGCTTATGATTAAATGTCTTTGAATTCTTGCAACAATTTCAATATGCACAAAAAGGGTATATCTTGAGCCCTTATTGCAGCTGTTTATTAGAATAAGTCACAGTTTTTTGCCTGGTTTGCAACGAAAATCTCAGAATTGAACACATAGGGATTACAAGTTCCAGCAATGGCTGCGTCGTAAACTATTTGTATAAAGCTTAATATTTCAGAGGGTAGAATACTAGGATGTTTCATATCTTGTATACAGATGCCTTATGTTACAAGTTTCCGTCTGTCATATGGTCTTTGTCCTTGACCTCATTTCATGGTTATGCGAATGATTAAAAAATCTTTACTTTTTTTGTCTTGTGAATTTCTCACTTATTTTAAGTAATAGGATAACTATATTTAGTATATGGGTTCCTTGCTAGGTCTTCATGTCCTTCAGACAGGGTTCATCTGTCCTCGACCTCATTTCATGGATCAGTGACCAGGGTTAAAGTTACATAATTAGATCCGTTTATTAGATACTTAAAGCAGTAGGTCAATATATGTGGTGTTTAATAAGATTGTAAGGAGTACATGTCTGTCTGGCAGTATTCATCTAACCTTTACCTCATTTTCATGGTTCATTGGTCAATTGTAAGTTTACCTGGTTATGTCTGTTTCTTAGATACTATAAGCAATAGGGCAACTATATTTGGTGCATGGAATGATTGCGAGGTGTATACATGTCTGTCTGGCAGGGTTTATCTGACCTTGACCTCATTACCAAGGATTGTTGTTAATGTTGAGTTAGTAAAGCATGTGAGACATTTCAGAGTGTTCACTTTTGTTTGATTTAAACCAATAATTGTGTCGCTAAACAGAGAAGCTGCAGTTAAACACAGGGATCACATTCCTAGTCTTTCTTTGACTGTCACACTTTGTTAATTGGCTATTCCTTGAAAACTGCTTGACAGAAATTAACCAAATTTAATTCAACCGAATACTTTTACTATAAACCTTGCTTTTCCTTATCTGCTGATATCTTTTGGGAACTGCAGATGACACCTCTGTTTCTTGGAAGACTAGCATGTTAAGTATTTCTATTTTGTGCTATATGTCATTTGATAGCGTGCAGCTGTCACTAGCAACACACACATATCCTTTCTGTTATCTTGTGTCATTGTAGTCTGAGTTTCTTTTTATGTTTATTTAAACATCTATAAGAATTTGCTTGACAGAATTGAATCAAACTTGCACAGCTTATTCTTTAGGACATAAAGTTTTGTACCTGTTATTTGATTTTTGAAATCTAAGTGATTTTTGGAGGGTTACCTATACAAAAACATGGAGGTTTATATTTATATCAGTTTGTTGTTCTGTCACTCATTGAAAACAGCTTAACGAAATCCAACCAAACATGCACAGGTTGTTCTACATGGCATGTAGTTGTGTTGTTCTATTTCGATTTTGATATGAGTGATGTTTGGGAGCTCCCACACAAAAACATGGACTTAATTGCTTCTGCTTATTCTATTTAGAGACAACAGGCAACACAAGTCTTCCTTGAAGTCGTGCACGTTTTAATGCAAAACAAAAATGCGGAAAAGTAAGATTTTGTTTGTTGTAAGAAATAGTAACTGTAATAAAATGAAAATATATGACAAAAAAATAGTCTACAAATAGTCATTTAAAATTTGAATGTTAAAATAATTAGATTAGAAATTGAACTTGAATGGTGATAAAAGTAGCTAATTTATTTTTTTTCTACAGGTACTTAGCCTCAACTCAGTTTGAATCGATCAAAGCCAGGAAAGCATTCCCATGTTTTGATGAACCAGATTTAAAGGCACAGTTTAAAGTGACGTTAGTTCGTCGTAAAGACAAGATTTCACTATCCAATATGCCAATAGATAAAACATATACAAGGTACTAATTATACTCTTATGTTGTAGAAATAACACTATAGTGTAAAAGGTTCAACACTGAGAAAAAAAAAATTTGGTGTCAATAATTGAAGTGTAGTAATATATAAAGATTGAACATTTCAATGGCACTTAAATAACAGACATGTTCATGCCCAGCATACAATATTTAATAGTAGGGGGCATTTTGTTTTCTGGTCTATACATCCATCAGTTATATCGCCCCTCCAGTATCAGAGTAAAATTTTAAGTCGAAGTAGTTTACCATGAAGTTGTGATCACACCAACTTCACACTCAGTACACTGAAGCTCATCACGATGTGACCGCATGCTAAATTAATAGATTTGACTCAGATTTCATGGGTCACTATGGACACATATTTTTGTGTACATGTATTAAGTATTTTTAAAATTGCTCATCACCTGTTTTATTTCCCAATTTAATTTCAATTTCAAAATTTTGATTAACCCTAATTGCTCCTTTTAATGTTCTTAATGAAAGCCAAATTTTGTACTCTTACGTTTTTAAATTTAAAATGTATTGAACAGTCCTAAAAAGGAAACGTTATGTTCACATCAAATTAAAAAATTTACTGATACAATGTCCTCTTATCTGTTAGCCGTTATGTATATCTCAGTATGATTTATATTTTGTAGGTCTGATGGTTACATAGCTGATGAGTATGAAGTGACTCCTGTGATGTCAACTTATCTGTTAGCTGTTATGTATATCTCAGTATGATTTATATTTTGTAGGTCTGATGGTTACATAGCTGATGAGTATGAAGTGACTCCTGTGATGACAACTTATCTGTTAGCTGTTATGTATATCTCAGTATGATTTATATTTTGTAGGTCTGATGGTTACATAGCTGATGAGTATGAAGTGACTCCAGTGATGTCCACTTATCTGTTAGCTGTTATGTATATCTCAGTATGATTCATATTTTGTAGGTCTGATGGTTACATAGCTGATGAGTATGAAGTGACTCCAGTGATGTCCACTTATCTGTTAGCTGTTATGTATATCTCAGTATGATTTATATTTTGTAGGTCTGATGGTTACATAGCTGATGAGTATGAAGTGACTCCAGTGATGTCCACTTATCTGTTAGCTGTTATGTATATCTCAGTATGATTTATATTTTGTAGGTCTGATGGTTACATAGCTGATGAGTATGAAGTGACTCCTGTAATGTCCACTTATCTGATAGCCGTTATGTATATCTCAGTATGATTTATATTTTGTAGGTCTGATGGTTACATAGCTGATGAGTATAAAGTGACTCCTGTGATGTCAACTTATCTGTTAGCCGTTATGTATATCTCAGTGTGATTTATATTTTGTAGGTCTGATGGTTACATAGCTGATGAGTATGAAGTGACTCCTGAAATGTCCACTTATCTGTTAGCTGTTATGTATATCTCAGTATGATTTATATTTTGTAGGTCTGATGGTTACATAGCTGATGAGTATAAAGTGACTCCTGTGATGTCAACTTATCTGTTAGCCGTTATGTATATCTCAGTATGATTTATATTTTGTAGGTCTGATGGTTACATAGCTGATGAGTATGAAGTGACTCCAGTGATGTCCACTTATCTGTTAGCTGTTATGTATATCTCAGTATGATTTATATTTTGTAGGTCTGATGGTTACATAGCTGATGAGTATGAAATGACTCCTGTGATGTCAACTTATCTGTTAGCCTTTGTTGTGGGAGATTTTAATCACACAAATCAAACTACTAACAATGGCATCAAAGTAAGAGTGATTGATATCTGTCATGTCTGGGGTAAGAGTGATTGAAATCTGTCATGTCTGATATAGATTTGTCAGAGCTCATCATTGTTATAGCTTTTGGTATAGAACCACTTATTAAAGAACATGCAAGAAAGAAGCACATCTTTACACAAATAGTTCCTACACATAGCTGTAACTTTGAAAATCAGTAAAATAGTTGGGTAATGTTGGTATCAAACGAAAGCTTAAGGATTTGGGATCATTGTAGAAACCTTGTTGAAAGTTTCTTTTGCATAATAAAAAAAAATATATGAAATTGGAAAAGGAGGGCATATTTTGCTTGTTGTTCAGATCAGAAGTATCTACTTTTGTGCTACCAAACTTCTGGGAACCAGTGCAATCTTATATGCAATCAAAGGTATATTCAATTTTTCAGCACAAGCCACTTTATTTGAACTTAAGACAAAATAGCTATGAATGATTGAAATTGCAGAATTTAACATAGAAAGCAATGGGGCTATGAATCAGTGGTTTTATTCCTTTTAAACTATCCACAGAATGGTGTCGTGTTAAGAGTAACACATTAAGTATGTGGTATATGTCATGCAGGCAGCAACGCAACAGCAAAAAAAGGAAAAGGCAACTACAGGTCAAACCATGGTCTGCAACAATATAAAAACAAGGAGATGTGGTATAATTGCCAATGAGACAACTATCCACCAGCGACCAAAGAATTGGACAGTAACCACACTTTTGAATTTGAAGGAATTTGTTGTTATAGCTCCTCCTTTGCCAGCTTGTTCAAATTATGCTAATACATTTAAACATTGTTATAATATGAATAGGTTTCATCATTTACGTTATATAGTTATATTGAAGTATTGACATTTTGAATTTATTTTTAGTATGGTGTATGGTCAAGACCAGAATCAGTGGAACAAACTAAATTTGCATTGGATGTTGGAACTAAAGTGTTGACATTTTATGAACAATTTTTCAACATATCCTTCCCTCTACCAAAACAAGGTACTGTTATTCATTGTATATCACATTTGTAGTTCCTGCTGAACTCACCCGGTTTAAAAGACAAGTTGACCTAAATCATGTGATGTCTTTTGTCTATTGATTAACTTGTCTTTCTCAACACCACTGGGCCTTCTAGTGCCTAATTTCATAAGTATTTCAGATGATGGCTTATAATCAGGTTATACTAGTTACATAAAATTTTTGTCTGGACAAGGTTCAAGAGAATGCCCCCAAAATAAATTTATAAAAATGATCAGTGTTTGAATTAAATGGGGAAATAACAGCATTCAGCACTTATAGTAGTATTAAGTGTCATTTACATTCATTGAAATTGTCATGGATGCAAGGATATGTCAATGAGACAGCAGTTTGACAACTCAATATGAACAACACAAGAGCATGTGATGTATTGTTTTCTTGCAAAAATGAATAAAAGATGAATCATATAGGACAGTAAACAATTGACACAAAAAGCCAAATGACATGAAGTGGCCAATACAAGGTCAAACAAGAAATTTTGCATTGCAACAGGCCACCTACAAAGCTCTCAAAAAACTCTGGCAAGGGTTCTTTTACATGCTATTTACCTGCTTCACTGAAGGCAGAAGCAGGCTTAGTGACCATTCGACTTCGACCATTTATCTATCTGTCCATCCGAAAAGAAAGAAAGATTTCTTGGCTTCTATGAAAGGGAATGATTGAAGATTTAGACTGCAGCTTTATGATGTTGAGTTGTAGTGAGTAAGCAATTTTTACATCTGCCAAATTACCAATTCCTGTTTGTAGTTAGTTTAAAATTTTACAACACTCATTGACTTGAAAAACTATGATGGATTGATGATTGATTGTCTGTGTTTAACACCATTGTCAGCATTGTTGGCTATATTGTGGCAGCCAGCTTCTTATTGATGAAGCTTGAGTGCCCAGAGATAATCACTGACCTTCAGCATAAAAACTTGCAATCCTAGTCAATTAAGATTGAAGTCAAATGTGGGGTTCGAAATCACGATGTCAGTGTTTACAGTAAAAACTATCATGATTTCATCATATTGCTCTGTCATTATCAGACAAGCAGACAAAACATTTCAGTGTGCATAATCTTATTATATTCATAACAGATATGATAGCTATACCAGACTTTGGACCAGGAGCCATGGAAAACTGGGGACTTATAACATACAAAGAAAGATACCTGTTATATAAAGATGGTGTAACCTCTGCAGAAAGTAAACAAAAAACAGCTATTGTAATAGCCCATGAATTAGGTCACCAGGTTAGTGAGTGAGAAACAATATATAGCAATTCTGAGGAAGCTTTAGACACCAAAATATACAGTGTTGATGCAGATATCAGTGTGGCCAATACATTTCTGAAATAAACATTAAATACACCAACAGCCAGTACTGACAGAGAAACAATCTTAGCCTTAGTTCAACCATATAAATTATAAACTAACTAGGAATTAACAATCAAACTATATCATGTAAAAACATGTCAAGAATAAAGAGATGGCTACTAGGGAGATAAAAGACAATACTCTGTGAGATTGACAAGAACATGGAAGTCTTTCTATTATAAACTAACTGAGTTAACACAGCCTCTATTCATTCTTATCTTATATCTAACACCAAGACATGCGGGACATATAAAAATAAGAAGATGTGGTATGATAGCCAATAAGACAACTCTCCACCAGAGGCCATATGATATAGAAGTTAACAAATATATGTTACGGTATAGTCTATTTTAAAAATTATAATCTATTTAAACTGAAACAAAACCAAATTATAGCAGAACAGAAACATCTAACAGAGGTTAGTCAATAGTTTAAATTGGAAAATTAAAAAAAATAATTATCACTTGGTTTACCCGAAATATTTTGGGAAATTTTGTTTTGAAATCGATTATGACAAGACTACTTATATCAGCTCATTAGAGAAGGTGTTTTATGCTCGATTTAAAGAATTGCATATGCTTGTTTATAGAATTAACAGTTCTAAATGATATATTTTAGTGGTTTGGAAACTTAGTAACAATGAAATGGTGGGATGATCTTTGGTTAAATGAGGGATTTGCTACCTTTATGGAGTATATTGGAACAGACCATATCTTCCCAGATTGGAAAATGGTAAATAATGTTTGCAGAAGAATTAAGTTAGAATTGGCATTTTAGGGAGCTACCATTTGATTTTTATGGGGGGGGGCTAGGATGAAATTTGAAAAAAATAAGCAGGACAGGAGTTTTGAGTAAAAAAAAAGGCAGGATGAGACACTTGCAAAAAAAAAAAGTCAGGATGACAATTTAGGTAAAAAAAAGTCAGGATAAACTTTAAAAAAAAAAAGGCAGGACCGAACAGAGTGAAAAATAAAAAGGCAGGACAGAGATTACAACTAAAAAAAAATGCAGGACAAAAATTTTCATCCTAGCCCCCCCATAAAAATCAAATGGTAGCTCCCTTAGAAAAGGAAAGGAATTTTTTTTTAGTCTTTCTAATTGTAACAAAAAATTTGGGAAAATCTTATCCTCTATATAAAAATAAGGAGATGCGGTATGATGGCCTAAATGGCGACTATCCATTAGAGACCAAATGATGTTGATGAAAGTAACCATAGGTCACCGTATGGCCTACAACAATGAACACAAACCCATATAGTAAGCTATAAAAGGCCCCATATGACAAAATTTAAAACAATTCAAAACAAGGTTATCCAATGACAACCACAATCACAAGTTGCTGACTTGGGACAGACATACAGAATGTGGTGAGGTTGAATATGTGTGAATGTACAGAATGTGGCTGAAATTTATGGCAGTAATCTGCTGTTGGGGTTTAATTGAACAAAGGTATAGATGATTAACATGTGAAGTAGAGTTTTATATTGCACAAGCTTATGATTGATGATATTGACCTGTATTTATATTTCAACATTTTATGGGAGTAAAGGGACTTTGAACATTTTTCAACTTTTGTACCACAATGACACTACATTTGGCATATTGAATAACAGCAACAAATACAAAAGCTTGAAATAAACTTTATAAGGTCATCATTGTTCCTGTTGTACAAACCTACATGTATACTGAACACACAATTTATTCCTCATTTACACAACAGTGGGGGACATTTCTCTATGATGTAGCAATCTGGTTTTCTTTGTAATTTTTATAGATTATCAATAGTTCTTCAAATTTAGGGGGCTTTTGTCAGATTCAAGAGATGAAGACAAGAAACATTCATGAGTTTGAAAGACTATTGATAATTTGTTTTTCAATATTTTCCTTGGCAAATTCCATGACAGAGGCTTATAGTGTCTTACATTCTCTTTCTGCTTTACTGAGAAAAACTTATACCACTGGAGTAGCATTAGATGGAAAATTATTGTACAGTAAGATCAAAGGCAAACTTATGAAAATAGCCATAATGATTATTATTGATATCAAAGAGAAGTTAACACAAAGTAATTTGACACATCATTTTTGTCTCGCCTTGGCAGAGTCAAAAGAGAGATATAGGTAGGCTGTTTCCAGCGGCGGCTTCAACAATGTATTAGTTTGTGATTAATTTATGGTGAACCACTAGTGGAAGGTCAATGATATTTGGTATGCAGTTGTATTTGCATTGGGTCATCTCATTTCCATGCAGATTATTTGGCCCCGCCCCCTCAGTCATGGTCTGTTGACTTTGAAATGGTTACTTAGTTTACATGTGTTAGTTTGTGATTAGGTAAGTTTATGGGGAACCATTAGTGGTAGGTCAATGATAATTGGTATGTAGTTGTATAAGCATTATCACCTCTCATTTCAATGAAGAAGATTTGGTCCTTACCCCTCAGTCACGGTGTATTGACTTTGAAGCTTTTCCGTAGTTTACATGTATTAGTATGTGATTAGATCAGTTTAAGATGAACCACTAATGTTAAGTCAATGGTATTTGATATGCAGTTGTACTAGCATTGGCATATCTCATTTCCATGAAGATTATTTGGCTCTGTACCTTCAGTCATGGTTCATTGACTTTGAATATTTGCATAACTTATGTGTTAAAATATTGCTATTTTAATTTCAACATTTGCATTATCAAAATAACAAAAAGGCAAGTCATATCTCTGTGTTAACAGTTTATCTTATCTCTGTATTTCTTAAACTATGGCCTCATTATAGGTGTCAGACCACCAATTACTCCCTCCAATTTAGAACGTATGTGAAAGTAGGCCTACTTGGACAAAAAATAGTGCATTTGATGTCATTGTTTACTTAAACTAACCAACAAATTGGCAGAAATGAAACTTTTGGTGAAAGAGAAATATATTAAGACCATTTTGAGCCAAAATTTACTTGTCTATGAGTTTGCATTCAACATTGAGGATTAATGCTCTCAATAGTATACTAATTTAAGATTTCCAGAAAGCCAGGGGTTATTTTTAGTGGTACCTCTATTCGGGAGGCCTCTTCTTTCTTATATGATTTTAAAGGTATGTTGAAAATTGGCATGTAGAAAGCTGATACATGTACAATTCAGGATATACCTGGTTTCTATGAAGTTAAACTAAGGTAAAATATTTAGAAAGCTGTGAAAATAGCAAATTTTGGTTGAACAGATAGGGACTTTTAATTGGTGGTCTGACACCTATAGGAAAGTGAAAATCATTTAGTATATATGATTGTTTTGTATAATAGTAGGACTTTCACTTTCAGTTTGACCATATGATAATAGACGATCTGCATCCAGTTTTAGACTTTGATAGTCATGTGACGTCTCATCCAATATATGTACCGTTAACAAGTTTAGAAGAACTTAGTAATATCTTTGATGCAATATCATACAGCAAGGTAAATATCAAACTTTATGAGCAGTTAAAAAAAAATACAAAGGGAACAATCAATTACCATAAGGACAAACAATGACATGGCCCAATAAAGGCAGAAACAAAATACTACACACAATGTGAAATATTGATCAAAACTAATCCTAACAATAAGCCCTTGGTGAACCCCAGTGCTTCAAAATAAGTAGGCAGTACATGCTCCACTGGCAGAAAGAAATATATATTAAAAGATAATGAATATCATTTAAAGGTAGAATGATTGTTCAGTACTATTGCAAGATGATGAATTTCATTTAAAAGATAGATTGTATTTTTATTATAATTACAAGTTAATGAATTATATTTTAAAAGATAGAATGTGTTTTTGTTATAATTACCATTTAATGAATTATATTATATTTAAAAGAAAGAATGTATTAAAATTACAGGGAGGAAGTGTGATAAGAATGGCCAGATTTTTCTTAGGAGAAGAAACCTTTAGAAAAGGACTATCAGTAAGGTTTTATATCCACATTAGTAATCACTACAACATTTAGAAGACACCATAAATAAAACCAACTCATTTATTCAATAACCCTCCAACAATGTAGCATGAAAAAAACTAGTTAAGCACTGTCACATTTTTATGTGCCTGTCCTAAGTATGGAACCACCTCTGTAATTTTTGTTTATGTCATATTAATTTTTTTTTTCGTTGTGGATAAAATTTTGTTTTACTGACTGACTCATGATGATTTAGAGTTTGACATTGTGTGTAAACACCTGTCTATTGTTAGGAGACTTTCTGTCTGTCTGTGTGTCCAAATCAGGGTAAAAAGGTCAATGATCAAAATCACTAACAAAAACAGGGAAAAAATGGAAAATGCTTTCTGGTAGTTACCCATGCTTGATTGAATGAAGCTTGTACTGATGGAAGATATAGAGAAGGGGAAGAAGCCTGTTGATATTGGAATCAAGTTCACAGTGACTAAAAATGGAAAAATTGTTTGGGATGGTATCCCACTATGAATTTTAACACATTTATACAGAAAAATATAAGAATAATAGTATGTTAGTTTGTCCCTACTACTACTGGATTGTTTTAACAACCTTGAAGGCAATAAAGCTCTCACAAGGTCGGTAATTTGTCCCTCTAAGCATAGTTACTAGTATTTTCAACCCTTGAACTAAAAATGTTTTCTCTCAGTGAAGGTGCAGTTCAATAGGCAGTGCCATATTGTACTCTTAATCCATAATATAATGTTATAAAAGATTTAGATTTTCAAAGTAAGGTAAACCTGATTTACTTTATGTCTGGAGCAGAGTTCCACACTTAAAACTTTTAGTGAGGCTACTCTAATGAATTTTTTGAACTTCAATCAATGTGACAACTTCAATGTTTAAAACTATACTGTATTAATGGATGTGCACATGTAAATTACGTTCTGTCTCAAAGCATGCATGTTTTTGGTAATGAAATCAGCTTTACATGGTTCTATGTCAATAAACATAATGCAAGCTCTGCATGATTAAGTTAATTACCAGTCATATCCTACAGGGGATATAAATGCTTAATTGAAGGAATAGACATGTCAAGTTAAACCCTTGGGTAACACTCTACCCAAGCAATCTTTGGCTCATCATTTTTGTACAAAAAAGAAATTTGTTCAATTGTGAAGGTCGTTCCAGTTTAGATGAATGTATATTTAAATACTGCTATGTGCTTCATTGAAACACCAGTTATTGCATTATTTCATTCAGGGGAAATTAACATTATAAGTGGATCTCTAGTGACCTGCAATACAAAGTGTTTTGTAGATTACTCTATTGATGACAGTAAATCTTAATATTATATAGACTATTAAATCTGCAATTAGTTTTACATTATATTTCTGTTTTATAGAGATATTTAAATAACAGAAAGTTTCAGAATGCTGACCACAATGATCTTTCTGAAGCCCTGAATATAGTAAGTATATTATTATATGATATTCACAACATATTTATAAGTATATTATTATATGATATTCACAACATATTTGTTATAGTGTTCAGTTTTATAATTTTGAGTACTTTATGAGAATTCTATCAAACTTCCTGGTCATATTCCCTGCAAAAAAAGTCTTGAGACCTATATAGGAATTGTGCTGTTCATTCGCCTGCCTGTCAATGTTCCTGTGTGCTAACTTCTCCTAAACAGCTAGATATATATTATCAAAACTTTAAACATTTGTAAAACAATACCTGATAATGAATATGAATATAACCTAAAGGAATATAATCCCCTCCACCTATACAATTACCGGTAATAGATTGTAGTTTATTTTGGATGTAAGATTTGGGTAATCAATTTTGATTGCATTGATTATAAATTTTTTTTTTAAAGTTAATTCTAATTTTTTAGTTGTTAATTAACTTAATGTTGAATGATCTAAATATACAATACATTTTGATATCCATCTGATATTTACGAAGAATCTTGTTATATGTTTTGTATGCAGTTTATGATGATGACTAACCGCCTCGGTTGTCTTGTGGTAGCGTTTTTGCCCTGAGTGCGAAAGGTCGTGGGTTCAAACCCCAGCCGGGTCAAACCAAAGACTTTAAAGTTGGTATTTACTGCTTCTCCGCTAAGCATGCGTAATTAATGAGTAAGAGCAAAGACTGGTCGGCTCTGAATCAGACTTATTTGTCCGGGTAAGGTGACATGTCTTCCTGCGGACTGTTACCTTGTTAACTAGCACGTTAAAAAATCCGGCTCAGCGTGTTGGTCTAGTACAAAGCAGGGTGAATATTCATATTACATTAACATATTGTTGTCCTAAATATGCATATTAATTTGCCGCTGGACTTCAAGCAGCCATCCATCATCGTCATCATCAGATGATGATGACAGAACTTATATTTGATTGTAGTTCTCACTATTAACTTTTTTCAAATTTCTTTATTTTTAGCAAGCTAAGATGGCCAATTTGAGTCTGCCAGCAGATGTCAAAACTATAATGGACACTTGGTTACTACAGATGAACTACCCTGTTGTCATGGTAACCGTTACAGCACCAGGCAAAGTTAGGCTGTCACAGAAAAGATTTCTTACTAATCCAGAGGCTAAGGATCCAATGTTATATAAATCTCCTTACAAGTAAGAAAAACTTTTAAGTACTGAAGAAGGTCATGCCAAATTGATACCTCGTTCACTTAAATATGATTCCTACCATTCATTTTGTTCTAAATTTATTTTTAAATATTGTCGCTTGCTAGAACAAAATTCTTTCCCCTCAGTGAGTCTGAAGTAATTGGAAATAATTTCGTGTTGCTAAATCATCTTTATGTTGCAATTGACATTTGTATATGTCAAAGCCAACATTTACTGTCAACTTTACAATTTTTTAAAAATGCTTTTATGCCCATACCACTAAGCCTTCAGATCTAGTATTGGTATATTAGTGTTTGGTGATGTCTTTCAGAGTTCGTGTTTTGTTCCAGTCAAGTGACTTTTGGTGGTTAATTGTACATAATGAAATTATACAACTTGTAATATATTTTTGTTTATTTATGATTTTCCTATTTCAGTTACAAGTGGTGGATACCAGTAACTCTAACAAACAGTGGAGAGAAAAAATTTGTAAAGACAAGTAAAGATGTGATATGGTTCAATGATACATTTACAGGTATATTAAGTAAAAAAGTGATATGGTTCAGTGATACATTTACAGGTAAATTAGGTAAAGATGTGATATGGTTAAAAGTTATATTTACAGACAAATTAAGATGTGATATGTTATATAAATGATAAGTCCCCATTTTGAGTTGCTGCACATGTATTGTATTTTCAGACTACTTTGATACTTTTCAATGGACTTTTTCAGATATAACATCAACTCAAATACTAAAAGAAGATGGTAAATCATGGGTGATGGCAAACATTGGACAATATGGTGTATACCGAGTGAATTACACAGATCAAAACTGGAGAGCTATTATCAACCAGTTAAAAACAAATTATACGGTAAATAATTCCATAATATAATATAGTATTTAAGAAAGCAATTGTCATAGGGATTGTTAAGAATTGTATTGAAAGGTTTAATTCTTATTTCATTGACTTTACAAGTTTTGAATACAGATCTCTGACATTTCACAGAAAAATTGCACACATATTTAAGTTGTCCACTTAATATTATATTATGGAATTATTTTGAGAATATTTTTCCTTTTTTCCAAATTTGGGAAGTTAATATTTTTCATTTACATTATATTTAAAGGTTCATTATAGACTGTCTAATATTGTTTATTAGGCACCTTGTGTGATGTGGTATTTTGACCCCGTAGAATAGTGACCCCAGAGTCAAAATACCATATTGTGTATACTGAATATATTTGAGTTTTTGTTTCTTTTTTACTGGTGAAAATTCATATCCCCTGCAATCAAAACAGCTTTGATGATTAATAAATTGTTTTTCTTTTAAAGGTAATTTCATCCATTAACAGAGCTCAAGTAATAAATGATGCATGGAGTTTTAGTAGGTAAGTTTAATAGAAATAATAAAGGATTCTTTAAGATAAGTTTATAATTATTATGGCTCTAAAAATATCATGGAGTATAGATTCCACCACTGCATCAAGTGTGTTACGATATTTCTCCACTCGAGACAGTTAAATTTTGATTTTGAAAGTGTGAGGCTTGTCAAGCTTTTTAAAAATTAGAATTTAACTGTTGAGAGTGGAGAAATATCGTAATACACTAGTTATAGTGGTGGAATCTGTTTCTCTAATGATTTTGAGATAATATCTAAACAAAGTTTATCTTTCCTTTTCAAAGTTGTGTTCTTTATCTGTGATGTCATCAGGCATGGTCACCTTTTTTCATAACATCACAACAGGAAATTTCAGAAGAAAACAAGAAAATTTGACGTCATAATTAAATTATGACCAATCTGCCGAGAACAAAGTTTTCTCTAGAGATGAGAAATACTTTTCTCACACCGATCGAGAATTGTGAAAAAAGTATGGAAATTAGAGAAGCATAAGTTCACCACTGTAATCTGTCATTCATAAGGGCATACAATACAGAATAGATCTCTTGTTGAATTTCTTTTTAATTTGGACACAAAGTTATTTTCAATATGCACTATCAAAATATGAAAAGAAAAATAAACCTTCATTACTTACTTTTCAAGATATTTAGGTGGGTTTGAGGTAAAAACACGAATTTTCTTATTTCAATTGAAAAAATATCAAAACTTTCAACTGAAAAAGAGATATTTTTAATCTTTTTTTTTTTGTAAAGTGTTCCTTAATTTATAGGCTTTTAAGGAATTTTCCAAGTTGAATGTAAAAAAAGGAAAATTTGTTGTTAAATGATGCAATTATCGGTGACAGAAAGCTTCTCAACAATTTTGTCAATACAAATGTATGCAGAAAAATCTACCTTAGATATTTTCTTGCAATTTTGACATAACATTGTCGAAGCAGTACACACTTGATTGGGGAAAAAAATGTGGTTGGTTTTTATTGCTTTGTTTAAATGTTAAAGTTTGTGATTAGTTTAGGTAGAGAAACCACTAATGGTAATAAGTCAATGATATTTGGTATACAGTTGTATCAGCATTGGCATATCTTATTTCCAGGGAAATTATTTAGCCCTGTACCTTTAGTCATGTTTCATTGAATTTGAATATTTTACATATTTTACATTAAAGTACTGCTATTTTATTTCCAACATTTACATTTTACTATCAAAACTCTATACAGGCAAGACATATCTCTGTGTTAACAGTTTATTTACATTAAAGTTCTGCTATTTTATTTCCAACATTTACATTTTACTATCAAAACTCTATACAGGCGAGACATATCTCTGTGTTAACAGTTTATTTACATTAAAGTACTGCTATTTTATTTCCAACATTTACATTTTACTATCAAAACTCTATACAGGCAAGACATATCTCTGTGTTAACAGTTTATTTACATTAAAGTTCTGCTATTTTATTTCCAACATTTACATTTAACTATCAAAACTCTATACAGGCGAGACATATCTCTGTGTTAACAGTTTATTTACATTAAAGTTCTGCTATTTTATTTCCAACATTTACATTATACTATCAAAACTCTATACAGGCAAGACATATCTCTGTGTTAACAGTTTATTTACTTTAAAGTTTTGCTATTTTATTTCCAACATTTACATTTTACTATCAAAGCTCTATACAGGCGAGACATATCTCTGTGTTAACAGTTTATTTACATTAAAGTACTGCTATTTTATTTCCAACATTTACATTTTACTATCAAAGCTCTATACAGGCGAGACATATCTCTGTGTTAACAGTTTATTTACATTAAAGTACTGCTATTTTATTTCCAACATTTACATTATACTATCAAAACTCTATACAGGCAAGACATATCTCTGTGTTAACAGTTTATTTACATTAAAGTACTGCTATTTTATTTCCAACATTTACATTTTACTATCAAAACTCTATACAGGCGAGACATATCTCTGTATCAACATTTTATTGTTATTCTGGTTATCCTTTCAATATATTCAGTTCTTAATAGTCGTTCTTTATAAATAAATGTGTCCAGCTTTGTTTAATATTTAATGTTTTATATTCTTAGAGCCAACCAACTGAATGCTGATATAGGGTTAGGAATTGTTGAATATTTAGATAAAGAAATGGATTATGTACCACGTACAGCAGCTAATAAACAGTTATCTTACTTAGATAGCATGTTGTCAAAGTCCAATTATTACGGAAAATTTAAGGTATTATATCTGACATAGAAAAAAACTTGTAGTTATCTTTCCTTAGAAATATAAGATAACCCTGTCATTTATAATTCTTAGAAATATTCTTATCGGAGAAAATTTAGCCTTATCTCTGAATAATTTGTTACAAATAGTGTTTGAAATTTGCAGTCATCCAGTTTTCAGGGCAATTATAATTTGCCTTGATCAACCTTAAACAAAGATTCCTACCAAAATTTTTCTTAAAAAACAAATTACATTTGTTTTGTTAAAATTTAAAATACAATATGACGTTGAATTAATTTCAACATTTTGTAACAGTATTACCCATTTACAAGTCTATTCAAAACAGTAAATTAAAATCAATAAATAGACATTATATGTATTTAATCTAGAAAATACTATTATTCAATGATCCTAATTATTTTAAAAAAATTTCAAAAAGTGGAGAGAGGATTTTTCTGCAAACTTGTATTTCATAGTGATGTTGTACATTTTTTTCAACAGAAGTTCTAACAAAAATATTTCACTTTTTAAACAGAGTGTAATGGCAAATGTTTTTTTTTAAATATTGAATAACCAACTCTTTGGAGATTTAGGCGAAAACGAGACTTTAAATTGTTCAAGCTATAAACAAGATTTATGTTGTTACAATTGAAAATTCTGATAAAGTATAGATGTTAGGATTCAGAAGATCTTTTATCCACCTCTAAGCACATTTACCATGCCTAAAGGTTATTAGAAAACCTAAATAGTTACTGACCAGAATAAATACATGTGACCATGTTCTCCGTGATTTTATCTTTCACAGAGTATGATGAGGAATCTTGTTGGTAAAGCATATGATAAGTTTGGTTTGAACAGCACAGGTCTTAATCATCTGCAGTCGTAAGTAGTAATCATACAAATAACATTAAAATTGTAAAACATGATATTTATCACATTTTTTGTTATTACATTGCTGTCTTACTGATTTATAATTCACAACTTTTATTTCTACTCAATTTAAAATATGATAGGATAACTAGCCTGTCAACACTGAAGTTGTAAGTCTGAATGTGGCACATGGCAGGTGCGTTCAACTCCAATCTAAACTGACTAGGATTATCTGTTTTCCTGCTAAGGGCACTCTGGCTTTCTCCATTGATAAAAAACTAATCATATAATATAGCCAATAAAGCTGAAACTGGCATTAAACACCATTAATCAATCGATCAATTTAAAATAGCAAAGATTAACAAAATTGTTCAAAAACTTCTTCTGAAAAAGTACATTAATTAAAAAATATATGATTTGATATATAAAATAGGAAATATTGCTATTTGTAAAAAAGAACTTGTATCCCCTATAAATAATAGTTATAAAACCCACAATGAAAAAAACCACCCATTTTTAATTTAATACTTAACACTTGATCAGGATTACTTTATTAATAATGAAACACTTGATCAGGTTAACTTTATTAACAATGAAACACTTGATCAGGATAACTTTATTAACAATGCAAAACTTGATCAGGATAACTTTATTAACAATGCAAAACTTGATCAGTATAACTTTATTAACAAGGATTTCAACTTGAAAAAGGAACACATCTGTATTTTACAGTATTGTTCAATGGCATACTCTTCAGAACATTTACAAATTATAAATGCGGACATATTTCTGTGAAGGAATTTATAACGATCATAATGCAAAGTGCTTTGTTTGTTCATTTCATGTATTTAAATGATACTTTATACATTACAGGTACATGAGGTCAGAGGTGTCAAGCATAGCATGTCATTTTGTACTTTGATACATTACAGGTACATGAGGTCAGAGGTGTCAAGCATAGCATGTCATTTAGTACTTTGATACATTACAGGTACATGAGGTCAGAGGTGTCAAGCATAGCATGTCATTTAGTACTTTGATACATTACAGGTACATGAGGTCAGAGGTGTCAAGCATAGCATGTCATTTTGTACTTTGATACATTACAGGTACATGAGGTCAGAGGTGTCAAGCATAGCATGTGATTTTCTACTTTGGTACATTACAGGTACATGAGGTCAGAGGTGTCAAGCATAGCATGTGATTTTCTACTTTGATACATTACAGGTACATGAGGTTAGAGGTGTCAAGCATAGCATGTGATTTTCTACTTTGGTACATTACAGGTACATGAGGTCAGAGGTGTCAAGCATAGCATGTCATTTTCTACTTTGGTACATTACAGGTACATGAGGTCAGAGGTGTCAAGCATAGCATGTGATTTTCTACTTTGATACATTACAGGTACATGAGGTCAGAGGTGTCAAGCATAGCATGTGATTTTCTACTTTGGTACATTACAGGTACATGAGGTCAGAGGTGTCAAGCATAGCATGTGATTTTCTACTTTGGTACATTACAGGTACATGAGGTCAGAGGTGTCAAGCATAGCATGTGATTTTCTACTTTGGTACATTACAGGTACATGAGGTCAGAGGTGTCAAGCATAGCATGTCATTTTCTACTTTGATACATTACAGGTACATGAGGTTAGAGGTGTCCAGCATAGCATGTGATTTTGTACTTTGATACATTTAAGGTACTTGAGGTCAGAGGTGTCCAGCATAGCATGTGATTTTGTACTTTGATACATTTAAGGTACATGAGGTCAGAGGTGTCCAGCATAGCATGTCATTTTGTACTTTGATACATTTAAGGTACATGTGGTCAGAGGTGTCCAGCATAGCATGTCATTTTGTACTTTGATACATTACAGGTACATGAGGTCAGAGGTGTCCAGCATAGCATGTGATTTTCTACTTTGATACATTTCAGGTACATGAGGTCAGAGGTGTCAAGCATAGCATGTGATTTTCTACTTTGATACATTACAGGTACATGAGGTCAGAGGTGTTCAGCATAGCCTGTTATTTTATACTTTGATACATTTAAGGTACATGAGGTCAGAGGTGTCCAGCATAACATGTCATTTTGTACTTTAATACATTTAAGGTACATGAGGTTAGAGGTGTCCAGCATAACATGTCATTTTGTACTTTGATACATTTAAGGTACATGAGGTCAGAGGTGTCCAGCATAGCATGTGATTTTCTACTTTGGTACATTTCAGGTACATGAGGTCAGAGGTGTTCAGCATAGCCTGTTATTTTATACTTTGATACATTTCAGGTACATGAGGTCAGAGGTGTCCAGCATAGCCTGTGATTTTATACTTTGATACATTTCAGGTACATGAGGTTAGAGGTGTCCAGCATAGCCTGTTATTTTATACCTTGATACATTTCAGGTACATAAGGTCAGAGGTGTCTAGCATAGCATGTGATTTTATACCTTGGTACATTTCAGGTACATGAGGTCAGAGGTGTCCAGAATAGCATGTGATTTTGATCTACCAAAATGTATTACTGAAGCAAAGAGACAGTTTGATGGTTGGATGAACAATCCTCAAGAAAATAAGTGAGACAATGAAAACATTTTAAAGTTGGATAGAGGGGGAGGGGGGGGGGGGGTCATAGGGCATATAGTTTTACCTAATTTCATCACTCCTTGTTAGAGTTTTTAGTTGTTTTGAAATGCTCATGGGATTTTCAATCATTGTTAACAAATTTCAAGGTCGCAATTGGTCTCCATTTCAACTTTTTTCAATCCTTTAAAGAAGATGTCCAGTGGTTGGAAGAGGTCATGTCCTGGACTAGCTTCATCTAAAAGGTCAAACAATAACATTACCAACAGAAAATCCATCAAAACCTTTCATATGAAGGTCATATAACAAGAGAAGAAGCATTTCAAATACTAAAGAAAAAACAAACATAAAACCATAGAATGTGGGGTTTTTTTTCAAAGCTGAACAGGTCAGGTATGGTAGAAATTGGTCAAAAATTTTTGAAGAAAAGTATTTTTTTCCAGGATAAATCCTGATACAAGATACATTATCTACTGTACAGCAATAAGAACAGGTGGAGAGGAAGAATGGAACTTTGCCTATAGACAATATAAACAATCTACAATGGCCTCTGAAACAGATAATTTATTACGATCGTTAGCTTGCAGTGAAGTACCTTGGATTTTACAAAGGTAAGTATTGGCATTGTAGGAAATTACACTCCTTACAAAGTTAAAGTCACAAGTTCATCTCTAATGAAACTTGAAATTTTGATGGTCACCTGACATGATCTGACATCTTAACAAAATTAAGGAAAGATTCTGGCCACAGTTCAGATCACCAGTTCAACTATTTTTGGTCCACAAGTGTACCTGCTTTAGCAAATTTAATTTAAAGTATGAATATACATTAGGAAGAATTAGTACTGCAAGCAATCAAATTATTTGAGATAAAAGAATTTTAAGAATTAAGCAGCTTGATCATTCTTGTACAATTATGATTTCATTCTTTGGTTGCTATATGCTTTACATTCAGTGTTATGGAAAAAACTGATTGCACATCTGCACATAGCAAGGAAAATAACATGTTAACAAATTTACTGAAGAAGTAGACGAGGACATCTTAAATTTCTCATTTAATTTTGCAAAAATGACTAGATCTTTTGTAGTATTCATAATTATCACCCATTTTCCAAATTGTTTGAAGAGAATTCACAAAGGAGGATGGCTTAAGCAATAGATCAAACATTTTAATATATTAAACATGCTATACAGTTTGACACAGTTTCTGATTCATGGCTAATCAACTTCTTGTTTAAGGAATACTTAAATATTCTAAACATAAGGAACATGTTGAAATTTTCATAACATTTTCTAGTGAACTTAGAATAAAAGCATCGTGAAATTTGGTTTCAGGCTTCATGTCGGCATGCTATACCATGTGACACTGTTTCAGATTCATCTTTGATCAACTTCCTGTTCACAGAATGCTTTTATTTTTTAAACATAATGGCCATGTATGAAATTTTCGTTGCATTTTAATAGGGAACTACAAAGAATAGCTTCCTGAAATTTGTTGACAAGCTTTATGTCAGTGTGCAATACTGTGTGACATGGTTACAGATCCATTGCTCATCAAATTCCTGTTTTCTAAATACTTATTTATTATACTAACACATTGAGGCCATGTATGAAATTTTCTTTGCATATTTCTAGGGAACTAAAAATAAGAGCTTCCTGAAATTTGTTATCAGGATTCATGTGAACATGCTTTACTGTGTTACACATTTTCAGATTATTTATCTCCAACCTCCTGTTTAACAAATACTTATGCAGGGTTTTCTGTAGTGAGCAATAGCTCATAGTTCTACTTGTTTTTACATAAATCTTAACTTAGGACATTATGTTGAAGTAAGGGGGAATAGGTATATATGGAATAGAACGGAATGATGGAACAAGGATATAAAAAAAATGTAGGAGAATAGTAACTCTTCTTTACTCTATGGGTTAGAATCAATCTATAACTGCCCTTCCAAATATATTTTACTTTGTTGGTTCAGAATTAATATATAAGTGTCTAACCAGATCCAGCACTTTTACAAAAGTGTTTTTTTTTTTAAAGTTAAACCTAGACAGTTATTCTAATAACAAGTTAACCTTCTGACAAAAGTATTTTTCTTACTTTGATTTCCAGATATTTACAGTATGCTCTCACTCCTGAAGAGATAAGAAAACAAGAAACAGGAAGTATTCTTGTTAATGTTGCCAGTAGTAAGATTGGTCGTTCTATTGCCTGGAACTTTGTACAGTCAAAGTGGGATTACATCCATGATGAGTAAGTACCTAGTGTAGCTGATAATAAGATTGGTCGTTCTATTGCCTGGAACTTTGTACAGTCAAAGTGGGATTACATCCATGATGAGTAAGTACCTAGTGTAGCTGATAATAAGATTGGTCGTTCTATTGCCTGGAACTTTGTACAGTCAAAGTGGGATTACATCCATGATGAGTAAGTACCTAGTGTAGCTGATAATAAGATTGGTCGTTCTATTGCCTGGAACTTTGTACAGTCAAAGTGGGATTACATCCATGATGAGTAAGTACCTAGTGTAGCTGATAATAAGATTGGTCGTTCTATTGCCTGGAACTTTGTACAGTCAAAGTGGGATTACATCCATGATGAGTAAGTACCTAGTGTAGCTGGTAATAAGATTGGTTGTACTATTGCCTGGAACTTTGTACAGTCAAAGTGGGATTACATCTATGATGAGTAAGTACCTAGTGTAGCTGATAATAAGATTGGTCGTACTATTGCCTGGAACTTTGTACAGTCAAAGTGGGATTACATCCATGATAAGTAAGTACCTAGTGTAGCTGGTAATAAGATTGGTTGTACTATTGCCTGGAACTTTGTACAGTCAAAGTGGGATTACATCCATGATGAGTAAGTACCTAGTGTAGCCAGTAATAAGATTGGTCGTACTATTGCCTGGAACTTTGTACAGTCAAAGTGGGATTACATCCATGATAAGTAAGTACCTAGTGTAGCCTGTAATAAGATTGGTCGTTCTATTGCCTGGAACTTTGTACAGTCAAAGTGGGATTACATCCATGATAAGTAAGTACCTAGTGTAGCTGATAATAAGATTGGTCGTACTATTGCCTGGAACTTTGTACAGTCAAAGTGGGATTACATCCATGATGAGTAAGTACCTAGTGTAGCTGGTAATAAGATTGGTCATACTATTGCCTGGAACTTTGTACAGTCAAAGTGGGATTATATCCATGATGAGTAAGTACCTAGTGTAGCCTGTAATAAGATTGGTTGTACTATTGCCTGGAACTTTGTACAGTCAAAGTGGGATTACATCCATGATGAGTAAGTACCTATCGTAGCTGATAATAAGATTGGTTGTACTATTGCCTGGAACTTTGTACAGTCAAAGTGGGATTATATCCATGATGAGTAAGTACCTATCGTAGCTGATAATAAGATTGGTCGTACTATTGCCTGGAACTTTGTACAGTCAAAGTGGGATTACATCCATGATAAGTAAGTACCTAGTGTAGCCTGTAATAAGATTGGTCGTACTATTGCCTGGAACTTTGTACAGTCAAAGTGGGATTACATCCATGATGAGTAAGTACCTAGTGTAGCTGATAATAAGATTGGTTGTACTATTGCCTGGAACTTTGTACAGTCAAAGTAGGATTACATCCATGATGAGTAAGTACCTAGTGTAGCTGGTAATAAGATTGGTCGTACTATTGCCTGGAACTTTGTAAAGTCAAAGTGGGATTACATCCATGATGAGTAAGTACCTAGTGTAACTGATAATAAGATTGGTCGTACTATTGCCTGGAACTTTGTACAGTCAAAGTGGGATTACATCCATGATGAGTAAGTACCTATCGTAGCTGATAATAAGATTGGTTGTACTATTGCCTGGAACTTTGTACAGTCAAAGTGAGATTACATCCATGATGAGTAAGTACCTAGTGTAGCTGGTAATAAGATTGGTCATACTATTGCCTGGAACTTTGTACAGTCAAAGTGGGATTATATCCATGATGAGTAAGTACCTAGTGTAGCCTGTAATAAGATTGGTTGTACTATTGCCTGGAACTTTGTACAGTCAAAGTGGGATTACATCCATGATGAGTAAGTACCTATCGTAGCTGATAATAAGATTGGTTGTACTATTGCCTGGAACTTTGTACAGTCAAAGTGGGATTATATCCATGATGAGTAAGTACCTAGTGTAGCCTGTAATAAGATTGATCGTACTATTGCCTGGAACTTTGTACAGTCAAAGTGGGATTACATCCATGATGAGTAAGTACCTAGTGTAGCTGATAATAAGATTGGTTGTACTATTGCCTGGAACTTTGTACAGTCAAAGTAGGATTACATCCATGATGAGTAAGTACCTAGTGTAGCTGGTAATAAGATTGGTCGTACTATTGCCTGGAACTTTGTAAAGTCAAAGTGGGATTACATCCATGATGAGTAAGTACCTAGTGTAACTGATAATAAGATTGGTCGTACTATTGCCTGGAACTTTGTACAGTCAAAGTGGGATTACATCCATGATAAGTAAGTACCTAGTGTAGCTGGTAATAAGATTGGTCGTACTATTGCCTGGAACTTTGTACAGTCAAAGTGGGATTACATCCATGATAAGTAAGTACCTAGTTTAGCTGGTAATAAGATTGGTCGTACTATTGCCTGGAACTTTGTACAGTCAAAGTGGGATTACATCCATGATAAGTAAGTACCTAGTGTAGCCTGTAATAAGATTGGTTGTACTATTGCTTGGAACTTTGTACAGTCAAAGTGGGATTATATCCATAATGAGTAAGTACCTAGTGTAACTGATAAGAAGACATGGTTCTACTTTTTTACGAAAATTTGAATATTCAAAAACTTGATTGTTTACTTGACGAATAAGTTCAATGTTTTAACATGTAGTATTCAATACGGAGGACTGTTTGAGCATATTACGCTAATTCTGAAATACTAAATTTGTCTGATTTTGAAAGGTATTTACTTTTAATGTTATAGTATAAAAAGGAAATATTTATTAAAAAGATATAAAAATATCAAAATGGCAGAATAAAATATACTGACAGGACTTTAAAAACACAACACACATTTAAGTGATTTTTTTCCCCCAAATCATGATTAATCCTCATATAACTACTATTTATGCTTATCATATTTCTTTCTGTGTAGAAAATTCATTACCTGACTCACCTGACGTAATTGGACATACCAGATTATTGAAGTCGCATGAATTTCTCAAAGTGATATTTGAAACCCATAAATGATTTTGTTAAGGTTTATTTCTTCATGAAACAATTCTTTCAATCCATACCCACACTTAAATCAGTAAAACAATGTTGCATTTCCATATTGCTGAGACTGAGAAAGGAAAAATGGAATCAGGGCATAAGAATATTGCAGGCAGGAATATGTGAACATGCTGTTGCTAGACAATTTCACGTTAAAAACTACTCTTACTGTCTTTACAACAATGATACAGGCAGAGAGGATTTTTTGATGACCACCCATGACCAGATCAATATGTAGTGACAAAGCCACATTAATCAAATTTGATTATGCAACGTCACTGCGAGGCATGTGTACGCCGCAACATCATCTGCTAATCAAGTCATCAAATGCCATGGCAGACAGATTCACACCATAAATGTTTTCCATATACTGAAATGCTAAAGAATCGCCTGCAGAAAAACGTTTTAAGCCCTAAAGTTTAAACTACATAATTGCAAAACACACTGTAATGAGTGGTACAGAGGCCAAATCAGAAGGTACAAAACAGACCTCAACCCATGCCCTACAGAACTGGTTGACATTTCTGTCAATCATTTAGGTGTTGGTTACAGCAAGTCATTGCCAAAAACAGTGACACATCCATTGATAAGTGGAAAACCAGGGTTTCAGTGCATACCATATGATTTGAACATTAAACATGACATAATCACTTCACCTTTCAAACTACAAACTTTTTTATAGGCAATGAATGAAATTTATGTTTATGTTTATTTTCTAAGAATTGCATATTTGAAAATGAGAATTAAAAAGAATAATCTAGTGTTGCGTTTTTAAAGTCTGTCAGTATGTATCTTAGATTATTCATTGTTTTGTGTCAAAGGTGGGTTTGGTGTGTCAATTGATAATAATGTTCACTGAAAATGTCTAAAAATAATACACAAAAGATCATTTATACACAACCACAATTATGGTAACAGATATTGCCATTGTCTTTAATTTTTTCATGAGTTATGAAATTAGAAAAAAAGATGGAAAGGGGTAAACAGATGATGATGATGGATGGCTGCTTAACGTCCAGCAGAAAATGAAGTAATTAAGTGACTGATGCTCCAAAAAGTAATTTTTGAACTCACCTGACCCAAAAAGTCACAAATGATAAATACTTGCAGTAGTGGTATTTACTCCGATTGAAAAGATGGGATATATGATGTATTAATTCTAGACACAAAATCCCTAAATACACTCAACAAAACCCTGATATGTTTGGCTTCAAGGATGAATATGAACCCAAATTTTAAGCTTTGAGAAACAACTGAATTTAGCCAAAAATTTCTTCAGCAATTTTCAGAGGAGGGTTTTCTTTTACTTAATATACTTTAATAGTAAGAAAGGTACAAAAAAATATAGGATTAAACACTTTATTTTCTAGAGGAAATTGATGTGTAAACGGCTGATGAGTCAGTGGCCCAGTTTACACATTAAAAACTTCTAGAAAAAATGGGTTTTTTATCCACATGATTCTCAAACCCAAACATTTCTTTTTTTTTTCTTCTTCAATTTCAATCTTTTTTGGAACCCCAGGTTTCCATTCATGTGTATCACACATGATACATATGAATATATCATTGAAATCAACATAGTGTTTACATTTAGGTTATGAAAGGAGTTTCTGCAACATGGTCTATCAAAGTGTAAACCAAGGTTAAATATTCAAACAGACCAATCACATTCAAGTACTTGTAGCTTTGCAAATCATATAAGAATTAAGACAAAATATTGTCATTCACACCTGCCATTTATTATTAATACTTTCCCTGATTTATTGAGGAATTTCCCCCATGAGAGGTGTTGACCCATCACTTGAAATCCTCAATTATACAAACTAAATACCTAAAAATGAAAGGCATTCAGAGGAGCTTAAATGGCATTTAAACATAGATTTACCAATTCAAATACGAATACAAAAGTTTTATTTTGATTTGTTTCACATATAACAGTACAAACATAAGCTCTTGAGAGCTTTTTACCAAATATAAATAACATATGCATAACATTAAAACACAGAGCATGCAGCAGTGGCGGATCCAGGGAAAGGGGGGGGGGGGTATCCAGGGGGTTGGAACCCCCCTTTTTTTTGACGATCAATGCTTTTGAATAGGGACATATGGTTGGAACCCCCTTTTAAAAAATGGCTGGATCTGCCCCTATGCAGATAAGATATATAAGTAGCATATATTTCAATGAATAGTTACAGCACTGGCATATTGAAATACATGCAAAGCTACACATCTTAACATGCCAAAACTGAAGCATAACTAAAATTAAAGCACCACTAAAATTTAAGCACAACTAAAAATTAAGCAAAAAATAATTTAAAGCTTAAATAAAACATAAAGCATACATGCAAAATTTAAGGCATAATGCAAACATTTAATGCTATAACTAAAACATAATATATGAAAACCATAGAATATTAGATTGGAAGCACTTGCAACATATATAAAAGATGCATAAGCTCCTCTTTTGCTTAAAATCCTCCATGGAGATCTTGAAAAAATTGGCCAGTATGGTTATTTGATTTCCAGTGTTGATTTGATTGTTGCTTACTTAACTTCCAGTAACAAGCTGATGTTAAGGAAAAATTAACTTATGTATGGGATTGTTTTGTTTTTACAGTTACTTAGCAGGGTATTGGGATGGTGGTGGAGTTATTAAACAAGTGTCCAGAGTTTTTAATACAGAATTTGAATTGCAACAGGTTTGTACAAATAATATCTTACTTTAACATTTTATAAAGAGTATGGAGAAGAAGTGCAGTTCTGTGAATATGTGAGTATGATAGAGGGGAAGATAAAAATAGCAAATGATTTATGTAAATTTAGAATAAAGAATGTATTTATTAATTATTATAAATATTTTGCCTTTGAGATAAATCAAATGCAATTCCTGTTCTGATTGTAGAAAATAGTTACCAGCAATTTTTGATTATGAGATTTTTTTCTGTTGCATTGTTGGTGTTTTAACATTTCATTAAATATGGGATATATGTTTGTATATAAGTTATTGAAGGGGTTGCAAAGAGGTAGGGGCAATTTCTCTTTGAATTTAGTTCACACCACTGTCACCAGGGTTATTTTTCCAAAAAAGTCATTTTGTCTTGTTGAAAATTCTTAATATATAAATATGTATTCTTTGATGTTCTAAAATCATCATATCTCTGAACATGTAACTATTTAAGTTATAAATGGTTAAAAATGAGGCAAAATGCAGATTTGATATAGATTTGCCAAAAAGACTAGTATTTTTATATGAAGAATTATGAATTCTAATTTAAAGTTTTTTTTTTTTTTTGGAATAACAGCAATGTATTGTTTTTTAGGTTTTTTTTAAATATTATCCTTTAATGTGAATCTACAAAATAATGTAATAATGTAAATTTTGCAGCAGTTTTATATCTATATTGTCTTTTAAAGCAATCTATTGACCCTAATGCATTTTGATTTAAAAGATATATATACATAAAAAAATAGATAAAAATTAGTTCTCTTATTTTGACTCAAAGATAGAAAACAATTATAATTTCATTTTTTTTCTTCAAATTTTACAAATTAACAGAGAAATAGAGGAAACCATAGCTTTTACCTCAGCTAACCCATTAAGTGGGGGTATTAGTTAAATACTTAACCATATGGGGAAAACAATCACAATTTTTTTTCATTATTCAAATAGGTGAATTGAATTTGAGTACATTTAAAAAAACCATGACAGTATGTTCTGATTTTTTAGCTACTGGACTTTGGTGATTCAATAGCTGATCTTCACAGAGCAAAGACATCTTATGAACAGGCTATTGAGACAGTACAAGCTAATATCAAGTGGGTGAAAAATAGTATAGACACTGTTGAGAAATGGCTTGTTACAATGGTAGCATAGGATATCACTGCTTCAGGACAAAATTGTTTTTACCTCTTTCATTAAAATATGTAAATACTGCATGTGTTAATCAATACTGTATCCATATTTTATTTAATCAGAATTTTATATTTTTTTTATTTCTAAGTAATGTCTTGTATTGTCAGAGATACTATAGGTTACAAACATAAACTTATATACATACAAACTATATTGGAACTGTTTGCATTATAACTTAAAAAATATGTAGAATGCAGAAGAATGAATGTAAACAATGACAACATATGTATTGCTGTTACAAATAATGACATCCGGCAAATTAAAACCGGCAAATTAAAATAGTTTTAGCAAATTATTGTCAGCTGAATGTGATTAAAAATATATGACAATATTTCCAGTGGTGTTACATCTTTATTATCATATGACAAAAAGGGCTAATGTGAGCTCTTGTCATCACTTGGCATTAGTTGTTGGTCTAAACTTTAATTAAATTTTCTCCTCTGAAACAATACTGAAATTGAAACTAAAGGACAGTGTGCATATGACCATTTACATGTATTCAGACTTATTTTTCACTAAAATTGAACTTTAAATACAAGATTTCCAAACTTGTCAATTTTTAAAGATGAGCTAATACAAAATCGAAAACAGATAGTTTATAATCAATGATGTCATAATAAATGTAGTTTATACGTCATTGAAAAGGTCATTGGTGTTTTGGTAAAAAATTCATAGATTTTGGTAAATTTATAACTAATTTTTGGACCCACAGATATAGATCATAAGCAATTACCAACTAAATAACTTACCACAATGTTTGCCAATTTGAAAAATACCTCTTGTAAATATTTATTTGGTTCTTCATGAGCTTAATATTTCAAACTCACAAATATGTGTCAAAATATCGATTTGTCATTTTTTTGTAGAAAAATCAAATTTTATGGTATCGTACAACTGCAAAATCTAGGTGAATATTCATTATATTTTAAATTCCATTCGGTTAAAACTTTGCACATACATATGTATTATCTTTCAATCAAAGATCACCTGTCACCTTATTTTTAGAACAAAAAGGGCCCATAGCAGACCTTGTCTTTGGTCATTATTGTAACAGTAATGGGGTAGGCAGGCTGTAGGTTTGTAGATACAACTTTTTGGGCTACTCTGTGAACAATGTCTTCTACTTTCTCTTTCGTGGTTTACTGTTGGCCAACGTGTATATATAGAGATTTGATGAACATTAGATATACTTTTATTGATAGTGATTGTAAATATTGTTTGTAGGAATGATTAGATTGAGTTTGTCCTCATCATTTGACCAGGAAGGGCCCATTGACTGAACGAGAGTTCACAATTTCTGCTTACCCTTGTTTCACAAGTTCCAGCTTTATAACCTTCTATTTTATTTGCATGAGGTCTGAATATTGTAACTGGGACCCATTTATGCTATGAATAAGCTTAGTTTAGTCCAGTTTGTCTATTTTTCCACTTGACAGAATATCAGCATTCATATTCGCTGCCATTTGCATCAGCAAGTATACTGATGTTAGTGACCTAATTACCAGAGATCAGCATCCAGTCAGCATTATGTAAGTGTCCCGTATTTACATAGGGACAGTAGTATAAATTCAAGTGCATCTCAGTTTTCAAGGATGCTGTAGCTCGAGACAAGTGGGTCCACACCTGATACCGAGGAAATGACCTGAGTATACCTGCAGTCAATGTAACCTGTAGAATGCATGCACACACATCCTGTAACATTTCGGTGGCAGCACTGGGATTTGTAAATTTTATTTTTAGGCCAGAAAAGACCCATAGCAGACCTTTTCTTTGGTCATTATCATCCTTTGTGTGCATAGTGTGAGAATTGGCTTTGATGTTCCAGCCCATCCACCAACTAGGCTATCATTACTAATTAAGGAAGCATAAGGATAGTGTGTAACTGTCAACCATATCTTGAATACTATAATTGACAGAGTAAATATGACAGTAGTGATCATAAAGTAAAGATCAACCTACTCTGTGACAGCTGATTTGTTGCTAAAGCAGTAAAACCCATGAATACACAATTACTGTGATAGATAGAAATATTTAACAGCAAAAATGATCAGCCATACTGGATTTATTACTGTGACTTGACTATAGGTGTTGCTGTTTTCCTTTACCTGTTGTTCAGCCAGATTGTAAAATTGACAATACAAATGGGACATTTAAATTGACCAGTTGGTATTGTTAGAGTTGATGAATAGATGACCACTCATGCATTTAGAGTCTACCTGGATGCTGTCCTATCACTTCACCTGTTCAATTGTTATTGTTGTAGTGTCTTTCAAAAGTTATCCATGTGGCATTCAGGCTTCAAGTTTTGTCTTTGTTAAGTAACATAACTTGCATACAGTATAAATATGAATAAAGCTAGAGTATGAAGTAATTGACCATACAATTGCCAAAGGAACACAAAATTTAGAAGGAAAAAGAGAGATTTTTATTTACTGTTATTTCAAAAATTAGGAGTAAGCAAGCCAGAACAAGAATGTATGTTATTTTTCTTTCAGGGTATTTAATTGCACGTCATATAATGCACTACATTTCCTCTTAATGTTTTAATAGCCAAATACTATGAGTGCTTGGATTTCCTTTATATTGACCTCTTTTATCTCTGGCTTTTTCTAATGGGAAATAACTCAAAATTTTTTTTTTACTCTTGTAAAAATCTTAATTATTTCATAATTTCCATAATTTTCCAGGATAAATAAACACCAGAACAAATGTGTGCATTCCTTCATGTAGGTGTAATATCACCAATCATAGTTTGTCACATCCGGTTGCATACGAAAAAGGGTCGGAAAAAAATATTCCCTTGAATTTGACAGTTGTAGGAAATTAATCCTACATTTCATTGCAGTAAAACATTTCTGAGTCATAAACATATATCTTGGGTGTTTCAAAGCACAATTATTTTTTTATTTGGTGTTTCTATACAATAATTTGGAAACTTGAGGTTATATGGTTACTAAAGCTTGTACATAGGAAAAAAGGGGTGAAAATTTGATTGGTTAACTTCCAGTGATGGTTATTTTCTTATATGCAATGAAATGTTTTGTGAAATTTTGTCTATACTACTGGACAGGATAAAACTTTACTTATGCCAAGTATTTCTATATTTGAAACAAAGATAAATTCAGCCCATTTTTTTGAAAAGTGCAAATTTAACAAAGACTAATAGGAGAAAATCAATGGTGGTATTACACCTACTATAGGAAGCTGTACATGCACCTTTGACCTTGTGTGTACTCTCATTTGTTAAAATTTCATGCTATTTATGTGGAATATTACAGAAATGAAATATCCTGAGTGGATTGAGTCTCAAAAACACATTTTATGAGAAAATTGTCTTGAAATGGGACTCTACCATGAATATTAGTAGACAGAGCAAACCATACTCAGTGTTTTGGGGAGCTTTTTCTGACTTTTTCTCTTTATTTCTTATATTTTGCTGTAATATAAAACTTTTACCTAAGTTGTACTTTAATAAATATATAGTTATTAGTAAATGAAATTATTTTTGAAGCAGTAGCAACAAATTATTCACTAAAAGGGAAGCTTTTTATGTCCCTCTCTGGAACGCGGCGTAAATTTAAGTTTTACTTAAGGACTTATTGAAACCTCCATGGAGTCCGTAAACTTTTTTATGGATAGTTCATTCAGCTTGAATACTTCAATTACTCATTTATTATCACATTTCTCTCATAAATGAGTGAAAGTTACCCCAAATTTTTTATTTATTGGCCTAAAAAGTTGAAATTTTGAGGAAATGAGAGGTATAAATGGATCAAAATGGAGTTTATAATGAAGACAACGAGGTCCATTAGTGGTATTTATCATCCTAGAGTCATCTTTTGTATCATATTCAATGATTTTAGGCAGATGAGATAAATATTTGATCATTTATTGGTTCACACTATATTCTATCATGATGCGGCTTGATTTGGATTTTTCGAAGAAATTTTGCTCAAATCGCTGTAGATGTCGTCTTACATTATACTAGATTTTCCTCAAACTATTGCACTGATTATGACAAACCTTGACAGCAATGCTTGAAATAACCAGTATTACAAATGGAAAAAATCACATTCAGTTTATTCAACAAAAAAGTCTTCTTTAGGTGTAATACCACCAAATCATAGTACGTCACATCCGGTTGCATACGAAAAAGGGTCGGAAAAAAATATTCCCTTGAATTTGACAGTTGTAGGAAATTAATCCTACATTTCATTGCAGTAAAAAATTTCTGAGTCATAAACATATATCTTGGGTGTTTCAAAGCTCCATTATTTTTTTATTTGGTGTTTCTATAGAATATTTTGGAAACTTGAGGTTACATGGTTACTAAAGCTTGTACATAGGAAAAAAGGGGTGAAAATTTGATTGGTTAACTTCCAGTGATGGTTATTTTCTTATATGCAATGAAATGTTATGTGAAATTTTGTCTATAGTACTGGACAGGATAAAACTTTACTCATGCCAAGTATTTCTTTATTTGAAACAAAGATAAATTCTGCACAATTTTTTGAAAAGTGCAAATTTAACAAAGACTGATAGGGGAAAATCAATGGTGGTATTACACCTGTAGACATTTTTCAATACTTATTGACATGAGCCTTTTACAAAGTGTTTATGCATAGTGAAAATCAAAAATAATAGTTGTGAACTTTTATTTATTGACACTGATAATTGATATCCCATCCAGTATTCCAGTTTCACTGTTTGAAATGATTTTAAAATATTTTCCTAATTTTATTAACTTTCTGAAATATTTTCTAACATTTTTCACTATATCACTAGATTTTTTTCTATATCCACAGTATTCTGTAAAATTTCCCATGATATATATCCCAATTAAGAAGGTGCCGAGTCTTTATATTAGATCCAGAAATTTGTAATTTTTCATTATTTCCAATATCACATTCAAAATAATTATCCTCACTTTACAAATTTTTGGAATATTTTTTTTATCACCACATAACTTGATTTTACTATATAACAATTAAACAATATAAGATCCAGAATTTTATAATGATTATTTCCAATATCACATTAAAAAATTTTAACCTCGCATTATGATTTTTTTGGGAATATTTTACTTTTATTTTTCACTTTATCACTATGTTTGACTATATCCACTGTATTCACACTTTATTTCATGGTGAATCATCTTCATATTAGATCCAGAATTTTATAATGAATATTTTGATTGAACACAGTATTTTAATACACAAAAGTCTTAATAAACTCAAAGATAAGCACTGCAAGGTATCCTCCAAAATTATTTCGAATTTTACATGTACATCATTGTGTATAAGCCACACAAAACATTTTGAATGAATTATT